TGACCCTCTGGTTGTCTCCCACTTCGCCTATGGGGGTGTGTCAAACATTGTATGTTTACATTGTGTAGGCTATAGTGGGTTTAGCCTTAGGGGGTACACAAACTTAGGGTTTCCTACTTGTACCCAACTTTGTGCTAGTTCATTCATTCCTGTTTCTTTCATTCTAACATTTTCCCCCGTTCTCAGCCTCCGTTGTCCCCTCCTCTTTCTCATACTTGGGCTTCTCGTCGCTCTCCTCGTGCTCGTCCGTTGTCCCCTGTGCCCTTCACTGACCTTCGTACTACCCTGTTTTGTTCTAGTCCGCCTCGTTCGTCTCCGTCTGTGCTTCCTTCTCCTCCTAAGTCGGCCTTCACTGCTTCCCTCTCTACTCCTGTCACCGACTACTACCGCACGTACCGACCTGTTCTTTCTCGTGTTCTCGCCTCTCTTGTTACGGACCCTCATGCCTCTCTGTCTTCTGTGTCCGCTCATACTGCCGCAGTCACTGAGTTTGCCTCTACTCGCCGCCTTGACTACGCCACCACTCTTGTGGCTGCTCCTCCTACCAGTCCTCTGGCTGTCGGGGGTGAGTCTGCCCTTGGCTGTGACGCCCTAGAGGACAGGCAGTTTGAGCTAGAGTTCCTGGCAGCTGCTTCCCCTCATCTCTGTGCCATGCTGCTCGCTCCTGAGGGAGACCCCGACGCCCTTGATATACCGACTCCTCGCACTTACGTTGAGGCAGTGTCAGGGCCTTGGGCCTCTCAGTGGAGAGCTGCCATGGACTCAGAGATTGCCTCCTACAGATCCACAGGCACCTACTTCGACGAGGTTCCCCCCCCTGGGGCGAACGTAGTCGATGGCATGTGGATCTTCAGGGTGAAGCGGCCACCGGGATCTCCTCCGGTCTTCAAGGCGCGCTATGTGGCTATAGGTTTCAATCAGCGCGAGGGAGTTGACTTTTTTCAGACCTTCGCGCCTACCCCGAAGATGACCACTCTTCGGGTGTTACTGCACGTAGCAGCACAGAGAGACTACGAGTTACACTCTCTTGACTTCTCTACTGCCTTCTTTCAGGGTAGCCTACACGAGGAGGTCTGGTTGCGTCGTCCCTCTGCCTTCACTGGCACTTTCCCTCCTGGGACCCAGTGGAGGCTGAGGCGACCGATCTACGGTCTCCGTCAGGCTCCTCGTGAGTGGCAAGACACCCTTCGTTCTACCCTGTCTGACCTCGGTTTCCAACCGTCTTCTGCTGACCCGTCGCTGTGTGTTCGTCGTGGCTCCATACCGTTCTTTGTACTGGTCTACGTCGACGACCTGGTTTTTGCCACTGCTGACAGGGTTGCTTTGGCGGACATGTAGCGCGAACTGCAGAAGAGACACATGCGCACTGACCTTGGTGAGATGCGCCACTACATTGGCCTGCAGATCAAGAGGGACAGAGCCGCTCGCACCATTACACTCTCATAGTCACACATGGTGCAGCAGGTCCTTCAGCGGTTCGAGCTTCAGCACTCCACAGTACAGTGCACACCTCTTGCTGTTGACCACAGACTCACTGGTCCCTTCCCTGACGAGCCGTTTGAGCCGAGTGGTCCCTACGCAGAGCTTGTAGGCCGCCTCATGTACCTGATGACTTGTACTCGCCCGGACCTCGCCTACCCTCTCAGCATCCTTGCTCGCTTTGTTGCGCCAGGGAGACACCGTCCTGTTCACTGGACCGCTGCTGTGAGGGTGGCGAAGTACCTAGCGACGACATCAGGCATGGGGTTGGTACTTGGAGGGAGACAGGACGTCGTGCTTACTGATCACTGTGACTCTTCTTACGCCGACGACGCCGAGACCCACAGGTCTACTCAGGGTTTCTGTTTCAGCCTGGGCTCTGGAGCTGTTTCGTGGAGGTCCACGCGCTCCTCCTCGGTCTCGACCTCTACCGCTGAGGCTGAGATCTACGCTGGAGCCATGGCTGCACAGGAGCTGCGTTGGTTGACCTTCTTGCTCACCGACCTTGGTGAGCGGCCGAGCTCTGCACCGACCTTGTTAACTGACAACAAGGCGGCGATTCTTCTCTGTCGGGAGCCTCGACTGGAGAGCAGAGTGAAGCACATCAACGTCAGGTACTTTCTTCTTCAAGAGTTGCAGAGGCGTGGACAGGCTCGCTTGGACTTTGTGGAGTCCGAGGCCAACACTGCCGACATCTTCACCAAGGCGCTTCCGCCTTGTGACCACCACAGGTGTTGTGTGCAGTTAGGTCTCGTTGACTCTGGTTCCCGTCTTGCCTAGCGGTTGCTTGTTGTCTTGTATTCATTACTTATATACCTGTGAACTCTTGAACTGGCCTTGTGACCCTTTGCTTGCACTCGGAATGTGTGGTGACGTTGTGATCCACCCTGAGCTTTGTTTGTTTGTGACTGGTCTTGTGACCGTACTCTTTTGTCTTTGCTTGACACCCCTCACATAGGCTATGGGGGTGTGTCAAATGTTGTAGCCTGTAGTGAGGCTTATCTTACGGGGTACAAATATTAGGGTTTGCTATATGTACCCCAACCCACATCAATGAACATACAATTCAGTTTTTAACAGATACTACCACTTCCACTGATACCAATAAGAATGGTCTGGTCTGCTAGCAATATGTGCTTGAAGTAGTGGTACCACATTACATTTCCCCGTACGTGGGAGAAGCTCTTGTTAGATACAGTGCAGAGGGTGTTACGAATTGAGTTGAGAGGTGCGTGGCGTAGCGTCCTTCATCTGCTCCATGGGATGAGTAGGGCACACACGTGCACCATCACTCCCAGCTGGCACACTGGCCTGGTAGTAACTGCTACCGTACTTCTCCACTGACAATGCTGGTAACGGGAAGTACCGTACACCCCACAAAGTGTGGGGGGGGGGGGGGGGGGGGTAGTGCTGGATGGGACCATATTGACCCCATGCCGATCTGACTTATTTTAGAGCTAGAGTCCGTGTTATGCTATCATGTATGGAAAGCTGTAAGTACTCAAAAGATGATAATTGAAGCATTAATAAGAAGAATTCATGGATATACAACAAATATTGCAGTCTCAAGAATGGAAAGTCGGACTCGTAGATACAAACAATAAGTACTGGATACGCTTATGAATTTTTATAGTTAGATTCTGTTACTGGCCATACGGTAGTACTTTCCAAATAACAAGTATAATCATTATTTACCTATCCATATTTTACAATGGCTTTATTCGTATGGATATTCGTAAGTAGCACAATCTCCCAATCGAATCTCCGAGCTTGGTTTCGTCAGTGTGCCAGGGCCAAACCTGCCATCAGGTTTCGGCGGGTGGTGCTGAAAGTTTGGAGGTTTTGGCGCGTCGGTGGCTTTGCACACGTCACGGAGAGCGTCGCAAGAGGATGACCTGGAGCATGCTTGTCGCACATGGCCTTGTCGCACGAGAACGGGGGTCATCATCAACGTTGTGGAGGTACGGCATCGAGCCGCCGGTTTGGGACTTTCAATCCGGGTAACTTTCGAGGAATTCGCGCCTCCTCACAGAGGCTGAAGGGTCAGAGGCTCAAGATGCCACGTTCGACGCGCCTCGACAATGTGGAGCAGCAGAACCATTCGGACCGAAGAGTAACCTTGAAATTACTTTCTAACCGTTCTCGGCATGCCTATCATTGATGAATCCAGCCCATCACGTCACGGTTCACCACAACATGCGAGGAGTCGCTCACAAGCCCATCACATCTCTCACGTGACAGAAAGCCCGAAACGAAGCTCGGGGCGCCGCGAAACGACGGCGCCTCGATAACATTCCCTTCCCACCTCTTGCTCGGCAAGCTAAATCATCACCTAGGGCCTTCCTTCATGCCGATTCCGACGGCCAGAACGGGTAACGTGGGGCAGACACCCTTGGGACTTCCGTTCTGGGCCCTGAGGCACCCCCTCGGGTGATGGTTCTCCAGCCTTGAGAGTTTCGTCTCGTCTCGTCCCATCCCAACTGATGCCTCCTTGGGCTTGGACTGTTTCTCAGGCGGGAGCCGTGGGATGAACTGAAACGGAAAGATATCGGCAAGGCTACTCACCGCCACCAACCATTGGCTTTGAATTTTGCCTTCAAGGCACCGCGCTTCGTAGCACGGTCGGGAAGACCCAGGGCAAGGCGAGGCAAGTGAGGGAGCTCCTCAGCTTTGTCCGTGCTTCTTGCTGCTACTTCCCGCTTGCCGCCGCCGCCGCTCCCTCGTGATGCGTGGAAAGAATAATTTCCTATCGAGCCACACACGCAGCAGCAGTGCGAACATCCCAAAGGATAGCATCCGACGGCTCGCATCGCATCCCATCATCCCATCGCGCACATCAGCGACTGCTGATCTCCTCAGCCAAACGACCCATTCTCTCTCCTTATCGTCGCCCACGTAGGCACTTGGCTTTCCCAAACCACAGCATTTATAGATTTGTTGTCAAAATAACACGTTCGCTTACGGTAGCTTACAGGTAGGGATCCGTAAGGTTAGTTGCTTCGTCCCTCTACGTCACGCTAGACGACCGGCGTACGTAGTAACTTAGCTCTGGTAGCAGTTACGTGGGTACATAGCTTTGCGGTTTGACATGCGCTTGCTGTCAACATCACAGTACTACTCCATTGTTAGCTCACTCCTCTAAATAAGAGCCTATCCTTGATTCTCTCTCATCAAGTAGATTTTAATTCGTACCTTAATTGTCATCCGTAGGTCAGCCGTCATCACTAGGTTACGAAGAGCCTTCTCTCACAAATCATTTGACCTTCCGAAACGATGACGATGGAAGCCGAGATAGTTGCTGACCGGAGACTTCTTAGTCAGGGCTCGTCTGCTTCAAGACGGTTGGCCAAAACTTCCCGATTACCAGAAACTCTTGTCGTCGCTCTCCTGGTCCTTCCCTTATTCCTGAGCCCGTTATTCTGCGAAGGACTGGTTTCCGACTCGTCTACGGAATCGACAACATCGTCTTCGTCCGAAACTGCCAAGCTATCGCATCCGTTCCATAAAGATTTTCGCGTGACATGGGGAAACGTGACTGTATCGGATGACGGCCGCGCGGAGTTATCTCTCGATAAAGCGTCCGGATCTGGCTGGTCGTCCAATCAGCCGTATCACAACGGGTGGTTCTCTGCGTGGATCAAAGTGCCGTCCGGGTACACGCCAGGCGTTGTCACGGCCTTCTATGTACGTCGCACATACGTCTCTTGCATTCCATCTGAGCCACTGTGCAGGTAGTTTTGTTTCTTCTTGTCTGTCGCAGCGCGCCTGGTTTTCATAAAAGCAGGAGTGCACTGTGCTGGTGGTACCCTCCGGTTCCTCGTTCTCATCTAACACGAACCCGTGTTCTTTCCCTCTCGCTCCCCCACCCGTCCCCCCCTCTCTCCCTACCTTCCCGCTTCTCCGTCTCCGTCCCCGCGCACCCCCTCTCCCTCACCCCACCAGCTGCACTCGGAGTGGAACAGCTCGTGGCCCGGCGACTTCCACGACGAGGTCGACATGGAGTTTCTCGGAGAGCGCTTCTCGAGCGACGTGATTCTGCAGACCAACTGGTACGGCCAGGGCGTCGGCGGCCACGAGGAGCGCCTCAAGCTCTGGTTCGACCCGGCGGCGGATTACCACCACTACGCGTTCCAAGTTAATCCTGACTGCATTCGTTGGTTCGTCGACGGGATTCTGATCCGTGAGGCGTGCAAGGCGGCGGTGGGGAACGACCCGTTCCCCTCGTCGTCGATGTTTCTGGTCGCGTCGCTGTGGGATGGGAGCTCCTGGGCGACGCAGTACGGCGCGCTGCAGATCGACTGGGCGCACGCGCCGTTCCGCGCCGGGTTTCACGGGCTGTATGTGGACGGGTGCTACTGGCGACAGATGGACGAGAAGGATGCGCCGGCTTGCGCGCGGACGCGTGGGAATCGTGACTGGCAGCCGACGTGGGAAAAGGGGGTGGAGGAGAAGGATTACGTGCTGCTGCGACACACGCAGGCGCATTATCTGACCTACTCGTACGCGCTTGACAAGACGAGGAAGCCGTTCAAGCCTAAGCGGACTGCTGAAGCGACAGTGGTAGAAGCGACGGCAGGAGAGAGCTCTCGTCAAACGGAGCAGACGACAACAGCAGCGGCGGCGGAGGGTCACCAAGGCGGAGTGAAAGGAGGAGCCAAGGATGGGAAGCTTCGCGGTCGAAGAGGGCCGGGGAAACGACTAAGCGCCCAGGGGAGATGAAGGGCAAGTTTTGATTGCGCCACTGATTACTTAACACTACTAAGACTGGCAATAAGATCATGGGACGAATAAAATGAAGACAAGTGAAGGGGAAAACGTTCAAGGTCTGGGGAGCAGGTGACTATTGGGTTGTGTTCTTTTGGAGTACTAATGGAGCTGTATTTGGGGGAGATTGGGGGGATGTTACTAACACGATGATGTGGAGGGATTGTAGAGGGGAATAATGGAGAGCGTTGATTGCTCCTGTTTCATGTTTCATGTGTGTTTGATCGAGAGCCTAATAACGTGCATACTGAATCTGTGATTTTGCACCATCTTCATGTGTACCATCTTCATCTTTAGCACAAACTAAAGATGTTCTGAAATGTTGGAAGGTACATACGGTACCGAAGTGCATTGCACCTCATGATTACATTGGTTTGCTCACATGCAGTCTTGAGTCTGAGGTCCATGCTGGTTAGGGTAAGCATGGCGGTGGTGGTGGTGTTGTAAGTGACGGGGAAGACGGGGATGATCAACTGCCGTATATGTGGAGCAGGAAATTGCCCCTTATCTACAATGGAGAAAGTTCTTGGAAGGTGGATCAAGACACCTACAGCAAGAAGTGCATCCACTCAATTAACATGGGGTAAAGAATGAATACTAATATGTCAAGCACCAGAAGCTAGGAAGCTATTGGCGGTAGTGGGCAAGCTTGAGGATTCTAATTGAAGTTGGCATAAAAAGCTTGTAAGAGTGGACATTTTCTTACTAATACATTCTACAAGGGAAAACAGTTCCATAGTTATCACAACCAATCGGCACCCAATCCAAGGTACAGTACCATCCTGACCCATCACCTTTCGCGCCAAGTCCATCGAAAGACCCGCGCACGCGCCTACAGTCCCATGTTTTCGCCGTGTTCCTTCCTTCCTCTTTTGCCCCCCGAAATCCTTCGCATCCCCTCCCGCAATAATCTACTGTTTGGCCTCTTCTGCCTGCCTCACTGTCTCTCGTTGGGACCAGGTCACCAGGGGAATGGCGGCGTTTGTCCTTGGCAGATGACAAGAACGTCAGCGGCAGCAGAGCTGATGCTTTCCTGAAGTGCACTCTAGAGTAGATGCTTCCCAAGTCTGTGAACGTCATGTGCTGCTGACGTCGATGGCCTAGCCGCAGTTTTTCCTTGCCGTTTTTAACGGGAGGTGCTAGATACAGCAGCATACAGAACGACAGGCTTGCCAGCAAGTCTCGCTCGCGACGTCTCAAATCTTTTCTTGCTCTTGTCAGCTGGAGACGCTAGATACAGCGGCACAGCGAAACCGGCCTACCAGCAAGCAAGGGGGTGCTGAGTGTCGCCTGCTACTTACTCGCGCCTTGTGTTCGAACTAAGTAACATCGTTCCGGCAGCGGCTATTCAGGGTTCGTCGATCCTTCGCCAGTCTGCTGACCGGCGGCATTCCTCTATCCGTCGCCCCCATTTTGACAGTCGCTGAGGAGATCTGTCCCCTCCTTGCACCCCAACATCGTCGTCCCCGCGCATTGTACGGTCATGCTCCACTCACCCCTCTCTCTCATATCGTTATTCCACTCAAGCTTCACTCGGCTCTGTTTTCCCGCTGTTCTGCCACTCGACATCTTTCTTGTGCAGCTTCTTATATCAACCCTGCTCCTGCTGTTATCTAAATCGACTGGGCGAGCCGTCCCTTTTTCGCTGTCTAATCCTGTTATTGTTCGTTCTTAGTATCTCGTCAGTGTTCCCCAGCGTTCCTCTCCTCAAACCCTTCATAAAACCGCCGCATCGCGTTTGACTTGCCTGGATATTTATTCTCCAGACGGCCCATTCGCGAACTTGTTCCGTTCCTTCCTAGAACGATCCAAGTCGCCAACGCTAACTGACGGTTTCCGTCCAAATACCGCCCACTACTCGAGTCGCGCGTCACAATCAGTCACCAGTGCTGCCTGGCTTGTCAATTGCGCGTTGAACCTATGTCAGCTACTTGTATCGAGCTCAAATGCAGCTCGAACATCTTTAGAACCAAGAAGCCGCCAGTAATCTACCGAGTCGTTGCAAGGTCGCCGCTGTCGCTGCCGTCGCGAAAGTTCGCAGCTGTCGCAGCTTCGTCGTACGCGTCCACGATGAGAACCGTTAGATTTCCCGCTTCCGACCAAAGAAACCTTTAATCCCACAGCCTTCCTTCCACTTTCTACCGCTCTCCTTTCTAATTTCGACCCGACCTCCCAAACCCCTCGATCATCCGTAACCCCCCGAGCCCCCCCAGCGACCCCAAGCCCCCCGTTCCCCGCGCAGCTGCCGATGCAGCCAGGTCCACGCGCGCCTTCCGCTAGCTGCTTCTGAGAATTCTAAGAACGAACTCCGCCGCTAAAATCGCCGCCCAAGCATTCTCTTTCGCCCTTGAACGCCCATGCAATCATTCCCGCGCCCCGCCCTCTTCGTACCCTCCCGGTCAAAATCATTTTATCTTATGTTTTTGTTTTTCGTTTCTCTGTGTACTTGCATCTCATTCTCCCCCTCCCCCGCGTCACCTCGCAGGCTATACCCTATCCCCGCGCATCTGGTCGGCACGGCGAAAGCGGGGCATCCGGGAGAGCGCGAAACTGGTTCTTGTTCTGCCGAGTTTGCCGAAGCGCGGGCTGCTGCTACGTCGCGGAGCGCGATGGGAGGGCGGAAGGCGCGGCACCGAATGCACTTGGGCGCGCTAGCGGCGCTCGCCGCCACCTGCTTCGCGCTCGCCGCCGTCACAAGTGCGTCCGCGCGTGCCCGCATTTGCACCGCCGTCGGTGGGGAGAGTGACGTATTTTTTCCTGCGTTGCTTTGAGCAACGTCTCAAACCGAACCTATTCCGACTGCGTCACAGTCACCGTCAGCGTCAGCGCGAGTGGCAGCGTCTGCGTGTGCGGGAAGTGCAGTCGTTGTCTTGAAGACACGTGTTTCTGTGCGGTTTGAAATCGCGCTCATATGGACTCCTGTTTCTTTTCAATGGGTTTGATGCTTTTCCTTATTCTTGCCCCTTCCCTCGCCCTCTCCCCCCCTCTCCCCCCCCTTCCCCCCCTCTCGCTTCCCCCACTCTCCCGTCTCTCCAAACCCTCGAGCAGGCATCCCAGGCGTGGCACGGCACTTAACCCTCCTCTCCACCCACCGCCCCTCCTCGTCCTCCGCCTTCCCCCTCTCCTCCTCCCCCCTTGCAACCTCCCCGCCCCCGCGCCATTTGCTGCTGGGGCGGACCGACACGATCGTGAGCGTCACTGACGGGGATGGGGAGCTGCGCGGCGGAGGGGGGCAGGGGGAGAACGGGAGAGGCGCGGAGCAGGGGGAGCAGGGTGCGGGGGTGCGGAGAGAGGGGGAGCAGCCGGAGCCTCGTGCGCCTGAGGAGGAGGAGGAGCGATGCGAGTGAGTGAAGCACGCGCGTGGGGCGTGTGTGTGTGCGTGTGGGGATAAGGGCTCGGGGTTGGGACGAGGAATGAGTGAGTGCTTCTGGTGGTAGGCGTCTCTCCGCCGTGCCTGAAGCGGGAGGTCCGAGGTTCCACACCAGACTGCAGTTGAACCTCCTAGGGGGTGCTTCTGATTCTACTCATTAGATGTCTCTCGCTCTTGACTTGAGAGTGCAGAGCAAGCGGAGAGTTTACTTTCGTGCAGGGAGCCCAGCCCAGTCCATCCATCCATTCGTATACACATACACATGGTCCACGGACAACCATTCACGGCTCTGAAACTCACTTTGAGGTGCATAAAAAACCCATCCACTCGTATACACATACACTCGGTCACGGACAAAGATTCACGGCTCTGAAGCGCACACGCTCCCTGCTTCTTTTCCCCACTGATCACCGCTCTCGCCTGCTCTCCCCCTCCCCTTCCCCCCCCCTCCCCACCCGCACTCCCCCTTTCAAGCCTTCGAGGGAGGAGTACGGCGTGCTTCCCTTCCACTCACAGCACGTCCGCACACGTGCACTCACAGCCCCCATCCACACTCCCACGCACTGCTCTTAAACGCACAATTTCCCTGCTTCCTTCTCCTCCTGCCCACCCCCCATCCCCCCACCTTCCAGGGAGGCGTACGGGTGGCTGCCGTGCAGCACGTCAGTGGGGGGCAACGCCTTCCTCATGGCGGCCTATGGTTACATCATCCTCGTTGCCGCCAAGCTCATTTCCGACGGCTCCGAGCTGCTGCTGCAGGTGTGCAGAGCGGTGCTGGGAATTGCGGTGCGGTGTGCAGTGATGCGGTGTTTTGGGTTGTGCGGTGGTTGGGGGTGGGGTGGTGTCGCGGGATGTGGTGGTGTGTGGTGTGTGGTGGATGTGGTGGTGTGTGGTGTGAGTGGTCGTTCGTGGGGACATGTGTTGAAAAGTAGGGGAAGCGATTGCAGGCCAGGGAAGCAAAGGACGGAGGGAGGGTGGGGGGAAGAGAGGGTGGGATCGGAGTAGGAATTAGTTAGGATTGGTAGTTTACCTGATAGCGTCTGTTTCATCTGTATCTGCTATAACGACAATTCTCCTGCCACTTATTAATGACCACCCTCCCTATCCTCCCTCCCCTCCATCCCTCCCTCTTTCCCCTCTCCTCCATCCTCTCCCTCTCCTCCCTCCTCTCCCTCTCCTCCCTCATCTCCCTCCCTTCCATCCCCTCCCTCCCCTCCCTCACCATCCCTTCCCTACCTGTCCTCCCTCTCCTCCCTCCCCTCGCTCCCCTCCACCCCCCCCCTGCGTGCGTGCAGGTGCTGGACCCCGGTCTCATCGGAGGGCTGTTCCTGCCCATGCTGGGAGCCATGCCAGACACAGTGCTCATTCTGGTGCGTGCCATGTGTTGTGTGCTCTCTTGACCTTGGAGTCCACTCAACGTCGGTCTGATTGTTCCTGCCCATGCTGGGAGCTATGCCAGATGCAGTGCTTATTCGGATGCGTGCCATGTGTTGTGTGCTCTCTTGACCTTTGTGAGTCCACTCAAAGTCGGTCTCATCTCATCGGGGGTTTGTTCCTGCCCATGCTCGGAGGGAGCAATGCCAGACACAGTGCTCATTCTGATGCGCGCTCTTCCTCTGCTCCACTGCAAGCCCTCTCACTCCTCCTCCCCTTGCCCCTTGCCCCCCGGGGGACTTCCACCACACCACACACACGCGGGCGCTTTCATACACACACACACGCACGCATGCACGCACGCACGCGCCCACAACCACAACCACACCCACGCCCATAGCGACACCCACACCCACGCCCACGCCCATGCCCATGCCCACTTCTCACGGCCCACGCCCACCTCTGACGGCCCACGCCTGTCAAAAACACGTCTCCTGGCGTGTGGTCTAGGGGGCTCAAAGGGGCAGGCGTAGGAGCAGGTGCGTGTGCGCAGCACCCCCGTGAATCGTGATCCCCTCCCCTGCCATGATCCACATGCTGCACACTCCCGACGCCCCACGCCTGTTCCCATGCCCCAAACCTCCCCACACCCCACTCCCCCTCCTCCTACCCCCTGTACTACCCACTCCCCCTCCAGGTATCCGGGCTGGGAGGCAGCAAGGAGCAGGCGCAGGAGGAGGTGCTGGTGGGCATGGGCGTGCTGGCAGGGAGCACCGTCATGATCCTCACCGTCGCCTGGGGGGGCTCCCTGCTCTGCGGCCGCTGTGACCTGGAGGAGAAGCAGAGGAGCGACGGGAGTGTGGACCTGGTGGCCAGGGATAAGACGCTCACCCGCCCCTGGGACCTGAAAAGCACAGGTGGGTGTTTTGGGGTGTCTGTGTTTGAGGCGCCTGAAAAGCAGACTCTGCGGCCGCTGCGACCTGGAGGAGAAGCAGAGGAGCGACGGGAGTGTGGACCTGGTGGCCAGGGATAAGACGCTCACCCGCCCCTGGGACCTGAAAGGCACAGGTGGGTTCCAGCAGCAACTAGGCAATCACCTCAGAAACTCGTACTTGCATGCGCCCCATCAATTGCCTCACAATGTGAGGCGCCTCACTCAGAGGAGAGGCAGAGGAGCGGCGGGAGTGGGTGGGTCTGGTGGCCATGGATAAGACGCTCACGTGCTCCTGGGACGTGAAAGGCACAGGTGGGTTATGCAGGCGTGTGTGTCAGAATTCGCCTCGGTTTTGGATGTTCTTCAACAATTGCCTCGGTTCCAATATTTGTAAGCGGCTCAGAGGAGGCGCGGAGCATTGGCCTGGCCACGCACGGCCCACACATTGATGAGCAGAGCACACGTCAAGTTGTCAACAACAGTGCGCACCCCTCAGCAGCAGTGTGTTTAACTGTTTCCGATTGAATCTTTGTGGAGCTTCAACTGCTCCCCGTCCGTCCCTCTTTGAATCGCAACTCCGTTGCTGCATTGCATTCCCTTTAGCCTCTCTGTCTCCCTCTCCCCCTCCCGCCCTCCCCTCCCTGCCCCGTCGTCCCTATGTGGGTTGGCCTGCGTATGGCATGGCAGGGGTGACAACGGACGAGCAGACGCGCCTGGGGGCGTGGATCATGATGGCCACTGTAGTGCCCTTCGTCATCATGCAGGTACAAAAGGCTTGACGTTGCAGCGAGTTTGTGAGAATTTCAAGCACTCAATGCACGCGCGCCTGGGAGCGTGGGTGGATCATGATGGCCACGGTAGTGCCCTTCCTCATCATGCAGGTACAGTGTGTGCTGTCTGCTCACGGCCGCTAGCTATCACCTTGCAGGCACGTCCTCATCATGCAGGTGCAAGCAAGGTTTGAGGCGTCGCTGTGCTGGTGGTGGCGCGGCAAGGTGGGTGGGTCCATCCAGGGGTACAATAAAGACTCCACAGTCCAATACAGTCTCCTCCACACGGTGAGTGCCTGCTGGGGTAAAGTATCAAGCGAAGTACGTGCACTGCACTGCACCCCAGCAGGCGCCCAAGGTTGCCATGCCACGACTGTTACACTGGTTCCAGTCCAGCACCCTGCCTTGCCATGCCACCTGCTCTCGGCCCCATCGTGGCGTGGCGGTACTACCACCAGCCATGGGTGACGGGTCCGCCTTGCAGTGCAGGTACTCCATTCCATTGCAGGTGCTGCCTTGCAGTACTTGCAACCCCCCCGAGTAGTAGTACCAAGCTCCTGAGTACTTGCAGGTGGCTCGGTGGTGCCTGTGTGGATCCTCTCCGACCCACCACCTGCCCATGCCCGCCCCCGTGCCCCTGCTCCTTGCCCAATCTACCTGCCATGGGCCCCCACGTGCCGTCTACCCCCCCCCCCTCTTCCCACCTTCCCCTTCTCTCGCACTCCTCCCCTCGCGCCCTACGCCACGCCACCAGGTGCCGTTCATAGACGGGGGGCAGTACCGCGAGTACCAGGCGCGGTGGCTGTGTGGGTTCACTCCCAAACACCACCTCCCCATGCGCGCCCCTTGCTCCTTCTCCTCCCACTCCCACGCCAGGTGCCGTTCATAGACGGGGGCCAGTACCCCGAGTACCAGGCGCGCATCACGGCGCTGCTGGGTCTGCTGCTCTCCACGGCCGGCCTCATTGCATACTGCGCCTACCAGGTGTGTGCGTGCGTCTGTTCCCGAGCATTTGTCCAAGTACGCACCTGATCACTTCAGGCTCTCAACCCCTGGCTTCTTTTGAGACTGTTCAAAAGTTGCTCAAACCTCCTGATTATGTAAGACTCAACCGCTGACTACCGTCCAAGATCATCTGATCTGATCCACCACACCCGCATGCACCGGGAAAGGAAACCCCCCAACTCCCTTTCCCCTCTCCCCATCCCCCCCTTCTCCCCCCCCAGGTGCTGTCCTGTCCCCATTGCTGAAGTCGTCCAAGATCCTCTGATCCACCACGCTTGCATTGCATGCACCGGGAGGCCCTTCTATCCCGCACTTGCTCCCTTCCTCCCTCCTGGCCCACTTTCCAAACCAAACTTCCTCCACCATCTATCCCCCCTTACCTTCCCCCCTTCTCCCCCATCCCCCCCACCAGGTGCTGTCCCCCTGGCTGCAGTCGTCCAAGATCAACTTTGCGCGCATGCACCTCATGCAACGCAACACCCACTCTTCCCCATTTCAGAGCCCTTGGAAACCCCTTTGTTCCCTCTCTCCCTCCTCTCCTCCTCCCCCCCCCCTCAGGTGCTGTCCCCCTGGCTGCAGTCGTCCAAGATCAACTTTGCGCGCATGCACCTGATGCGGGCGCGTGCGCTGCACCACCTGCACGACCTGGCGCTGCAGAACACGTGGGGCGGGCTGCTGCTGCCCGACGGCACGCCCAACCGCGAGACCATTCACCGCGTGTTCCGGCACTTTGACGAGGACGGCAACGGCACCCTCTCCCGCAGCGAGCTCAAGGGGCTCGTTTTGGGGCTCGGCATTCGTAGCCAGGTGGGGGGGGGGGGGAAGCGGCCAGATGGGGGGTGGGGAAAGGGGTTGGGGGGAAGAGGGGGAGGGGGGGGGTGAGGGGGGGGAGGGGGAGGGAAGAAACATGGCGATGGGTGCTGGGTTGCCAGGGGATGTTCCTGGGAGTCCAGGGAACTGTGTGTGTGTGGGTAGGTCATGGGAGACGATCCATCCACCGCGTGTTCCGGCACTTTGACGAGGACGGCAACGGCACGCTCTCCCGCAGCGAACTCAAGGGACTCGTGCTGGGCCTGGGCATTCGCAGCCAGGTGTGGAAGTGGGATGGCAGCATTTCTTACAAGGGTGGCTGGGAATGAGAGAGAGTGCCAAGAGATTGCTGGCGTGGAAGTGGGGGTGAGGAGAGGGACGGGGCTGGGTAAGGGGAGTCGGAGAGTTGGGTCTGTGTCTGTGCTAGCATGTGGCTTCTGTACATGAAGCATTCTCTCCCTCTCACGGCAACTGCCTCTGCCTGTGTCTTTGTTTCGCATGTCTGTGTGCATGTGTGCGTGCGTGTGTGCGGCGTGTGTGCGTGCGTGTGTGCGTGCGTGTGTGCGTGCATGGGTGCATGCATGTGTGTGTTAATGTGCGCATGCATGTGTGTGTTAATGTGCGCATGCATGTGTGCGTTAATGGGTGCATGCATGTGTTCATGCATCCCTGCGTGCATGCATCCCTGCATATACCGGCCAGCAGGCACCAGGAGACGTGCCAGCAGACGATGAGGTGGCAGCATGGATGCGCGACTTCGATGCCAACTCCGATGGCGAGATCGGCCATGTCAGTCATGCAGGGGGGGGAGGGGAGAGAGGGATGGGCATGGGGAGGTGTAGGGGGTGACACGGGAGAGGGGGGGTTGACACGGGAGAGGGGGGGGTGGCACTGGGGGGTGGCAGCATGGATGCGAGACTTTGATGCCAACTCCGATGGCGAGATCGGCCATGTAATCAGTCATGCAGGGAGGGGTGGTTGTGGTTGGCACGGGAACAGGGGAGGTGGCATGCGAGGGGGTTGGTGTGGGGCGAGGGAGGGGGGATGGCACGAGGGGAGGGGGTGCAACAGGAATGGTTGGCACCGAAGGCCGGTGGTATGGTATCGGGGGTGGTTGGCACGGGATGGTGGCTTGGCATGGGTGGGTGGCATGGGTGGGTGGCATGGGTGGGTGGCATGGGGCGGGCGGCCTGGGACGGGTGGTTTGGTTGAGGTGGATGCATGGGTTGTGTGAGGTTCTGTTGTTCTTACTTGAGTGTGTTAAGTGTCTTCAACCCTGATCCCGAAACTTTTAAGACGAACTCACAATGTCTTCAGTCCCATGACATGGCCTGCTGGGCTGTCCCATGCCATGCCATGCCATGCCATGCCATGCCATGTTGTTGCACCCCATGCCCATGCCACTGCCCCCACCCTCCTTCCCACCACCTTTCCTGTAGCACACTAGCACACAACTGCATGGCCACCCGTAAACTTTATTATGTCTTGCTTTGCATCCCCTTTTCCTGGAAAATCATGGGACGGCATGGCTTGGCATGGCATACTGTGGTGGCATGGTGTGTCCCGGACTCTCCCTGCACTAACTCTGGCATGGCATGGCACACGTGCATGCTGGTGGCATGGTGGGGGTGGCTTGGCTTGTACCACAGGAGGAGTTCATGTCAGGCATGCAGCGGTGGATCACCCACCACTCCTCGCCCTCCCATCGCCCCTCCACCATGTCACTCCTCAGAGGCGCCAGGTCACACTCTCTTCCCTCTCCCCTTTTCCATCTCCGCTCTTCTCCCTCCCATCTCCCCTCTCCCCTTGCTCCCCTCCCCTCTCCCCACTCCCTTCTCCCCTCTCCCACCCCCTTCACCCTCCCATTAGCCACGTACGGATTCATAAAGCTGGAATCAGAATCAAGTAAAATGCCACCCACTGTTTGGAATCCTCTCATAGCTGTGCCATTTTACACACATGCAACGAGTGTGCCTTCTTTCTCACATGCTTTGAGCCGGCCCGTACATGCTTTGAGCCGGCCCGTACATGCTTTGAGCCGGGCCTTACATGCATGGTGCTACTATTGCAGGCCGTGGGGGGTTTGAGCTAGGGAGGGTAGCAGAGCAGTAGGGTTTGTGGGAGGGCGGAAGGGGGCGAGGGGGGAGAGGAGGGGATCTGGAAAGAAGGAGGGAGGATGGGGGAGAGTGGACGAGCGTGGCAGCAGGGCAGCGGGAGAGAGGAGAGAGGGAGAGAGGTAGAAAGAGGGAGAGAAGAGAGACAAGAGAGACAAGAGAGGAGCCAAAGGTTGTGTTTATCCTACATCCTTCCGTCCTCATCCTTCCGTCCTCCTCCCTCCCTCCTCACCTCTCCCCTCTATATGTGCTGGAACAGTTGGAGAAGAGTGGGGAGAGGATCTAAAAGCCGTGTTGTACCCCAACCCGTCGCCGCTCATCCCCCACGTGTCATCACCCTCACTTGTCACTCCTCACTCCCCCTTCCTCACTCCCCCTTCCTCACTCCCCCTTCCTCACTCCCCCTTCCTCAGCCCTTTCCTCAATGACGCCTCACTCACCCCTCACTCTTCCCCCTTCAGTGCGGACAACAAGTTTTGGGAGGGGCAGCTGGAGGGGCTGCAGAAGAGAGAGAAGAGGACCCGAAAGCCATGCCGTATCCCCATCCCCCACCCCTCTCTCGTCACTCCTGACCCCTCACTCACTCCTCCTCACCCCTCCCTCTCTCCTCAGTGCGGACAACAAGTTATGGGAGGGGCAGCTGGCGAACGCCAAGGGACAGCTGGAGTGGCTGGAGCAGCGAGAGAGAAGCGGACCTCTGAAAGCCGTGCTCTGTCCCCACCCTGCGCCCCTCCCATCTCCCTCCTCCCCTTCCATCTCCCTCCTCCCCTTCCATCTCCCTCCTCCCCTCCCATCTCCCTCCTCCCCTCTCAGTGCGGACAACAAGTTTTGGGAGGGGCAGCTGGCGAACGCCAAGGGGCAGCTGGAAGGGCTGGAGCAGGAGCTAGAGGAGGAGGTGGAGGACGAGGAGGAGGAGCAGGTCGTCAAAACGCCCGCTCAGATCTACCGCGAGGTGTGAGGGGGTAGGGAGTGCGCCCGTGGGTGGGTGGGTGGGTGGGTGGGTGGGTGAGTAGGTGTATGGGTGGGCGGGTGTTGTTGCATTGAGAGGTTTGTGGGTCTGTGTGTGTTGAAGTGGTCGTTTGGGTGGGTGTATGCATGCGTGCATGCATGGGTGTGTGGGGCATGTCGTGTGGCGGTTCTGGCCCCGCTTGCTCCCTTCCTTCTCGTGCCTTGTTCTCCTCTCCTCTCTCTCCCTCTCTCTTCCTGTCGTCCTCACTCTCTCTCCCTCTCCCTCTTGCCGGTGCCCTCTGTACGCCCATCACCCTCGGCAGGCGATAATGCTGATAGCAGGCGGGGCGGTGCTGGTGGGGTGCTTTGCAGACCCAGTCATTGGCTCCATCACGGCCTTCTCCAGGTGCGTCCCATGCTGCTGCTGCTGCTGCTGCTGCTGCTGCTGGTGATGCTGATCGTGGTCATGCTGGTGATGCTGGTGATGCTGGTGATGCTGGTGATGCTGGTGATGCTGGTGATGCTGGTGATGCTGGTGATGCTTGTGATGCTTGTCCTGGTATGTGGTGACTCCCAGACCCCGTCATTGGCTCCATCACGGCCTTCTCCAGGTGCGCGCCATGCTGCTGCTTCTCATGCTGCTGCAGCTGCTGCTGCCGTTGCTGCTGCTGTCACCACCGCCGTTGCTGCTGCTGTCACCACCGCCGTTGCTGCTGCTGCTGCTGCTGCTACTGTTGTTGTGTTTGCATCGTGTGCACAGCACAGGATGGGCAGGAAAGGAGGCACAGTCATGCACATCTCATTCTTCTCCCTTCCACTTCACACTCGCCTCTTCCTTGCTCTCCCCTCTCCCCTCAACCCTCTCCCGTCTCCCCTCTCCCATCACCCCTCTTCTCACCCCTCTCCCCTCACCACTCTCCCCTTGCCCCTCTCCCCCCCCCCCTCACCCCGCGCCAGGGCATCACACATCCCGCCGTTCTTTGTGGCGTTTGTGGCTTTCGAGTCAACTTAATAGTCACTCATCCCTCTCCTCTCTCCCCTCGCCCCTCGCCCCTCACTCCCCCCCCCCCCCCCCCCCCCGCCAGGGCGTCGCACATCCCGCCGTTCTTTGTGGCGTTTGTGGTGACGCCGCTGGCGTCCAACGCGAGTGAGCTCGTCTCCTCGCTCTACTTCGCCATGAAGAAGCGCCGCCGCACCGCCTCGCTCACGTACTCGCAGGTGTACGGCGCCATCACCATGAACAACACCATGTGAGTCGCCCCGCGCACTCAGGCCGTGGGGTTCAGGCTGTTAAGGCACGCCCTTGTAAGGTGCTTAAGGCCCTTATAAGGTGCCTCGCTCACCTACTCGCAGGTCTACGGCGCCATCACCATGAACAACACCATGTGAGTCCGACCGTGGGGCTGTGGAGGCGCGCCCTTCTAAGGTCCTGAAGGCCCTTACAAGGTGCCTCGCTCACGTACTCGCAGGTCTACGGCGCCATCACCATGAACAACACCACGTGAGTCGCTCCGCTGTGCCCTTCGGCATATCTGCCCTTTCATAAGTCCAATCCCCACCCCACCCCCCCTTACCTCACCACACGCTCTCACCCCAGCCTCCTGTAGGTGTAGTGTATGCTCTTAGTTGACCAAACGTCTTCCCGTTTTTCCCCGCCCATCTCCCCTCTTCCTTCCCCTCCCCCCGGGCTCTCGATGCCCCAGGTGTCTGGTCACGTGTCTGGTCTACTCAAGAGTCAAAAGTCGGGAACACACCTCAAAGCCCTCCCACCATCTCTCGTCCCCTCTCTCTCTCCCACTTTTCCTCCTCCCCCTCTTCCTCCCTCTATCACCAATCCCCCACACTCTCCCTCCCTCTCTCGCCCTCGCTCCCTCGCTCCCGCTCTCCCTCTCTCCCTCCCCTCTCTCAACCCCTCAGGTGTCTGGGCACGTTCCTTGCACTCATCTATTTCCGCGGCCTGGCATGGCAGTTCAGCAGCGAGGTGGTCATCATTCTCCTCAACACCTTTGTCGTCGGCCTCCTGGGCGGCAGCCGCCACACCTTCCCCACCTGGATGGCGTTCCCCGTCCTCTTGTTCTATCCAGTGTCACTTGCGATTGTGGCTTGTCTTGACACGTACCTGGGATGGCAGTGAGGGGAATAAGAGATGAGAAAGATTAGGTTCAGGGGGGTTTAGGGGCAGAGGAGGAAGTGTGGAGGGAAAGCAGAGATAACAATGACAAATCATGGAGGGTGAGTGGTAGGAATCGAGGTGGTGCCTCTGGGGAGGGGATGTAGGTAGCTCGTATGGGATGGCATTGCTGATCTCCTGCTATGCAGCATCTCCCTCATTTTGATTATTAGTGAAATTTAGCTGATATTGTTGTGATGTATACAAGTATGGCCATAAATGAGGGTCTTGTTTTATATAATCAAGTTGGAGCACTGTCAATTAGTATGTATCACCTCAAGAGTACAGCCAATCTCTTGGTTGCGATTTTTTCCAATATTTTACCGAGCTAACTTCGTAACGAGCATTAGTTTCGCCGGAGATCATGGAACTGGGAGAAGCTCGAAAATTGTTCAAGCCATCACTTTAGTCGCCTCTCCCACATAGCTGGAGGTGGAATTTTTTCGCTTACAGGCTTTCACATCATGCTGGACGCTCCTCGATGCTGACTGGTTGTTCTGATATGTTCTCCAGAGATCTTGGAGTATTGAAGCAACCACTCTTGAACTGCCATGTCAGATAGCTGACGAGCCTGATGGTTCTCTATCGGCCTCTCGTTCAATGAGGTTCTCTCGTTACAGGCCCACGATGGCGGAATCTCAAGAGACTCCCCAAGTTTGGCATGACCAAACAGCCCGAAACGACGGAACGCATTCCCTTGGTTGCTACGTCACCTGAATGAATTCGTCCGCGAGCGACTCGGGACAACCTACCTCGACCACCGCGTAAGTCCCAAGATTCCATTGCAAACAAACCTAGAGCACTCTTCCCACCCCGTCTATAAACAGGCGGAACGTCATTCTTGCACCAACAGAAGCACTTTTCGGTGATAAATCAGTCAGCTGTGGTTACACGTCACAAGGTGAACACTCTCGAGTTTCTGTCGCTCCACTGCAGCACTCAATTGTCATCATGGCGACCGCTCCCGTCTCCTCGGCGATGAAGGCCTCCCTCTCCACGACCAAGGCGTCGCTCGCCTCGCCCGTGGTCTCTGGCCCGGCCTCCGCCAAAATCACGCGCTTCGATGGGCTCAAGTCGGCCTCCGCCTTCGCGGGCGCCAAGCCCACCTCGCAGGCCGCTCAGCTGCGCGCCAAGTTCTCGGCGGTGCAGAGCAGCGAGGCGCAGCTCGGCGTGGTGCGGTGCGAGCAGACGGAGCCCGGGATGAAGCTGGTGTTCGTGTCGGCGGAGGTGGCGCCGTGGAGCAAGACGGGCGGCCTGGGAGATGTGCTGGGCGGCCTCCCCCCCGCGCTCGCCGCCAGGGGCCACCGCGTGATGACGGTGTCGCCGCGCTACGACCAGTACAAGGACGCCTGGGACACTGACGTCACCATCGATGTAAGTGCCGCACCCGGGACGCTGCTCAACCAATTTCTCCACCCTGATTACCAATATATTATATTTCGTTTGCTTTAATGTATCGCAATCGCCAATTTAAGGTGAAATTTGCGACCTTGATGACCAAGCAAGACCTGATGTTCCTAACACGTGGTTGCGCTGTCGCGTGGCGTGTCGGGCTGACGTGGGCAGGTGAAGGTGGGCGACGCGGTGGAGAAGGTGCGGTTCTTCCACTGCTACAAGCGCGGCGTGGATCGCGTGTTCGTGGACCACCCGTTGTTCCTGGCCAAGGTGTACGGCAAGACGGGCAGCAAGGTGTACGGGCCCAAGACGGGCGTCGACTACGACGACAACGTGCTGCGCTTCTCGCTCTTCAACCAGGCGGCGCTCATGGCGCCCAAGGTGCTGGCGCTCAGCAACAACCCGTACTACTCGGGCACGTACGGCGAGGACGTGGTGTTCGTGGCCAACGACTGGCACACGGGCGTGCTGCCGGCGTACCTCAAGGTGCTGCAGCAGCAGGGTCACTTCCGCCAGGCCAAGGTCGCCTTCTGCACGCACAACATCGCGTACCAGGGCCGCTTCGCGCCCGCCGACTTCGACCGCCTCAACCTCCCCGACTCCTTCCGCCCCTCCTTCGCCTTCACTGACGGGTACGTTGCGGGTAGTAGCGCGGTCCGGGTTTCCGGGTTGGTAAGATTTTGTTGTGAGAAGCACTCACCATGAATTTGCAGTAAAGACAATTAAACCCGAACCTTGGAACGGAAATTCTCGCTCCTCGCATGATTGTGATTCAATCTGAGCCGCTCTCATCCCGATCTTCTGCTGTTCTTTCTTTCGGCGCGTGCAGGTACGCGAAGCCGGTGAAGGGGCCGAAGATTAACTGGCTGAAGGCGGGATTCACGGAGGCGGACCTGGTGCTGACGGTGTCGCCCAACTACGCGGCGGAGCTGCAGTCGGGGCCGGCCAAGGGCGTGGAGCTGGACGACGTGATTCGCGCCACGGGCATCAAGGGCATCGTGAACGGCATGGACGTGTCGGAGTGGGACCCGTCGGAGGACAAGTTCCTCGACGCGCGCTACGACGCGTCCAACGTGCTCGAGCTCAAGCCGGCGCTCAAGGAGGCGCTGCAGGCGGAGGTGGGGCTGCCGGTGCGCGCGGACGTGCCGGTGCTGGCGTTCATCGGGCGGCTGGAGGAGCAGAAGGGGTCGGACATTCTGTCGGCGGCGGTGGAGGAGATTCTGGCGGGCGACGTGCAGCTGATCGTGCTGGGCACGGGCAAGAAGTACCTGGAGCAGCAGCTCGAGGCGCTCGAGGCCAAGTACCCCGACAAGGCGCGCGGCGTCGTCAAGTTCAACACTCCGCTGGCGCATCTCATGACGGCCGGCGCCGACTTCATGCTCGTGCCGTCGCGCTTCGAGCCGTGCGGGCTGATCCAGCTGCACGCCATGCGCTACGGCACCGTGCCCATCGTGGCGTCCACGGGCGGGCTCGTCGACACCGTGAAGGACGGCGTCACGGGCTTCCAGATCGGCGAGTTCAACGTCGACGTGCGTTCCCCTCGCTGCCCTGCCCTCGCCTTTCACTGCTGTTCCTCAATTCCTCGCGTTCCTCTTCCCCCTGCCTTGTCTCTCACTTAAATCCCCCCTCCAGTCTCCAATTCCCCAGCTTGTTTGCCACAATTGCACCTTGTCCTAACAATCCCCCTGTCCCGTGCGCTATGCTCCCCCCTGCCCCCCTCCCCATGCGCGGCGCAGTGCGAGGCGGTGTATCCGGAGGACGTGGCGACGCTGGCGGCGGGGGTGCAGCGCGCGCTCAAGGTGTTTGGCACGCCGGCGTTCGACCAGATGATTCTCAACGGCATGGCGCAGGACCTGTCGTGGAAGGGCCCCGCCGAGGAGTGGGAGGAGACGCTCCTCTCGCTGCAGGTCGAGAACTCCTCGCCCGGCCAGGCCGACGGCGTCGAAATCGCGCCCAAGGCCCTCGCCAACGTCGCCGCCCCCTAAACCTCGCCACACCTCCCCTCCCCCAATTTTTCTCGGCCCCCTGTGCCATAGACTAATATGTACCTAATAAGACCGGCACTTGCCGCTTAGGTGTCTTTGTCGGTGTTTTTGTTTTGCTTTGGCTGGCTAGCGAGAAGCCTGACAAGCAGGTTTCTATTGTAAATGTCTGTTCCTTGCATAGTGGAGAATCTGTTTTGAGAAATTTTGTCCCTCTCAAGCGAGCAATATCTTGCTTGTCAGTTCTTCTGAGACAGCTTGAAGTGGCGCTTGCCTGTTGCAGTACCACAGTCCAGGGGTGAATGTTTGACGTAACACCTGCACAAATAACCCCATATCAAAGACGCTTCTACAAATAAGTGTGGCGGAACCAGTAAGCTGGGATTCCCGTAAGACAACATGTGGCGGAAAACGGACAGAGTGTCAGCGCTAGAACTCGAAAGATATGTCAACACATCCATAGGGAAGAGAACCAGCGGGATGATGAGAGAGAAGCGCTGAAATGCGTGGGGGAGGAGGAAGGGAGATGAGACAGGAGGCGACAGACAGGGAGAGAGCGAATCCAGTGTGTGGAATCGGAAATGAAGGTAACCTATCTGTGCACCGGGTGAGTCTGCTTCTTGCACTGAATGACCTGTCACGTACCCCGCACAATCCCCTTTTCAAAGGGACTTGCGCGACAAATTTAGTGTACCGGTATGTCAATGAGGACCTTCGATTTACATGTTCCACGAAGCCTTACATCTTATCAGTAGCGCTGACCTGATCATTGTCAGTGCGGTCTTTACACTGGTTGAGAATGGCCGGTCTGCCAGTCACTGAAGGGATTGTCTGGCAAAAAGTGAATGAAATTTCATGTTTTCTCATGTCTACGGGCTTGAAGGGAACCAGCACAAGAATGGTGCTTGCATTGTTTTCATTCTTTTTCAGGGCTTCTTCGTGCAGTTTTATTGCGACACACATTCAACTCTGGAGAGTGGCAGAGCAATACCGCAGCTTAGATTCCACAAAGAATTGACAAGAAAGTTGTTGGTCGCTTGAGGGGAAAAACTTTCAAAATATATTATGCACTAAACAAGGACAAGGCCTTTACAATAGAAACCTGCTTGTCAGGCTTCTCAGCCAATGCAAAAAAAAGGAAAACACCCACAAAGACACCTAGGGGACAAGTGCCGATCTTATTAGGTACAAATTAGTGTATGGCACAGAGGGCTCTGAAAAATTGGGGGTGGGGGGCCGTGGCGAGGTTTAGGGGGCGGCGACGTTGGCGAGGGCCTTGGGCGCGATTTCGACGCCGTCGGCCTTGCCGGGCGAGGAGTTCTCGACCTGCAGCGAGAGGAGCGTCTCCTCCCACTCCTCGGCGGGGCCCTTCCACGACAGGTCCTGCGCCATGCCGTTGAGAATCATCTGGTCGAACGCCGGCGTGCCAAACACCTTGAGCGCGCGCTGCACCCCCGCCGCCAGCGTCGCCACGTCCTCCGGATACACCGCCTCGCACTGCGCCGCGCATGGGGAGGGGGGCAGGGGGGAGCATAGCGCACGGGACAGGGGGATTGTTAGGACAAGGTGCAATTGTGGCAAACAAGCTGGGGAATTGGAGACTGGAGGGGGGATTTAAGTGAGAGACAAGGCAGGGGGAAGAGGAACGCGAGGAATTGAGGAACAGCAGTGAAAGGCGAGGGCAGGGCAGCGAGGGGAACGCACGTCGACGTTGAACTCGCCGATCTGGAAGCCCGTGACGCCGTCCTTCACGGTGTCGACGAGCCCGCCCGTGGACGCCACGATGGGCACGGTGCCGTAGCGCATGGCGTGCAGCTGGATCAGCCCGCACGGCTCGAAGCGCGACGGCACGAGCATGAAGTCGGCGCCGGCCGTCATGAGATGCGCCAGCGGAGTGTTGAACTTGACGACGCCGCGCGCCTTGTCGGGGTACTTGGCCTCGAGCGCCTCGAGCTGCTGCTCCAGGTACTTCTTGCCCGTGCCCAGCACGATCAGCTGCACGTCGCCCGCCAGAATCTCCTCCACCGCCGCCGACAGAATGTCCGACCCCTTCTGCTCCTCCAGCCGCCCGATGAACGCCAGCACCGGCACGTCCGCGCGCACCGGCAGCCCCACCTCCGCCTGCAGCGCCTCCTTGAGCGCCGGCTTGAGCTCGAGCACGTTGGACGCGTCGTAGCGCGCGTCGAGGAACTTGTCCTCCGACGGGTCCCACTCCGACACGTCCATGCCGTTCACGATGCCCTTGATGCCCGTGGCGCGAATCACGTCGTCCAGCTCCACGCCCTTGGCCGGCCCCGACTGCAGCTCCGCCGCGTAGTTGGGCGACACCGTCAGCACCAGGTCCGCCTCCGTGAATCCCGCCTTCAGCCAGTTAATCTTCGGCCCCTTCACCGGCTTCGCGTACCTGCACGCGCCGAAAGAAAGAACAGCAGAAGATCGGGATGAGAGCGGCTCAGATTGAATCACAATCATGCGAGGAGCGAGAATTTCCGTTCCAAGGTTCGGGTTTAATTGTCTTTACTGCAAATTCATGGTGAGTGCTTCTCACAACAAAATCTTACCAACCCGGAAACCCGGACCGCGCTACTACCCGCAACGTACCCGTCAGTGAAGGCGAAGGAGGGGCGGAAGGAGTCGGGGAGGTTGAGGCGGTCGAAGTCGGCGGGCGCGAAGCGGCCCTGGTACGCGATGTTGTGCGTGCAGAAGGCGACCTTGGCCTGGCGGAAGTGACCCTGCTGCTGCAGCACCTTGAGGTACGCCGGCAGCACGCCCGTGTGCCAGTCGTTGGCCACGAACACCACGTCCTCGCCGTACGTGCCCGAGTAGTACGGGTTGTTGCTGAGCGCCAGCACCTTGGGCGCCATGAGCGCCGCCTGGTTGAAGAGCGAGAAGCGCAGCACGTTGTCGTCGTAGTCGACGCCCGTCTTGGGCCCGTACACCTTGCTGCCCGTCTTGCCGTACACCTTGGCCAGGAACAACGGGTGGTCCACGAACACGCGATCCACGCCGCGCTTGTAGCAGTGGAAGAACCGCACCTTCTCCACCGCGTCGCCCACCTTCACCTGCCCACGTCAGCCCGACACGCCACGCGACAGCGCAACCACGTGTTAGGAACATCAGGTCTTGCTTGGTCATCAAGGTCGCAAATTTCACCTTAAATTGGCGATTGCGATACATTAAAGCAAACGAAATATAATATATTGGTAATCAGGGTGGAGAAATTGGTTGAGCAGCGTCCCGGGTGCGGCACTTACATCGATGGTGACGTCAGTGTCCCAGGCGTCCTTGTACTGGTCGTAGCGCGGCGACACCGTCATCACGCGGTGGCCCCTGGCGGCGAGCGCGGGGGGAAGGCCGCCCAGCACGTCGCCCAGGCCGCCCGTCTTGCTCCACGGCGCCACCTCCGCCGACACGAACACCAGCTTCATGCCGGGCTCCGTCTGCTCGCACCGCACCACACCGCGCTGCGCCTCGCTGCTCTGCACCGCCGAGGACTTGGCGCGCAGCTGAGCGGCCTGCGAGGTGGGCTTGGCGCCCGCGAAGGCGGAAGCCGACTTGAGCCCATCGAAGCGCGCGATGTTGGCGGAGGCGGGTCCGGAGACCACGGGCGAGGCGAGGGACGCCTTGGTCGTGGAGAGGGAGGCCTTCATCGCCGAGGAGACGGGAGCGGTCGCCATGATATGCTGAATTGTAGTGCTCGGACTCTGGAGTATGCCTTTCAAGAATCAAGAAGCTGAATTTGATCACAAATTCAGCGCTCTGGGTTGCAATGACACTGGAGGATGGTGAAGTGATGTGGAAGTTGGAATTTATGGGAAGAGCTGAGTGAGGCATGTAAATTGTCGAGTCGCGCAAACCTCAGAATTTGCGGGAGGAAATCTCCAGAAGGGGAAGGACTCGTGGTGGAAAGGGGGGTCAAGAGGAGCTGTGGGAATGCAGTTGGAAGGAACTTGTGGTGGGCCATGACCGGCGGGCAGTTGTGATTTGAGGAGGAGTTGGTTTGGAATCTTGGGTTTGTTTCTTAGGCTGCCGAAGCTTTGAATGGCTCTCAACGAATGCCGGGCCTGTGGCGGAGGCTCGATTGATGAGTGAAAATTGCGTGGTTACGGAAAACAGACGGAGGAGAAAAACTTGTTCCGAATCCTTGGAGTTGGTGTTCGCGATTTGTCACGTCAGATGGAGTGCCACGTATGTGAAAAATGCGAATTGAAGCGCACCGACAGATTCCGTGTTCGTCATGAGCTGTTTGTTAGTGGTTCACTTCAAAATCATTTGAATTAGGCATAGTAGATTTGACATTTCCATAAGAAACAAGTGGGAAGCAAAGCAGCACAAATTAGTTGTCACTAGGAATAAAGCTAGAATGGATCTCAAGATAGCATCACCTATGAGCGAAATTTGGCATCCCCAAAGCCCATAGTTCATCTAAGCAAACTGGGCCACCATTTCTACCTGTCCAGAAAACTAATGGATGGGTGCTTTCAAGTTTTCTCTAACATGGTGCGGCACACCAGTAGCAGCAATTCCCCACTACTCGGACAACAAACCATCTGTGCCACCATCGCCAGAACCACCACCAGCAACATCCCCACCAGCCGTAACAGCGGCAACAACAGCAGGAGGAACCCGGGCAGAGAGTATGGGTGGGAGAACGAGGGGAGCGCTCCAGTGGGGGAAGGGGGAGATGCGGGGTGCTTCCAGATGCACGTGCCACACAAGCACCCGGGAGCAGTCGTCTGCTAGCGCCTCCATCTGTGACTCGTCTGCTACCAGTTGCTCTATGAACGTGGTCTCCTGCACGGGTGCAACATGTCGGCAGACAGTGGGGGTGAGAGACAGGTGGGAATGGAAACACAGCGGGTTGAGTCAAAATGGAAACCCTTTTCCCACTTCCAGCCCAAACATAGGCTGCAAAGAGCAGATCACAGAAATCCTAACCTATAACTTCTCACCCATGCCAGGCCATCACCCCTCCATGAACGTCCTCCCTCCCTCCACACCTCCCGTTTTTTTTGTCCCCCCCCTTTCACCCATGCCAGGCCATCCCAAACACCACCTTCCACCTCCCTCCCTCACACCAAACCCTCATCGCACCTGAAACCCCTCCTTCACAGAATCCAGCTGTCTGATTGGCTGGTCCGTTGGGCGGCGCCACAGCGACGGGTTCCAGAGAATCGTAGAGTTGAACGCGAATCCACACATGTCCACGTGGAAGCGCCTCACTCGCCGGCTCTTGTCATTGGTGTGCCATCCAATCACCCTGCCGGCCTCGCACACTGGCCCTTCCAGCGTTGCCCGAGACTTGCCCTGCTGCAGCATTGCCACTGGCCATGTGCCAAATCGCCTGGGGCGTTGCAGGGTGAGGGTGGAGAGAGGGGTGAGGTGGAAATGATGAGGTCAGGGATGGTGCGGAGCAGTGCTTTGCGGTGGAGGGGTGGAGTGGGAGTGGGAGACGTATGACGGGAGTGTACACAAGAGATGAGGTGAGGAGCCGTGGGACGTGGTGGAAGATGGGGAAAAAACAGTCAGACAGACAAGCATTGCAGCATTGCAGTTGGTGCCAAGGGGAGGCTGTTGCAGGACTCGGTGTGTGGTTAAAGGCGTGGGTCAAGATGGTAGTGATGGAAAAGAGAGGGGAAGGGAGGGGAGGGGAGGGGAGGGGAGGGGAGGGGAGGGGAGGGGAGGGGAGGGGAGGGGAGGGGAGGGGAGGGGAGCGGAGGGGAGGAGAGGAAACGCAGGAGAAGAGAGAGAAAGGAACCGAGACAGAGACATTGCACCAACAAACCCCCCCACCCACCCCACCCATCCTCCCCCACACCCCGCACTCCCTCCAAACCCCGCTTGAACTCACTTGATGGCGCGCATCTCCGCAAAGCACATGACGCCATCCAGCACAGACACAGACACAGAAACAGACACAGCAACATCCCTCCACCCCACCCTTCCCCACACCCCCCATCCCCCATCCCCCTCTCCCCCCCCCCCCCCCCCCCCCCCTCCCCCTTTCCACTCACTTAATCGCGTGCATCTCCTCGAACAGCTCCAGCGAGTAGATGTTATCGTCATCCGCAAAGTACATAATCCCGTCCAGGCAGTGCTTCTAAGGCGCCTCAAAAGCCTTTGCACTCACTTGATGGCGCGCATCTCCTCAAAGAGCTCCAGCGAGTAGATGTTATCGTCATCCGCGAAGTACATGATGCCGTCCAGGCGGTGCTTCTCCACGTGCTCCATGGCGGCGTTGCGCTGGTGCACGCCGCGGTCCTTGATGTCCGTCATGTTCTTGTGCGCCACCAGATGCCGGTACACCAGCCCCGTCCCGCGCAGCAGCGCCGCCGTCTCCGCGGATTGCGGGAAGATCTCCACGACCAGCCAGAGCACCGGCGGCGGGACTTGCGCGAGGAGGTTCGCGAGGCGGTGCAGGTACATGGCTTGGAACGGGCGCACGTAGGTTGGGGTGACGATGATGAGCAGCGGGCGCACGCCGCCGCCTGTTTCTTCCCCCGTGCGCGCGTCCACGCGGTGGTACGCGGAGCACTGCGCGCTGTCGGGGGCCGGCGGAACGCGGAGGGTGGTGAGGGAGGAGGCGGAATCGGAGGGGAAGGAGGACGAGAGCGGAGAGGAGGGAAGCCGACCCAAAGTGCTGCTGCTACCACTGTCCTTGTGACTGCCTATAATAGTACCGCTGCTGCCGCTGCTGCTGCTGCTGCTGCTGCTGCTGCTGCTGCTGCTGCTGCTGCTGCTGCTGCTGCTGCTGCTGCTGCTGCTGCTGCTGCTGCTGCTGCTGTCACCACTCCCACCAGCCAACAGCATTGTCCCTCGCACGCGATCCCCGGCCGCTTCCGTCTCCGCCTCCCTCCGCGCAACCGCCTCCGCCAGCCGCTCCTGGCGGAAGCCGGCGGGGGAAAGCGCGGGGCGCACGACCTGTTCTTGGCGGAACGGGTGCAGGTCGGAGAGCAGTGGCCACACGCCCTTATGCGCGCCGTCCAGCCACAGCAACCCCGCAGTCAGCCCCACGACAAAGCACAGCAGAAGGGTCCCCGGCCGGATACCCATCGCCGCCACCGACAGCGCGGGGTTGCGCTTCTGCCCGCTCACAGCTCCGCCGACTCCGCTTCCGCTTCCCCCCGAGGACATCCGCGCGAACCAGCCCTGCGCTGCGCCCGCGGATTGGGGGAGTCGAGCCTCTCCTCCGCCTTCCCCATCGGACTCTCCCTTCCCCCAATCTCTCCCCTTCTCCGCGTCGTCCCTCTCGTCCCCCGCCCGCGCGGTGCTCCGCCGGGGGAGGGGAGTGACGCCTGGGTTTCCGCCCATGGGCGAGAGCGCGGAAGCGAGAGGCGCGGAGCCAAACGACGACACAGAATCCGCGGACCCTGCTACTCCCCCTCCGCCTCCTCCTCCTCCTGCAGCATCTGTCGCAACTGCTTCTGCAAAAGTGGCTCCGTAAACGGAGGAGGCTTCAACTTCAGCTGGTCTGTCTCCGCCGTATCCTGTCCCCGGTGTGCTGCCGAACGACGCATCCACTCTACCCATCCCCGCTATAGCTGCACCCTCTTCCCGCTAAAGCTGCTGCTGCTGCTGCTGTTGCTGCTGTTGCAGTGATTCCGCAGGTGACCTAGTTTATGGACGGCGGCTCGTGTGTGGCCTGGAAAGAAGTATTCGACAGAAGGCTGGGTTGGCAGGAAAACTAGCCGTTACGGCCGGCGATGCTCTAGGTTACTGCCGAAGTACTCAAAGCGAGACTTAATTGTGCTTGTATCGGGCGAGGAGACAGCATGCGAGGATGTTCGGCTACCCAGGAGTGACGTGGAGCTAAGCTGCGGGATGTGTGATGGGAAGAGACGCAGGAAAACACAGGGACAGACGCAGAGACAAACAAACGCATTAAGCAGGTGATGATCGCCCTTCGGGTTTGAAGAGCAAGGACGCGAGAGGGAGGATCCAGGATGACGCAGGAGAGTCAGGATAAAGCCTCAAAAGCGGATAAAGGGGAGTCCAGGAATGCCTACCAGGAAACCCGCTAGTGGCGTTGGATCATGCTCTACGCAATACAGATTACTGACACGTAATGAGCGTTAGGAGACAATTACTAAGGCAGGGTGCTTGCTGTGACAACATAGTGGAAGCGTCGCTTTATGATAGAAGCTTCGGTCGTAGAACGTTCCATTAAGAAGGCAAAAACAAAGCTTACCGTTGTTAAAAGAGCTAATCAGCTTCTGTTTAGAAATCGCAGGTCGTTTGGTTGGCAGCAACGGAACGGCAGTCGACCGTTGTTTGCATCCGAAGGAGCCATGTCCTAGCTAATGGGTATAAGCAGCCTATTTCTTTTAACTATACGAACAAGGTTGACTTGGTCTGGCTAACTTATCTGCTGGTTACGTGGTCCGTACCAGAAAATACTTCGGGTGATGCTTGAACCAGTTCCCACCGCTTACTAACTAGACATCGGCTGCCAAGCCAACATAGTTGGTCCTCTTTGTGGGTCAGGCGATCCCATTGTTGACACTGGCAAGCTAACAAGTGGAGCCATGCAACACATGAGCGCGTGTGTGTCCTTCACGGTTATCTCGCGGGTTTCCCTCGCGGTTGAGAGGGGTTAAACAGCTCACAACTTTTGAACCCTTGCGCACCAGACTAAACCATACGAAAACGTTTTCAGCAGATAGGCGAGAGAGAGGTAGGGGGAGATGAGCCAAACGGTACAGAGTATCCCCCGCGCTGTTGTTTCCTTACGTCAGCGGAAAGGCGCACTGGCTCCTCGGAATCTCCGCTGCCCTTTCCCCGCTTCCCTCCGCCCCATTACCCCCGACCCGAATTCTTCCGTACTGTTCGTCCCTCCCTTTCCCCCACAAACGGAACTGTGCTTGTGCTTTCCGCCCGCAATGCTCAAACTTTGCTTTGGTTGCGAGTGTGCTTTCAGTGAAGGGCAAGTAACGAGCGCGCATGTCACCTGACACATGCCTGACAGTCAACGTGACAAAAATTACGAGTCGCACGAACGTAGATAAATTGAGCGCACTAGCTCGGCGACTCGATAAACCCGACTATTGAAACCAGCGGGTGGTAGTGTCGCTTGTTAAAATCACAGCAGGGTCAAGGAAACATACCTTTACTCACCAACACAATAAACCAGATAAATCAGCAATCTGTACTTCTTACCGTTCCTTAATTCATATTATTAGAGACAGATAATCAGGCTAGCAGACATTCATAAGCCAGAAAAAACACTGCTTGAGCTCTAAGCACCATGTTGAACAAGCTGGCTACGACTCTGCATACGATACAAGTGTCGTTAATCAATCTTGCAAGTTATGTGCACGGGAGGTTGCATGTTTTGTTTGCTCTCGGAGCTGCGGGTGCATGCAAATGTAAGGCTCCTCCTGGCACAGGAAAATCCAAGGTGCATACTAGAATACCTTATATTATGTCTCCACTCCACTCCACCATTCCAAATGTCGGCACAAAGATACCAGTAGAAAGAGCACCACCACTGAACGCCGTTCGTGCAAACCACAGCCCTGCATACCGGTAACACCCCTAATTACAACAAAGATGTCATCCTGAGTTGAAATGCTGGGGTGAAAAAGTGTCCCCACGCAAAGGAAACCGCCAGCACACTGCTCCCAGTGGCCGCCGCCATGAGCATATACATGACTATAATCTGCAAGTGCGTGGCTTCAAAAGGGGAAGCGCCACCCATGATCAGCCCTGTCATAGCTCCCGGCAGGGAAATCAAACCCACAGTCTTGGTAGAGTCAAGGAGAGGGGCCAGAGCGACCACTAGCGCTCTCCTCCTGAGTGTTGCTGCAGCCTGCATTGGATTTGCTCCCAATGCCAATGCCGCCTCCACCTGTGCTGCGCTTGACTTGAGATCTTCTCGCAATCTGCGCAGTGCCACCCCTGTGGCCGTCATTGCATTGCCTACAAGCATCCCCGCTACTGGAATGAGGAAGCGCGGAGTGGCCGGGAAGATGCCGAGGAGCAGCAGCGCGACGAGGGAGAGAGAGCAGGAGATGAAGATTGACGCGCAGGTGACGAGACGAAGAGCCGGGAGGGAAGCACGGGAGGCCGCAGTAACCCCCGCGATGGTAACCATGAAGCAGAAGGTGAGGAAGATGAGAGGCACCGAGACTATCCCAGTAATGGAGAAGACAAAATTGAGTACAAAGCCGATGGCGCAGAGCTGAAGGAAGGCCCGGAGGGAGGAAAAGAGCATATCCATCTCAAGGCCTAGGGAGTTGATGTGGGATAGCACCATTGCTGCTGCGACAAGGGCTGTTGCTGCCAGCGTGCGACCCATCCCTGCGAGGAATGCTGCCACGTCATCCTCCCACCAGGAGACAGCCGCGTGGAGGAGAAAGGCAGAGGAGGAGGCGATAATGGAGGAGAAAAGCGCCATGTGCGCTAGGTAAGGGTCGCGGGGAAGCAGGAGCTTGCTGAATACTGGTACTGCCTGGCCTGACTGCCTGACTGTTCGGTGTGACTACTGGGCCTGAGATCCTGGCGTGGACCGCCTGACTGCTTGCTGGTCTGCTGGGCCTGACCGCCTGCCGAGCCTGACTGCCTGCCGAGCCTGACTGTCTGCCGAGCCTGACTGTCTGCCGAGCCTGACTGCCTGCCGAGCCCGACTGCCTGCCGAGCCTGACTGCCAGCCCGGCCTGACTGGGTGTCACCCACTCGGCCTACTCCCTGTCTGCGCTGCCCTGGAGCAAGCCCCCCAGGAATTCGTGCACGAGGCGGTGCGCGGCGCGTAGAGCCGCGTCCGGCGAGCGCAGCAGTGCCGTGGGCAGCGCGTCGGCGACAGCGCCGTTGTGCAGCAGCACGAGCGAGTGCGACACGCGCAGCACCTGCACCGCGCATGGGGCGCGCGGAGAGGGTGGGCGAAGGGGTAGGCGGAAAGGGTGGAAGGAGAGGGTGGGGGGCGAGGGAGGGGGAAGAGGGTGGGAGATGGAGCAAGGAGAAGAGACAAAGATTGGGATGGGGATGAAGGCAAAAGACATGGAGAGACGATGAGAGATGGAGACACCCTGGCAGGAAGGGAGATGGGTATGCTGGCCGCACACGCACACACTCATGCCACTTCACCTGCAAAATGTACTTCGCAGTCATCAGTTCTGTACTTCGCTCTAACACTTACGTCTGAATTTCAAACCCCCCATCCCCCCTTGACGCCTCCCCTCTGCCGTCCCTTCCCAACATTACCCCCTCGACGTCTCTTCCCTCACGCTTCCCCCTCACTGCTTCCCAATCACCACGCACGCACGTTACCTGTTCCGCGCTGTGGCTGACCCAAACCGCCGTCAGGCCTCGCTCGCGGCACAGCGTCTGCACGGCTTGCTCCACTTTAAGAGTCGCCGCGGGGTCTAACGCGCTCGTCGGCTCGTCCAGTAGCAGCACCTCGGGGTCGTTCGCCAGAGCGCGCGCGAGCGCCACGCGCTGCGCCTGTCCCCCGGATAGGCTCCGCGAATCCCGCTCCGCGAAAGACGGCTCGAGCCCGGAGAGACTGAGTAGCTCGTGGATCTTCTCGTCTGGGAGCTGCCTACCCTCAAGGTTCGGCCCGAACCTGATGTTGTCTGCAACGGTACCGTCGAAGAGGCTCGGGGTCTGGAAGAGCATGCCAACGCGGCGCCGGAGGGTGATTACAGGAAGCTTCGAGGAAGTTATGTCGGTGCCATCGAGGAACACGGAGTTTCGAGGCGGCTCGGTGAGGCGATTAAGAGTGCGTAAGAGGGTGGTCTTGCCGCTGCCGCTAGGGCCGACAAGGACGGTGATCTCGCCACGTGGAACTTCGAGGCTCACGTCCGACAGGAGCGGCGGAGACCCGTCACCTTTCGGGGATTGGATGGTCAAGCCGCGGACGGAGAACTTGGAATGAGTAGGCTGACCCGGATCACCAAGGAGATTGCCGTCCGAGAAAGACGAAGGTGACGGAGACAATGCTGGTTCAAGTCCTGCCGACGAATCGTTGACGGATAAGGTTACCTCGCCGTTTACTGATCCGTCAGCATCTGCCGGCGTCGTTGCCGCGGCGGCGCGTTGCAGCAGGGGTTCTCTGATGTCTGGATTCAGTACGCTGCTGGCAGCTTGAGGCACGGAAAACATGAAGAAATATACAGCTTCGAAAATGCAGGAGCTGCGGTTAAGCCGTGCGTCCAGCAGTTATCCACGGAAATATCCTAGAACATACCGGAGCTAGAGCAGGACACGGGGATTATTCAAGCGAGGCGGGAGGCAATGAGGAAGTAGAATGCCAGCTCCGCTGTTCGTTGCTTGCTGCTTGCTGTCTACGAAAAAGAGAGATTCGGCTTTTTCTTTGAACGGACTTCCTTCCCATTCCCACCGACCAGGATCGACCCAGATGAGACCCAAAAGCTAGAAACTCCATACGGGACATTTTCGTAAGGTTCAGTCTGATGTGCAATGGTCTAAAACGGTAAGAACCAAGATACGTAATTTAGCGTATCTAAACAAATGAATGTGGTTCGCCCTCACCACCAACGTGATTCCAGGATACCGTGGCGTGTTTATAAAGGATACAATTGCGCGACAGCCTCACAGGTCGCGATGCGCGAAAGAAGCTGGTTGATCAGCAGGAAGCCTTCAAAGCCGCTGGATGCAGTGCATCGGGACGGTTCACCAAGCAGCAACTTTTCCCTGGGAAATTGGAAGTAGGAGAGAAGGGGGAGGGACTGTGCTGTCGGATTCCCCAATGCTGGACGCGGCTCTAGGAAAAGGCTTTCATGTTGACAATCTTGTTATATTTACTTAGCTGTACCTTTTCAACACACAAAACACAATCCAGCAGATAAAATAAGAACACTCCATATTGCTCGGTTTGCTAAGGGTTAGAAAAGCCTGTGGGCATGATGCGCAAGCTGCCCCCTCACTCCTTCACATGTGGCCTCACACAGCACGTGAAGCCAGCTCTACGACGAGCAGCAGCCAACGAATCCTGGGAGTACGAATAATAGGAGGACGGAGACGAGGAACGTGTTTATGTATAATAAGCTCCGCAAGTGAGAAACAGGACGCGGAGATACGATTGTAGCCGATATACTACACTATCTAGCACAAATGTAGAAATGTAGCTTTCAATGTGTGTGAAAGCATCTGCTTACCATGGTGTGCAGTGGAGAAGTCGAATTGTCCACGTCAGCATGCTTAGTGTCCCCCCCAAGTTGTAGCTGCTGCTGATGTAATTGTAGCTGTTTTGGATCACCTCCTTTCTCCAGTCCTTTCCCTCCTTTGTCATTCCTGTCATCTCCCCCTGTCTTCCCCCCGTCTCTCCCCTCTCTCGACTCCACTCCCTCTTCCCCATCTCTTCCCCCTCCCACCGCCCCTCCAACCCTCGATGCCACATCACCATCAATCAAACCTGCTACCACTGCACGCCCCCCACCACCACTCTCCACCTGATCCAATCCCTTTCCACCCCCTTCACCACTCAGACCATCTCCCATAACCCCCTCCTCACCCCTCTCCTCCAACCCCTCATCCCTCCCCACCCCTCCTGGGCTCCCACCCTCCCCAGACCCTGCACCAACCCCCCCGTCCCCACTCCCTCCTCCTCCTCCACCAGTCACCCCCATAACCGCACTCCCCCCACCGCTTCTCGACCGGGTGACAGAGCGGACGCGGGACATGAGTCTCGAGCCAGCAGCAGAGAGAGAGAGCGACGAGGAGACCTTGAGGGAGGACGAGCGGAGGGGGCGGGGAAGGGTCCCCCCCGCTCCCCACTTGCTGGAAGGAGAGTGAGGGGTGTTGGTGGAAGAGGAAGAGTGGGATTGCGGGGATGTGTGGGATGGTGGGGAGGGGTGCGATGATGGCGGAGAGTGGGAAACTGGGCCGGTGTGAGCTGGCGGGGAGGAGTAGAGAGGAGAGGAGAGGGAGGATATGGGGGAGGGAGAGGGGTGGTGATCAGAGGGGGAGTGGGCCTTAGGGGGGGTGGTGGTGTGGGTGTTGGTGGGAGTGGCAGCGGGGCGGGGAAGGACAGTGGTGGGGGTAAGCTTCTGGGAAGGTGCATGGAGGAGCATGGATGCAGGTAACCGTGGGGCAGGCGGTGTGGTGGTGGTAGTTGGTGTGGTGGATGGCGAGGGGGTTGATGCTGATGTGGGTGATGCAGTGGCAGTGACAGGTGCAATGTGTGTGGCGGCTGTTGCAGGTGTAGCGGCTGTTGCAGTTGCAGCAGCAGAAGCAGGGACGGAAGGAGCAGGTGCAGCAGCCATACGGGAATCATCATCACCACCAGGAGAAGCGGAACCTGTAGGTTCCCCAGGCGTGGCTGATTCTGGTGCAATTGCACCTACATCCGGTCTGTCTGCTTCCACTGCTCCTGCTGCCAATGGTCCTTCTCGTGCTTGTGATGCTGATGCTTGAGACGGTGCACGTCCTGAGAGGGTGTCAGCTTCTTCTTTCGCCCCTGCGACAGTGGCTTCTGCCGCTGCCGCCCCTACAGGTGCTTCTTCTGCTGCTTCTTCTGCTGCTGCTGCTGCTGCTGCTTCCTGTGCTGATGAATGTGGAGATAGCAATGCCTCTTTTCCATCTGCCTGTACCGCCGGTACCGCCACCGCCGCCGCTGCCGCCGCCGCCACTGCCGCCGCCGCCGCTGCTGCTGCTGCTGCTGTTTGTGCCCTCTCCTCGTCCTCTGCCGGTGTGAGCCCATCAGGCAGCATCAATGCACCTGGAGCCAACTTTTCCACGCCTTCCCTCACCCCTGTTCCTGAACTATCGCGCTCAGACTCACCATCTGACCTCCCCTCTGCACACGATGCACTGTTTAACCCCGTATCCTCCGTTCTCTCATCCCCCGTTGCTCCTATTAACTCCCCCGCACCGATCTGCACCCCACTGCTTGGTTCCTCTTCTGGAACTCCCTGCGCCCCATCACTCTTAGTGCCAGCTTTCCCCTCTTCCTTCCCCTCTCCCTCCTCTCCCTTCCCCTCCCCCTTCCCCTCTCCCGCCTCTCCCTTCCCCTCTCCTCTCCCTTCTCCCCCTTCCTCTCCTCTCCGTTCTCCTGATCCCAACCCCTCTTCACCCTCGGCCTCTCTGTGTATCGTTCTCCCTGCCTCTGCCTCTTCCTCTGCCACTGTCTCTCCCTCCACCTCTACTCCTTTGCCAAATCCAGTCACTGCTGTCACTGCTGTTATCGTGCCATCAACCCCATCCAAACTAGACTCTATCACAATCGCCCCCTTCTCCTCCACCCTCGTCTCCCCTCCATCTGCCGTCTCTCCATCCTTCCGCTCCTCACTTCCATTCAAACCACTCCTCACCACCTCCTCTCGCTTCCCTTCCTCTCTCCCCCGTTCTTCTCCCTTCCCCACTGCGCCCCTCCACGCGCCCTCCCCTCCTTCCTCCCCTCCTCCCTGCCTCTTCCCCTCCTCCGTCCCATCCCCATCATCCAAAGCAACGCCCACCACTGCTCCCCTCGTCTCGTCCTCCCCTCCCGCCGGCCCCTCTTTTCGAGACGCTTCATAAATAGACCCCTCTTTCCCCTCTGCCCCTTTTCCACCCTCTCCCCCCTCCGCCCCCTCTGTCCCATCCGCCCCCTCTGCCCCTTCTGCCCGCTCTGCCCCCCCTGCCCCCACGGTCCCCTCATCCTCATCCTGGTAGTTAAGAAAAGCGTCAACCACAGCGTCCTCCTCCTCCCCCAGACCTAGACTCATGCCATCCCCCCCCTCCTCTGCCTCGTAAAACTCCTCCTCTGATGATGCATCGCCCTCCCTCTCCTCCTTTTCCTCTCCCCCCTCCCTTCCCTCCCTCTCATCTCCCTCCTCCCTCTGTGTTTTTTTCCCACTTCCCTCTTCTACACACTCCTCAACCTTCTTCCCCATTCCATCCTCTCTCTCTTTCCCCTCCGCCCCCAACCCACCTCCACCTTCCCCATCTCCTACAATCGACACTCCTCCCCCCACCAGCGGTAACCTATCACCCCCTAGCCTACCAGCACCCTCCCCTGCCCGGCTGCTACTGTCAACAACAGCACCATCACCACAACCTGCACTCAAACCGTGACCAGAAGCCTGACTGCTTCCCAACATGCTGCCCAAGCTGCTATCCCCACTGCCGTCCACACTCTTATTCAAGGTCAATCTCGAATTGCTTTCAAAACTGCTGCTCACGCTGCTTCTCAGATTGCTGTCAAGAGCCGTTACCTGATGCCCCTCCACCCCTCTCCTCTCTTCCTGCTGCCCCTTTCTCTCTTCGTCTCCACCTCTCTCCCCCTCCTCCCCAATTGCGCTCCCACACAGCTTCCCTTGCTCCTCCTCCCCACTGCCCAACCCTTCTCCTCCCACACCCACGCCTCTCTCCCCCACCACCCCCAAGCGTGCACCAGACGTTTCACCTGACCTCTCACCTGACATTTCACCTGACCCGTCGTCACCTGGAGCTCTGCACTCCCCTGCACTTCCCTCCCTCCCTCGCACCCTTGCCTCTTCACCACCCTCTCTTTCCTCCCCTTCCGTTCCTCCACTCCCCAGAACACTCCCCCCTGCCACCGCCACCCCCCCCTCTCCCCCGCTCTCCCCAATCGTGCCTAAGAAAGTTCTAAGAGCTTTCTCGAGTTCCCTCGCTGCGTCCCTCTTCCGAACCCGTTGACCTAGTTCACCCGCCTCAACCTCCTTATCCCGCTCCCTTGCACCTTCCCACCGCACTCCATCCCCCACCACGCCCTCAGACTCTCCCTCCTGCTGCCCTTCCGCCTCTTCCTTTCCCCCCGACAAGCCTGTCGAGTCTAGTTGCGCCAGGAGGGAGTGCAGTAGCGGGACCATGGAGTGGAATGGGGGCGAGGCCGGTCCCACAGCAGTGGGTGGGAGAGCAGGAGGGGGAACAGCAGGGGAAGGATCAGCAGAGGGGGGAGCAGCATGGGGAGTAACAGCAGAAGGGTCCGCCTCTTTCTTTGCCCCCTCCTCCCCCCTCCTTGTCCCCTCTTCCCCCGTTGTTTCCCCTTCGTCAGCCCTCCCTTCCCCGTCCTCCGCCCGCCTGCCCCCTTCCACCTGCCTAAGCCCACTACTCCCAGCAGCATACCTCCATCCCACGGTCCCCACCTCCCCCCCAACTGACAAAGACCTAAACCCGCCCCTGAACCCTACTCCCTCCCTAAACCCCCGAGGGGATACGCCAGGGGAGGAGCTAGGGCTACCATTCCCCTCCCTCCCGTCCCTCCCGTCTCTCCCCCACCGCTGCCGCCGCATTTCGTTGCGGAAGGTGCGGCGGGGGGAGAGGAAGGAGGAGAGGCGAGGGGAGGCTGGGGCGTCTAGTGAGCTCCAACGCGGGGAGCGCACGGCAGGTTCTTCCGGGAAGGTACCTGCTGCTGATGCTGCTGCTGCTGCTGCTGCTGCTGCTGTTGGCGATGATGCTGATGCTGAGGCTGAGGCTGAGGCTGCTTGCGCAGAGGTTGTTGCCACCACCAGCAGTCTAAGATCCTTTGGAGGCGGGATAGGAGAGGTGTGGGAGAGAGGAGAGGCGGATAGGCTCGTGTCCCTCTCCCTTTCTCTCTCACTCTCACTCCCTCTCTCACTCTCAACTCCCCCTGCCACAGCCCTATTTCCTCTGGACTCTGCCAGGATAGCATCTGCTGCCCGAGAAAGGACCGAGTCGGGCAGGGAAAGACTATTCCGGCCCGTCTTTTGAAGCATTCTTGAAGAAGATCGGGGAGGGGGAGAGAAAGTAGCCGCAGCAGAGGCAGAAGCAGCAGAGGCACGAGAGGCAGCAGCAGCAGAGGCAGAGGCAGACGCCAAAGGAGCAGAAGAAGAAGAAGCAGCAGGGGCAGCGGGAGGGGCGGCAGAGGAGGCAGCTTGAATGAGAGCGCGTATGGAGGGGAAGGAGCGAGAGGTGGGCTCGTCCCCACCACCGTACTCAGAGTGGGACAGTGGTATTTCCGAGTGTGAAGCAGAGCGAGAGGCGTTCTGATGGGCAGCTGGGGAGGAAAAGGCGTCCTGGCGAGCAGCAGGAGAGGATGTGGATCGTGTGTGGTGGTGGTGGTGGTGGAATGTGTCGCTGGTGCCGTTCCCACCCTCCTCAGTGCTGTCCCCACCCCCACCCCTCCTGTGTGAAAACGATACAAGGGTGGCTGGTTCAAGCGTAAATAGCGGAACCTCGGGAGAGGAAGGAGGGGAAGGGAGCCCATCCAATGCTTCCACCCTTTCTCCTCCCTCGCTCCCACCACGCTCTGCTGTTACTGCCACTCGCTCTCCTCTCGGCTCCCTTGCTGCTGCTGCTGCTTCTGCTGCTGCTGCTGCAACCCCCAGGGGCTGAGTGAACGGGGGAGGCGCTTTTTCCCTCCTCCAGGGGAGGTCGCTACTGGTGAAGGCTGGAAGGGTGAGCCGGGTGGCTGATGCATCAGGGAAACCGCCACCACCATCACCACTGCCGCTGCCGTTGCCGTTGCCGCTGCTGTTACTGCCGCCGCTGCAGCCGCTGCTGCCGCTGCTGCCACCGGCACTGTTCCCACTGCCCCCACTGCTGCTTCCGCCGCTGATGCTGATGCAGGGAGAGTAGGGATATATGGGACCCCCAAACGCGCCCATGCCATGCACACGCACTGCCGCTGCCACCTCTGCCTCTGCCTCTGCCTGTGCGGCTGCCTGCCTCTGCACCTGCGCTGCTGCTAGCGCTTCTATGTCCAACCCTCCTCCTCTTAATCTTCGAAGATTCTCAGGAACCGACTGGTCTAAGGCTCCTCTAGCCGCTGGCAGAGTAACAATGCCAGTACTGGAGGCTGCCAGTGCCTCCTGTCCCAGTCCCTGCTCTTGCCCCTCTCCCAATCCCTGTCCCTGCCCCTGCCCTTCGCGTAACCCGTGTGCCCCGTGCCCCTCCTCCCCACCATCTGCCCTTGGCTCTGCCTGTGTTGCCTTGCTGCTGTTCGCTTGACCAGTGCTGTCTCCACTGGTACCTTCCGCACTGCGAGCAGCAGCAGCAGCAGCAGAAGACGAGGCCAGTGCGGAAGGTAGCACAGAGGGAGGCAGGGGAGAGGAGCAAGGGAGTGGGACGGCGGGCAGGGGGAGGGAGGAGAGAGGAGGGACGGCAGGGAGGGGGAAAGTGGAGAGGTTCCAGGAGGAAAAGCTGGGTGAGTTGAGCTCCACGTCAGCTGCCGCCCGGGGGCTCACACTGCCGCCCTTGCTCCGACCGTCCCCGCCGTTGCCGCCGCCGCCACCGCTGCTGCTGCTGCTGCTCGTGCTCCCTCTGTTATCACTCCCGTCCTTCCCCTCGACTCCCACAGAAGGAGACGCATAAGACGAACCGGGGTGAGGAAGGGGAGGCACAGGCGGGGGGACGGAAGCAGTGATGATACTACTGGTGGTGGCGGAGGTGGTGGAGGTGCCGCTGCTGCTGCTGCTGCTGCTCAGTCTGGCACCCAGTCCCGTTCCACCCGCACCAGCCACACCACCCGCAGCAGCAGCAGCAGCCGCCCCTGGAACCCCATGCCTGCTGCGGCGCCGCATGCGAGAGGGCGAGGAGGGCAGAGCAGAGTCAGAGGAACCAGCAGGGCTGCGAAGGCCAAAGGGGCTGCGAGCATCAGAAGGGCTCCGGAGGTCAGAGGGGAAGACCTCCAGGCCCACTCCCAGGCGGTTCAGAGCCTCCGGTTTGCTGGTGGAGCCGCTGTGGATGCTGTTGGGTAGTGACAATCCCCCTGGTGGAATGCTCTTCCCTGCTTCTGCCCCCTGCCGCATTCCCTCTTTGCCGCCTGTGCTGGTTCGTGCTGTGTCGCTCTCTCTTCCTTCTCTTCCTGCTCCTCCTGCTCCTGTCGTTTCTCCTTCCCCAGCAGCTGCTCCTGCTGTTGTTGCTGTTGCTGCGGCTGCTGCTGCTGCTGCTGCTGCAGTTGCTGTTGCTGCTGCGAATGTTGCTCTTCCCTGATCCGCCATGTGTCCCTGGGAATCAGCCGAAGCCCGTGCGTCCGCGCCACCTGACTCAGCGACTAGGCCATCTGACTCAGAAGCAAGATCGCCTGACTCAGCAGCTGCAGAGAACGCCGCCGAAGCAGGCGGATGTGAAGGAGGGTGCGTGGAGGGATGAGAGAGGGACTGGGACAACCCATGACTGGTGGATCCAGGGACAGTTGCAGCAGAGGGGGAGGAGGGGGGCGTGGGGGAGGAGAGAGAGGAGGAAGGGGAGGAGGGCTGATCGAGGGTGAGGATATCAGGAGCGGAGGAGACAGGAGGGGAGGTGGCAGTAGGGGAGGTGACAATGCTGCTGAGCGATGCTCCGAACAAGCTGTCCATGTCCTGCCCAAGAGAATGCGTGGTTGGGTGCGTGGTTTGATTTGGTGGGTGGGTGGGTGGGTGGTAGGTAAATGGGTGGGCAGAGGTGGAAACACAGAAGAGTGAGACTGAGGTGAGGGAGAGTGGAATGGCATTTCACAGCGTTCACAGCATTCCAGGCAATTTCAAGGCACATGACGAGATACGTTATGTCTTGCCACACGGCATGTGCAACATGCAAGCATGACTGTAACGCCATATCATACCATGTCATGCAATGGGGTACACAGCACGCAGCAGAATCGCACAGCACAGCACGGCACGGCACGGCACGGCAGCGCAACAGGGCAGGGCAGCAGGGCAGGGCAGCAGGGCAGGGCAGCAGGGTAGGGCAGCAGGGTAGGGCAGACGTACATCAAAGAGGAACGACTCCACGGAGCTCCCAATGAGAGCATCCACCGCCCTGCTAGGGGGACTCAGCTCCCCCCCTGCTACTCCTCCTGCTCCTGCTGCCCCTGCTCCTGCGCCTGCTCCTGAATAGGACAGCGATGAACCCATCCCATCCCCCATGCTCCATGGAAGTCCTCCCATGTCTGTCTCTACCCCTGTGCCACCCATACTCATGCCTCCCCCCATCCCCATGCCCGTGCCTGCGCCTATGCGCGCATTCGCCGCGCTAGCACCGGCCCCGGAACCCGCCACCCCCGCCCTGTGGGTTCCGCCTTGCGCGCCCCCATCGTGCCCCTCGGGACTGCCGGGGATGGCCACGTGCAGCTGCAGGCGGTGGCGCTGGCGCAGGGGGAACGGGGCCTCGCGCGGCTGCGGAAGGCGGAAGCGCGGCCGGCGGAGACGCGGGGGTGTTGAGCGGGAGGGGGGAGGGGGCAGATGGGAAGGGGGAAGAAGGGGGGAGAAGGTGTTAGTCGGATTGGCGGACGCGGTAGGGGCGGAACAGGAGAGGGAGGGGGTACGGCGTAAGAGGGGAGCGAAAGTGCATGAGTTGGTGAAAAGCAAGGCCTTGACGATAGCCCGAGTGGTAACCAGAATAGGGAGAAAGGCACGGAGTTACACAACGACGGGGGAATACAACCCGAGCCGCAACCACATGGAACATGCACGGAGAGAGAGAGAGAATGTTAAGGGGCATTGGCACGAAGAAGCGAGTGACAAGCGTTACAGCGAGTTGTTTGGGGTATTTGATGTTAGTGTAGTAAGCAGTTGTAACGCGGACAGATATACATGGCAGGTACGCGTTTAACGCGACAACACAGACCTTCACAAAATAGGATGTCTTCGATATGGGCCTAAAGCCGTGTTTCTTTCTTGGAAAAGAACTTTTGGAAGCGAAAGATTATAACCCTTTGTACGCATTTGTCCCTAACTTGTAGTTTCGTTTTCTCCCGTGTCTCTGTTTCAAGGCATTTCATCACCTGGTTTGAGTCATTATCATTGGAGCTTGTCCGTCCCGCCGCTCCGCCTGCGCCGGTCGCACCGAAATCGTCGCTAGCCGGGAAACCGTTAGAGCTGTCCCGTTCCTGTTCCTCTCGCCCTCCCATGCCATCGCTTTGAGTTTCACTCCAAGCTACGTCCGATGGTAAGGCAGTGGTCAGCGGAGCCTCTGTTTCGCCGTATCCGTCGCTGTCCTTTTCGGGCTCCATTTCAGCTTCCGACTCAGCTGTTCCGGGGTCTCACGTGTCAAACTAGTAGCTTGTTAAATAGTGGGAAATTATTGTTATCATTTCTTGCTTGTGCCGGCATAATAAAGCGTCCATGCTCGGTACGCTGTTCTAATGAAGAGGATTACTCGCTACTTGCCTTCCAGAATATAAGTCAGCCGACTAAAGCGCGAAGTGTTTCTACCTACCTACCTCGGTGTGTGGGTGGTGTGGTGGTTGGGTGGTATGATTGGCGCCAAAACTAGGTGGGCTTGGGTCGGTGGGGTGGGGTAGAGAGGGATGGTGTAGGTTCTGGTGTGTGCTGGCTGGTGGCGCTGGTGGCTCGTTCGGCCTCGCTGGCTGCTCGGTATTCTCGGGGATGGAGCGACCAGCGCACGGTCTGCGAACGAGCGACTGATGAAAAACCGCAACGACAACTGAAAGCTCGCCCAAGGGCAGAGGAGCGGTCTGCGACCTTGTACGAACGAACTGGCCGTCCGTGAGTGGGTGCTTCGTTACGGTTTTCAAACCGCGCAAGTTGCTCCTGAGGTCAACCCTCGCCATGCCTGGGTTGTAAAATTCCATTTGGGCTTTTCATAACTGACATTCACTTAGCACGGAACTCGAACTCGTTTTATTGCTAGGTGACTATTCTTTGAGGGAATGAAATCATAAATGCTCCCCAAGGTACTTCAATTGTTTTCTTATACAATCTGGAAACGAGTTCGAAATAAACGTAAATTTTAGGATGCCGTACACATTGTTCAGACTCTCGTCTGGTCACATCAGTGTCGTCAAGCTGGTGAAGAATGCGACGGCGGCGGCTTGGTTTGCATCGCTGAGCCGCAATAGCCAATCTACAGAAGTCAAGTGGGCTCGATATAAGAGCAGCGAAGCGAAAGCGTTTCGTAAACGAACAGTACCTTTGTCCCAAACCAAGCCCTGGTTACAGTAGATTCGGTCACCCCAACTGGAACAAAGCCAATCCATAAAAAGAACGAAAACATCGTCAAAACCAACCTTTTTATCTACACAAGCACGAAGGACCGTTTAAAAAAACATGAAATCATGCTCCACACGGGCAACCTACACTCACCAGTCCCATCTCGCATCGCAGCGTAGCTGATCGTTCACGGCACATTGTGTCGTACAGTACAGTACGGACATCTAAACTAGATTGGCACTCCCTCCGATATTGGGCCACTTCCATCTAACTAACTTAAAAAAAAACGCGTTGAATATCCCTTTCCCCGCGCTGTATATAACATCACGCCATCGGATCAAATCCGCGCGGCACGGAGCAGTGCTCTGCTCGCATCTGCACGCCGCGCGCGGAAGCGGAAACATGCGCAGCCGCGGGGCCGCGGACGGCTTCGGCGGGGTTTCCATCGACGGTTTCGGCGGGGGCTCCGCGGAACTAGATTTTGACGAGAATGTTGACCGCAACAGCCCGCGACCCAAGCCCAGTGTAGCTGTGCTCGCGAACCGACTCGTCCGGCTCGGTTCTGTTACCCGATCCGCCGTGAGAACATCCCCGTTAAGAGCCATTGTCGTCGGCGCGCTGCTGCTGATTCTTCTGGGAGGATTCGCCGTGGCGCGGTGGTTGGTAGGGGGTGGCGGCGGCGGCGGCGGCTTGGGCGGCGCGGGCTGGAAGAAGGAGCGGTTTTTCTGCGGGTCGGAGGAGCATAGCACGGGAGAAATAAAGCCGTTTATATTTGTGTACGATCTGGGCGGGGAATTCACGAGTGACGTTCTGAAAATGGCTCCATCTTCGTGGTACTCTGAGGCGCATGACGCGGAGAGAGCGCTGTATGAGGTGCGCAGGGGGCGCAGGGGAGGGGGGAAGGGAAGCGGAGACGCGGGGATGTGAGAGAAGGGGATGGGAGGAGGGGAGGGCATGAGTGATTGGTGGGAAGCGGGAGAGGGAGAAGGGGTGGGAGATGGTGGGACCCGGTTCTAGAGGTGAATCTAGTAAGATTAGAAGGGACGTAAGGTAGGTTGGAGCAAGGGAAGAAAGCACGAGCCCTGTTGATTTCTTGGAGAGAAGAAGAAGAAAAAAAAAGGACAATTTTTAGGCGCGTAATTCTTGAGATCAGCTAAGAAGCGCCTCAAACCTCAACCCTTTTTCCTCCTCATCCCTCTCCTCTCCCCTCTTCTTTCCCCAACGCCTCAACACCTGACAAGTTTGAGACGCCTCAATCCCCTCTTCCCCACCCTCCCTCCCTCACCTCTCCTCCCCTCTCCTCCCCTCCGCGCCCCTGCAGCACCTGAGGGCGAGCAGGGCGCGCACGTGGAACCCGGCGCAGGCGTCCCTGTTCTATGTGCCCTTCTTCTCCGCTCACTTCACCGCCTCGCACTCCCAGGACCGCCAGCACGACATGCAGCAGGCTGTTAGAGCCACCTCGCAGGTGCGTGGCCCAGGGGTTGGGGGATGGGGGGGATGGGGGGTGTGGGGGGGGTGGGGAGGGTAGGGGAGGGAGGGGAAGGGAAAGGGAGGGGAAGGGGAACGGGGCAGATGCCTTTTTTCGTCTCTGTCTCCTATTCTCCTTGTCTCCCAGTCTCTCTCCTCCTCTGGTTCCCTCCCTCCGCGGCTACTTCTGCACTTCCCTTCCCTTCTCACTCCCTATCTACCCTCCCCACACCCTCCCACATTCCCTCTCCCACTCCCTCCCCCACTTCCCCTCCCTCCCCCCCTCCCTCCCCCCCACCCTCAGAAGTGGCAGCAGTTGCTAACGCGCGTGCGCACGGCATACCCATACTTCAACCGCAGCGGTGGTTCGGACCCACCCCCCCCTCCCCCACTCCCCCCCTCCCTCCCACCCACCCTCAGAAGTGGCAGCAGCTGCTAACGCGCGTGCGCACGGCATACCCGTACTTCAACCGCAGCGGCGGCGCGGACCACTTCTCGGTGCTCTCCACGGACCACGCGCGCTGCCACGCGCTCACCTTCCTGCCGCCCGCGCTGTACGCGCGCATGTTCTTCCTGCAGATGAACGGGGATGTGATGGTCCGGAGCACACACGCGCACCCGCAGAGAGGCATGCAGGTTGGGTGTGGGGTTGGGTTGGTGGATCGTGGTTCTCCGTGCCGTCCCGCGCTGTACGCGCGCATGTTCTTCCTGCAGATGAACGGGGATGTGATGGTTCGCAGCATTCACACGCATCCGCAGAGAGGCATGCAGGTTGGGTCTGGGGTCGGGGGCTGCGGTCGGGGTGTGGGGTCACGGTCTGGGGTTGGGGGATCTTGGTTCTCGGTACTGGCCCGCGCTGTACGCGCACATGCTCTTCCTGCAGATGAACGGAGACGTTATGGTCCGGAGCACACACACGCACCCGCAGAGAGGCATGCAGGTTGGGTCTTTGAGGTTGGATCAGGGCTTGCGTCTGGTCTGGGGTTGGGTTGGGGGATCTTGGTTCTCCTCTCCCTGCTGGCCCGCGCTGCATGCGCTCATGTTCTTCCTGCAGATGGATGGGAATTCCATGTTTCGGAGCGTTCACGCGCACCCGCAGAGAGGCATGCAGGTCGTGTGGGTACTGGGAGGGAGGGCGAGTGGGGTTGTGGGGTGAGAAGTGGGGGTGGGAGTGGTGGGGGAAGGGGGAAGAGGTCGCGATTTGAGTATGATTTTAAAAGCCCTCACAGCTCTTGGGATTGTAATTAGCTTTGAGTTATCCTTCTCGGTGTTTCGGTTATTGCGCACAATGTGCAGGACAGGATAGATTCTTGAGATGTCAGGAAGTGACATTGATTCGTGTGTGCGTGCATGTGCGTGCGTGCGTGCATGTGTGTGTGTGTGTGTGTGTGTGTGTGCGTGCGTGCGTGCGTGCGTGCGTGCGTGCGTGCGTGCGTGCGTGCGTGCGTGCGTGCGTGCGTGTGTGTGTGCGTGTGTGTGTGCACGCGCGTGCGTGCGCATGTGTGCATGCATGCATCACCACCATCACATGCCAATCACCACCATCACATGCCAATCACCACCATCACATGCCAATCACCATCACCATCAGGTACTGGCATACAACTATGGCACAAACGGGTCAACAGACATCCCCGACATTCCTTGCTATCGGTACCCTTCCTTTCACTCCGTTTCCACACTCCTTTCCTTCTCTTCCCTTCGCTTCCCTTCTCTTCCCTTCTCTTCCCTTCTCTTCCCTTCTCTTCCCTTCCCTTCACTTCCCTTCGCTTTTCTTTCCTTCCCTTTCCTTCCCTTCTCTTCCCTTCCCTTCCCTTCCCTTCCCTTCCCTTCCCTTCCATTCCTTCCCTTCCCTTCCCTTCCCTTCCCTTCCCTTCCCTTCCATTCCATTCCCTTCCCTTCCCTTCACTTCCCTTCCCTTCCCTTCCCTTCCCTTCCCTTCCATTCCATTCCCTTCCCTTCCCTTCACTTCCCTTCCCTTCCCTTCCCTTCCCTTCCCTTCCCTTCCCTTCCCTTCCCTTCCCTTCCTTGTCATTATCCCTTTCCACTTTATTCCCTCCTCTTTCTTCCCTTCCTCTTCTCCTTCCCCGCAGGTACTCGCCACCCATCCCCTCCCTATCCTTCGCACATGCCCTCTTTCTTCCCTCCCACCGAACCTTGTATTATCCACATTGTATTCCCCCATAAAGCTTCCCTCGTGTTATCCTCCACTGTTGCTCGGGATTTAGTGATGAACTAATACTGTTGCACAACAGATCCCCCTATCACCCCCCCCTTCGTTTCCCTCCCTCCCCCTCCCTCCCCTCCCTCCCCCCCCTCCCCCCCTTGCACCAGCCCTGATCTAGACATCGTAATCCCACCCACACTCGAGCACAGCAGCACCGCCCAGCAGCAGCAGCAGCAGCAGCAGCAGCAGCAGGGTCTGCCACTCTCCACCAAGCCTGCGTTGACTGCAGCTACAGCCATCCCTGTGGTGAATCGCTCCATCCCAGTTTTTCTGCGGCTCAGCTCTGGAAAGGACGGCGATCAGGAGCAGCCTGTGCGGCACCACAACCACGCCATTCAACAGGAGGTGGTTCAGGTGAGGCGGCGACTCAGGCTATTCCGGGGGACACCTCATTACCCGTCCGTTGCATGTGCTGCTCTTTGTCCCTGAGAGCGACGATCACGAGGAGCCTGTGCGGCCGGCACCACAACCACGCCATTCAACAGCAAGTCATTCAGGTGAGCGGAAGATTCATGTCAGCAGTTGCTGTGCTACTGTGCTGCCGTTTTCGTCACACACTCAACAACCCTATGAGCAGGAGTTGTCTCCCAGGCTTCACTTGTTGCCTGAGAAGCACATGAGAAGCGTAATCGTTGAGTCAAGTTAACAAGGTTGCCCAAGTGTTCTCCCTACTCGCCGTCCTGAAGCATGCTCCTTCCTGCTGCTCCCAAACCCTATCCCAACACTCCCCCTCCCCACGACACCCATGCACACACCAGGTGGTGCGGAGCAGGGCGGAGGAGGGGTGGGAGGTGGGGGCGAGGGGGGCAGGGTGGGCCATGGAGGAGGGCATGCGGCGGGCCACCTGCTGCCTCTGCCCTCCGGGTCACTCCCAATGGACCATGTGCCTCGGCAAGGTGGGTGTGGTGTGATGGGTGTGCATGTTGTGCCTTGCTTTGGCACATCTTTCACCCCTCTCTCTGCTGCCTCTGCCCTCCGGGTCACTCCCAATGGACCACGTGCCTCGGCAAGGTGGGTGTGACGGGTGTGCATGTTGTGCCGGGTGTGGGTGTGGGTGTGGGTGTGGGTGTGGGTGTGGGTGTGGGTGTGGGTGTGGGTGTGGGTGTGGGTGTGGGTGTGGGTGTGGGCGTGGGCGTGGGTGTGGGTGTAGGTGTGGGCGTGAGTGTGGGTGTGGTATGAACAAAGCAAGGTAACATGACTACCTTGCGTTTCGCACATCGCTCTCTCTCGCCCCCCTCGCTGCGTCTGCCTTCGCCCTGCGGGTCACGCCCAGTGGGCCTCTCGCCTCGCCAAGGTGGGTGGATTTTTTAGTCGACTCAAAAATCGACTCATCACCCCCGGGTCACTCCCAGTGGGCCACGAGTCTCGCCTCGCCAAGGTGGGTGCGACGGGTGTGCATGTTGTGCCTTGCTTTGGCACACCTTTCACCCCTCTCTCTGCTGCCTCCGCCCCCCGGGTCACGCCCAGTGGGCCACGAGTCTCGCCTTTCACCCCGCTCCTACATATTTTCAGGCGCCTCAGAAGCTTCCAGCTAGGTTCATCTGGTCCTCCGGTCGGGATTACTCCCATTTAACCACCACCCGGCTTCTGAGGCGCCTCAAACGTGGGTGGATCATCTGGATCGCTGTGGTGCGGCCTGGTGGAAGGGTTTTTGCATGGTGCGGCAGGAATCAGCTTAACATGGCTATGTTGGTTATCTTGTTGCTTCGGTACAGTTTTCTCCCTCTCTCTCCACCTCTCTCCAAGCCTCTCCAGCTCTCTCCAACCTGTGTATTTCTCGGGACGCATGTGTGTGTGTGCGTCTCTCTTCCGTTCTGCAGGCCATACTGGCAGGGTGCATACCTGTCACCTTCTTCCGAGACACATGATCCCCTCTCGCTCTGCACTTCTCTCCACCTCTCTCCACCACTTTCCAACTTGTGTGTCTCTCTTCTCTGGCTGCATCTGCGTCTCTCTTCCGTTCTGCAGGCCATACTGGCAGGGTGCATACCTGTCACCTTCTTCCGAGACACATGATCCCCTCTCGCTCTGCACTTCTCTCCACCTCTCTCCACCTCTCTCCACCACTTTCCAACTTGTGTGTCTCTCTTCTCTGGCTGCATCTGCGTCTCTCTTCCGTTCTGCAGGCCATACTGGCAGGGTGCATACCTGTCACCTTCTTCCGAGACAATGACAACCCATGGCAGGTGGGACTGGCAGGTGGGACAGGCGGGGCATGGCAGGTGGGACGAGCATACATGCTCTTGCCGCACGTGTCCTCTCAAGTGCACTCTGTTGCTCTGGCTGGCTCCATGCATACATTGAGAATTCTCAAGTCAAGCTTTATGCTGGTGTGGCTTCACATAGCATGCATTGAGCGTGCATGTGTGTGTGTGGTGCGTGCGTGCGTGCGTGCGTGCGTGCGTGCGTGCGTGCGTGCGTGCGTGCGTGCGTGCGTGCGTGCGTGCGTGCGTGCGTGCGTGCGTGACCCCCTTTTCTTTTTACACGCCTCAAACGCCAACGCCCTATGCTTCTGTGCAGTAAACCATGCATGTGCCAAGACACAGCACACAACGCACAACATTGCACCGCACCACACTACACCACACCTCACCTCACCACGCCTCACTTCACCTGACCGCACCGCACTGCACCGCATGAGCAGGACGTGCTGGACTACTCGCGGTTCAGCCTCAACGTGGACCCTGACGACATCCCCTCCCTCTCGGATCGCCTGCATGCTCTGCTGCACTCCCCCCCGCTCCTGCTGCGCTTGCAACGCAATGTGCAAGCTGTGCAGGTGGGGGGGGGAGGGGGGGGGAGAGGGGGATGGGGATGGGGATCGGGAAGAGGAAGGGGAGGGAAGGGGAAAGGTGGCTCGTTTGCATGTGTTGGCTGCATGTGCAACCTTGCTCTCTGTCTTCTATCCACGTTCACTCTTTGGTGCTCACACTGACCACGGATGGGGCGTCTTGTCACGTTAGAGAGATTTTTGAATGTTGGTTCCAAATCGAGCATCCTGAGTCTGACACGCCTGTTCCACCCGGTACTTCCGTCTCTCACCCCGCCCCATCCTTGCTTCCCTCCCTCCCTCCCTCCCGCCTTTCCCCTTCTCCTTCCTCTTTTCCTCCTTCCTCACGTCGCCCGCTCTTCCCTTCAATGTGTTGTGTTCCATCTTCCTCCCCCCTCACGTTCTCCTGCTCATTGCCTCAATGCCTTTTCCTTCCCACCCTTGCCCCTTGCTCCATTGCCGATTCGCCCCCATGCTCACATCCCCTCATGCACGAACCCCTCCCCCCTTCTCCCCCCCGCCTTCCCCCTCCCACTGTTGCCCGCATTTGCCGAAACCTCTCACTGCCCATCCCCCTTGCCCGTGTGTGCAGGCATACTTCTCATGGAATCCCTCTCTGGAGGGTGGAGGAGTGCCGGCGCTGGCAGTGCAGCGGTTATGGTGCCGCGGCAGAGCTCTCTCTCTCACACGCACAGGCGCCCATCTCAGACCCTGATGTGTTTCATTCGACTCAAAACACGCTGGCGGTGCAGCGGTTATGGTGCCGCGGCAGAGCTCTCTCTCTCTCACGCACAGGCGCGCATCTCAGACCCTGATGTGTTTCAGTCGGCTCAAAACACGCTGGCAGTGCAGCGGTTATGGTGCCGCGCCAGAGCTCTCTCTCGCACGCGCAGGCACGCATCTTAGACCCTGATTCCTCAAGTGAACAGCAGGGTTACCGTAGTGTGTGTGTCCTTGTTAATGTGAGTCTCGTTAGTTATGTATGGTAGCTGCTTGTGGTGGGTGTTGTTTGCTATTTGGTACGTGTTGTGTTGTGTGTCTCAACGCAAAGAATGGTGTGCAAAGTTCTTGTTGTACTTATAAAAGGTGGCGTGCTTGCTAAGTTGGCATGGGACGAGTACCTGGTCGACTATGTTGGGCTGAGAAAAGCCCTTAGGATCTTTGCAGGACTAAACTGTGAGTAGGAACAGTGTAATAGCGGAAGCGTTTAATGATAAGCCTGTGAACCACCTTGCGCTGGTATGTGAGGGCAAAGTAGATTGATTAAAACAAAGAGATACAAGCTTTTATAAGAGGACAAGGAATACGAAGGGATACAGTTAATAACCGTTTTACTATTGCTGTTGCGGTTCGATACAGTGACGACTCGGGCAACTGCTCAATAACGAGTCAGCTGTTTGTCCTTGTTGTCGTGCTGTACTTGTCAGGTCAAAGGTCGCTGACTTTTGACTTTCGCGTAACCTCCAGCAGTTGCTCAACCTCCGAGGGTTGACTCGCTGATGCTTCGCTGTGTTTCGCTTCGTTTATGACTTAGTGTTTCGACGCGACAGAGGCGCTTAAATCACTTGTTTCCAACACTCCCCTTCGCTTCTGGAGTGTCGCTGCTGGTGACGTGGCTCTGTCCAGTCAGCAGCATACAGTACTCGAACTTCTGCTTTCCGAGTTTCTTGGTCAAGTAATCAGCTGCCATCTCGGACGTGGGGCAGTAAGACAGCTCGAGTCTCCCCTTCTCGATCTCGTCCTTCACGAAGAAATATCGCAGGGCGATGTGCTTCGTCCTGTTCGCGAATCCATTTTTGTTGGCTATGCGAATTGCTGACTGGTTGTCGCAGAACAGGGAGAAGCTGGGTAACTGAGCCAGCTTCGCTTCCTCCAGGAGTTCGCGAAGGTACAGTCCTTCCTTGGTGGCTGAGCAGAGTGCGATATATTCTGCTTCAGCTGAGGAGAGGGCGATTAACTCCTGCTTGCTCGACTGCCAGGAGATGGGTCCGATAGGTTCGAGGCGATAGATGTAGCCGGTGCGCGAGCGTCTGTTGTCGGAGTCGCCAGCGTGATCGGCGTCGACGTAGCCGATTAACTTAGGTATCGAGGTTCCATTCTTGTGATAGGTCAGGCCGATCGTCGGAGTGCTGGCGAGGTAGTGAAGAGCGCGGTCGAGCTCCGCCATATATTCTGCCTCGGACCTTTTGAGGTAGGTGGCGAGTTGACTTGCTGAGTACGATAGATCCGGACGGCAGGTGACGGCCGCGAAGAGGAGGCACCCCAGCTTTCTCTGGTAATCGCGTATGCCTGCGGGCTTGAGCGGAGCGGAGCCTTCCTTGTGATTTCCTGCAGTGTAGCGGTATGGCGTGGAGATGGTGGTCGGGGTGAGTCCGAAGCGTTTGGCGATAGTGTCGGCATATTTCGCGGCGTTGAGATAGATCGCGCCTTCCTCTTCCTGGATATTGAGGCCGAGGTATTGCGTGACGGTTGATGATACTGTGAGAGTGAGGTCCTGCTGCAGCTCCCCTTCAAACCAAGTAGTGACGCTGTCGGTCGAGCCGATGTAGAGCAAATCGTCCACGTAGACGATGAGCAGAATGTAGTCATCACCTTTCGTGAGCCGGTACATGCCCTGGTTGTGTGGTAGCTGTCGGAATCCGATGCGGATGAGTCGAGCGTGTAGATACTGCTGCCAAAGTCTTGGAGCCTGTTTGATGCCGTACAGGGATTTCAGCAGCTGACAGACTTGGTTGGGCTCTCCGTTGGAGCCGTGTGTAAGTTCGACGAAGATTTCGGCGTCAACAGGTGCGTAGAGAAATGCATTGGCGACGTCAATTTGCCGCAGCTTCTTCTTCTTCATGGCGGCGATCGCGAGAAGAATCCGAAGTGAAGTGTGTCGGCTGACCGGGGCGAACGTCTCGGTGAAATCACGTCCGTGCTCTTGGTCGAAACCGCGCACGACCCAGCGCGCCTTAAACTTGTCGATGGTGCCGTCTGCCTTTGTCTTCACACGGAAGACCCATTTTCCGGTGAGTACCGTTTTGTTACGTGCCACGCCGATGGGAACGACTTTCCAGGTGTTCCGTTCTTCCAGTGCTTTCAGCTCCTTGTCCATGGCTTCGCGCCATTTTTCCCTATGCTCCCCCCCCAGAGCCTGCTGAACTGTGGCAGGCTCCTTAGGAATCTCCGTGCCGTGGACCGCGGTGACGAGGCCAAGTATCTGGAGTCCGCTCTGTGTGTAGCGGGGAAGTGTTGTATCCTCGGGATAAGCTGCTTCGTCACCTTCTTCTGGATCAGGTAAGAAATTGGGTCCTATGCGTTCGGCTTCGTTGGTGTTGACTCGGACGGGTGTAACGTAACCGTTGTCGGCGAAGTCGTAGAAGACTTCGGCGTTGATGGTTTCGCGAGGGTTATCATCGTCCATTGGAATATCCACCGAGCAGTAGGGAAGTGGTCCGGCTTCTTCCGAAGCTCCGTCCATTGTCTGCTCATCCAGGTCAGCTTCATCTTCTGTCGAAGCGAAGGCTCGGTCCCCACGAAATCCGCCTGTGACATCTCGTGAAGTCTCCAAGTTGTACAGGTACGTTGAAAGGGTGAGGCGCTCGTAGAAAATGACATCACGTGCTGCCACTGTTTCTTTTGAGTGGACGTCAAAAATCTTCCACGCGTTGTAATTCTTTTCAATGCCCTGGTGTAGTCCCCACTGTGCACGTTGGGAGAATCGGCCAGCGCGTGCAGCTGGGGGTCGGTACTGTACCATGCAGCCGAAATTTCGCAACATTTTTGTGCTGCCCAGTTTTCCTGTCCACAGCAGATGCGGTGATGCGTTGTTCGGGAGCGATGATGACGAAAGCAAGGTGTGCAGCATCACGGCGTGGTCCATTGCCTCGGGCCACTGGTGGTTGGGTAGCCGCATGCCACGTAGCAGCTTGCGCATGGTGTTCTGAAGGGTCCTGTTCATTCTGTCTGCTACACCCTGCTGTTGATGGGCGTAGGGAAGGGAGATGAGCCGCTTGATTCCTTTCTCTGCCAGGTACTGCTTGAACCTCTGTGAGGTGTATTCTCCTCCTCCGTCAGACTGAAAACTCTTCAACTTAACTCCCGATTCCCGTTCTCATACTGGGAGCCAGGCTACGAATGCTTCGAAGGCCATGTCACGGCTTGGAAGGTTGAGATGCCAAACATAACGAGTGGCGGCGTCGATGAATGTTATGGTGTAGTTGTATGCTCCTTGTCCAGGTTCGCGGTTGTACAGGATGTCGCTGTACACTTTCTCAAGTGGTGCATAAGCTGGTGCGCTCGGGTTGTGGTGAGAAACGAAGGGCTGATGCGGTAAGTCAGCTTCTGGGCAGGTGAAGCAGGTTCCTCGCATTCGACGAAGTTCTCTCCCGTCGGGTAAGAGCAGTGAGTCTTTGTCAAGAACGCCTGCTCGTATCGTGTTGTTTAACGTCGTGTTGCTCGGATGTCCCATTCGTTTATGCCAAAGATCTTCGTCAGCGCGATGTCCGGGTGAGCGGCGCTACAAGTCGGAGTTGGAGTAGAACCCAGCGGTGTGGTTTGCACTTCGATGGACTTCTCGTGGAGTTGGGTTCAGCTGTTGCGCAGAAGTCGGTGGTGTGTTGTCGACGAAGACCGGTGCCGTTGAAGGTCCTGCGATTGGTGGCAATGTTGTCTCTGCTGCTGCCGGTGTTGTCTCTGCTGCTGTCGGTGTTGTCTCTGCTGCTGCCGATGTTGTCTCTGCTGCTGCCAATGTTGTCTCTGCTGCTGCCGATGTTGTCTCTGCTGCTGCCGAGTGTTGAATCGTTGCTAATGCTCTTGTTCGTTCTGCCTCTGGAATAGTATGTGAATACCAGAAGCCTTCGGGACTGAAGTCAGGATCAAGATCTGGTGGGTGCGTCCAGGAGGTGAAGGTGACGATTCCGTCGCTGTCGGCGGTGCCCAAGTCTGGAACGAAGTCGAGGACGAACACGTTGTTCTTTAGCACGGCCTTGCCGATGTAGAGTCCGCCTTTCCCGTGGTACAGCTTGAACTCCTGAGTGGTGCTGTCTGCTTCGAGATGGATGCCTTTCGTCATCAGCTGGCTGACGCTCAGTAAGTTGTAGCCGAGTCCCTCCGCGATTAAGACCTTTGACATCTGTAGTATAACGTTTGTCTCCCTTGACTGAAGTTGAACCACGCCTTGTCGTCGTGTGCGCAGGTTCTGGTTGTTGGCGACGGTGATTACGACTTCCCGTTGAAGTTGATGTTCCCGTTGAACGAAGCGACTCGAGGAGCACATATGCTGCCCGCAGCAACTGTCCAAGAACCAGGTATCTTTCCCGGACGGCTCACTTTGGGCGATGGCTGCGTATGTCGGGTTCGGCTCCAGTGTCTCGCGGCGAGGAGTGCGTTCTTCGAGTTGTTCTTCTGGTGAGTAGTGCGGTGGTGATTCAGTGATGCAGGAGTCTGACAATCGTGCCATGCAGCTGACGATGTTTCTTGCTCCTTGTGCAGATTGTGTTGGCGATGCTGTTGAAGACTGCGACTGGCTTGTGGGGTGCGCCTGAGTGGACGCTACCTGACTACTTGAAGGGCGAAGTTGACGTTGTGGTGGTGTTGATTGCTGTCGATTCGGGCAGTGTGTGCGAGGGTGCCCTGAAGTTTTGCAGATATGACAGAACGGAGGTACGGGTTTTGGTTGATGCCGGTTGTTGTTGTTGTTGTAGCGCCGTTGGGTGTGAAACGCAAATTCGGGTACTGACGTTTTCTTCTTGTGCCGCTCCTCTTGCAGGTCCATGTCTTGCTGCTCAGCGTGAATTCCGGCGCAGAGTGCTGCTTCGGAGATCTTCCCGTGAGCTCGAAGTATGGCGCGAGTGGAGCGCCAATGAGGACCAAGACCGCCAATAACGACTGTGACGAAGGCGTCTTCTGATATCGACCCTCCACATCGAAGGAGTTTGTCGCGCAATTCGCGGCAGCGACTGATATACGCCATTCCCTTTTCGCCCGGTTTCATTTCCACTGTTGTCAGTTGTGCCATTAACCGACTCTGATTGACGCTGTCTGTTGCCTGATACAGGTTCTTCAGGTGGTTGTACGCAAGTTCGGCAGAGTTCCCGTATCCCCGGTAAGACCGAATGTTCTGCTGCTGGTTCGGTGTGACGTTGCGCAGTAGGATTGTGTACGCCATCATGGACTGGTATGTGTACTGCTGCTTGTCATATTCCGTCCCGTACGTTGGATATGGCAGGGACCCGTCGAAGAAGCCAAGAATATGCGCGCCTTCCATCATTAGCTCGAATTCGAATGACCAGGTAAAGAAGTCTTTTCCGTCGAACGGTCTTGATGTCTGCAGTTTTAAGACGTGCGCAAACTGCGACTGAACTTGAAGTGCATCCAATGTCTTCTCTTGCTCAGGTGAAGGCTGCTGGCGCGGTATGAAACTGACGGAGCCGCGCTGGGGTTCGTACGGAGCGAAGGTAGGTTGTTGCTGATTTCCTCGCGCGTAGGATGAACCATCGAGGCTCATCGGCGTCACATCGTTGTTGTTGTTGCTGTTGTTTGACTGCGCAGGTGCCCCTTGCTGGTGTTGTTCGTACATGAAGGATAAAAACTTCTCCATCATGCTTGGGTCGAAGCCCGCGGCTTGATTTGCGGGAGTTTCGGTGGATCCAGCTGCTGGTCTTGTTGCTGTGCCCTCCTCTGTCTGTAGGCCAGAGGCAGGAGGAGGAGTAGGAGTAGTGCCGGGAGAGCCGTTAGAGGAGCTTCTCTCCTTCTGTGTTGCCATGCCTTCTGATATTGTGGGTGTCTTGATAGTAGTTGAGTTTGCCCTGATAGCTCTCATACCATGTTGGGCTGAGAAAAGCCCTTAGGATCTTTGCAGGACTAAACTGTGAGTAGGAACAGTGTAATAGCGGAAGCGTTTAATGATAAGCCTGTGAACCACCTTGCGCTGGTATGTGAGGGCAAAGTAGATTGATTAAAACAAAGAGATACAAGCTTTTATAAGAGTACATGGAATACGAAAGGATACAGTTAATAACCGTTTTACTATTGCTGTTGCGGTTCGATACAGTGACGACTCGGGCAACTGCTCAATAACGAGTCAGCTGTTTGTCCTTGCTGTCGTGCTGTACTTGTCAGGTCAAAGGTCGCTGACTTTTGACTTTCGCGTAACCTCCAGCAGTTGCTCAACCTCCGAGGGTTGACTCGCTGATGCTTCGCTGTGTTTCGCTTCGTTTATGACTTAGTGTTTCGACGCGACAGAGGCGCTTAAAGCTCCGGTATACATTTGAAAGGGGGGTTTCAAAATCCTTAGGAACTTGAAAAGTTGCCCCAAAACTGTGAGGCACTGTAAAACCCTGAACCTCACTGACAAATGTATACTAGAGCTTTAAATCACTTGTTTCCAACAGACTAGACATTTTATGTTCATGTTCCATTTTATTGTGCGTGCATGATATGGAAGTAAGTGGGTTGTCTATTCAGCCAGTTTACTCCTCACAGTAAACTATTCTCATTACTAAGGTACTACGCTATTGAGCAGTGTACGATACAAGGAGAAGCATACAGGAATGGCATCTGCCCTACGGGTGGTAACAAGTTGCTTCGTGTTTTCCTATCAAAAGCAGCAGCAAAGCAACCAGGGAGACAAAGCACCTGAACCATAATACCGTAAAAAACAAAAGGCTAGCAACACCAATACCTACATACATACACAGTCAAGCTTGGATAAACACCATAGGATACACACAACCACCCGATAGGGATTGTGACATGCACATTGAGCAGTCAAGACATGGAACACAACCAGCAAGCTAGAAAGCCAGGGCTGGTTGTGTAGACTGGTGCACACTGCACTTGGCCCACCATCTCCCTCTCCCCCTTATCCCACTGGAAACTGCCAAACCATGGCCAACCTATCAAAGAACCAGTGCAACCCAGGAGGAATGCTACGCGAGCCATTGCTGCTGGTACTCCCCTCCAATGCAGCATGCGCAGTGATTGTTGTTTCACTATTTGCATGCACACTTCTGAACCATGAGTCCATGACCACTCATTTTATACCCAACCCACTCATTTTATACCCAACCCACTCATTCCCCATACGCACTCATTCCCCATACCCACTCATTCCCCATACCCACTCATTCCCCATACCCACTCTCTCCCCATACCCACTCACTCCCCATACCCATTCACTCCCCATACCCACTCACTCCCCGTACCCACTCACTCCCCGTACCCACTCACTCATACGTACTCCAAGCACAACCCACAGTACAAACAAACTCACACCAACCTGCCTCTGTAACCAGACACCTCCCCCAACCATACAAATCTCTCACCTCCCCAGACTCCCCCCCCTTCCTGTCTGCACCCACCTGCACCCATCCCCTTCTCTTCTCTACCGTATGTCACCTTGTCCCTCATGCCGTGAGTAAGATGCTATGGCTATCACTGAAGCGCCACAACCAATTTACCAAGTTGTCATGATGAGTAGAGTAAGAAGAGAGCTGCATGCTCAGCCAGCCTCCCACCTTCGGTCACTCCTTCCCTGCAACCCTGCCGTTGCGAATCTTCCCATCCAGCTTCTTCAGCCCTCCTGTCATCCGCTGCACGCTAGCCAGCGCCACCGCTGCTGCCTGTGCTGCCTCCTCCTCCCTCGTTGCTGCTGCTGCTGGTGCTATTGGTGTTGCTCCTGCTGCTGCTGCTGCAGCTGGTCCTGTCCCTGCTGCAGCTGCTGCTGCCACCGCATATCTCCCAGGTGCCGTTGCAACATCTCCCTTCCTCTCATTCCGGAACAGAGCACGTACCCTGTGCCCTAGCGCATGAAACAACCGTCCCTCCTCAGGACGCGACCCGCCGTCACTCCCCGCACCAGCCCGCGCCCTCCCCTCCCACTCATCCCTCCATTCGTTCGAAGCTCGCGTGCCTTTCCCAGACTCACTAGGGAAATATGAGCTCCTGGGGCGAGCTTTGGGTGCTGAAGCAGCGATCCTGTGCTGGTTGGATCTGCTCCCACTTGATACATCCGAATGGCCTCGAGAAGAGGTGGCAGTGGGGGAGGTGGAGGGCGAGGAGGAGGAGATGGGAGAGACGTGGGCGGAAAGGTTGGGTATGCGGGGCTGGGTTCGCATGGGGGCTCTTGGTTGCTGAGACACTGGCTGCTGCTGCTGCCGCTGCTGCTGCTGCTGCTGCTGCTGCTGCTGCTGCTGCTGCTGCTGCTGCTGCTGCTGCTGCTGCTGCTGCTGCTGCTGCTGCTGCTGCTGCTGCTGCTGCTGCTGCTGCTGCTGCTGCTGCTGCTGCTGCTGCTGCTGTGACATGTGGTGCTCGTTTACACGCATGGGAGAGCGGGGGTGCTGCGAGTCCATCTCCATCTCTTCTGCACGTCGTAGCTCTTCTTCGAGCTCCAGAGAAAGCGAGTCAGCGGCAGATGGGCTTCGATGCCTGCCAACTGCAGCAAAGGCCCCAGTGGCACCAGTAGCACCAGCACCAGCGCCAGCACCAGCACCACCAGGAGTGGCAGCAGCGGCGGCAGCAGCGACAGCAGCAAAGGCACCAGTGGGAACAAAGTCATCAGTGTTCCCCGCTGTGCCATATGGCGAGGTACTCCTGGGGCGTGCTGGAGCATTGAAAGTGGCTGTCGCAGCAGCAGCAGCAGCAGCAGAAGCAGTAGCAGGAGCAGGAGCAGGAGCAGTGCCAAAAGCATGTGAAGCAGTCGTGGTGCTGGTGGGACTTTGCGCTATGGGCTTATGGGACCAGAGAGTGGGGCTTTGGGGGCGGGGTTGTGTGTGCGGGGCAGAGGGGCTTGGGTGCCTGGCAGCTTGGGCACTCACACCGGTTCTATTATGGTGCGGACGTGCACTCATTGGGGACACAGGACGCCCTGACCCTGCCACTGTCCTTGCTCCTGCTGCTCTTGCTCCTGCTCCTACTGCTCCTACTGCCCCTGCTCCTGCCCCTGCTCCTGCTGCTGTTGCTCCTGCTCCTACTGCTCCTGCTCCTGCCCCTGCCCCTGCCCCTGCTACTGCTGCTGCTCCTGTTGCCATAGCCATGTGCTCGTGTGGTGCTTGCTGCTGCAGTAGGGGGAGCCAGGAACGGATTTGCAAGAGAAAGGGGGAGAGGCGAGGGGGTAAAGTAGGGGAATGGATGGGATGAGCGGTGACGAGTGGTTGAAAACACATTTGAATAAGCGTGATGAGTTTTTCAAGGCGGTTTAGAAAGAGATGGAGAGTGGTTTAGAATGGTTGTTCGCATCTGTGCATGCATGGTGAAGGCGAGGTTGGAAGGAGGGAGAGCGAGAAATTAATAGTGAGACAGAGAGACAGAGAGAAGAGGACGAACGCGGGGAGCGGGGGGCGGTGGTATTTGGAGAGTTGATAGAATAGTGAGCACTAACCAGGAAAGGAGTAAACGCAGCAGCTGCTGCAGTAGCAGCAGCAGCAGCAGCAGTAGCAGCAGCAGCAGGGGTGTGAGCTTGGGCGTGATTCCTCCCCCCATCGGTGCGCCTGTAACCAGCCCCACAGGCAGGAGACACAGCCTTACCACTCTCCCTCGCATCCCTCTCCTTCTCCCTCTCCATCCCTGCCCCCGCTACACTCCCCCAGCCTTTCTCCCCCCCTTGCATCTCATGTGTTCCTTCAGGTGACACCCTGGCGCCGTCAGGTGAGGGCAACAGAGGGCGGGTAACAGCCCTCAGGTGGTGGCCCAGGGTGTTGCTCACATTCAAATGAGGCGGTGGGGCAATCCTGGGGTCATGACTACCCACGCTGCTCCCATGGGAGCTAGAAACGCCGCTCTTTGCTGCTATAAGACATAAAAAGCTGCCACCAGTGGGACTAGGATCACCCACCACACTACCCATGCCATGGGCCTTGCCTGGCCTTATGCCTTCTGCTCCCGCAGCTGCTTCTGCTCCTGCTGCTCCTGCTGCTGCTGCTGCTGCTGCTGCTGCTGCTGCTGATGGCGGTGGTACGAGGTGAGCAGGTGCAAAGGAGAATTCCCTACCATAGGGAGGAGGAATGTGCCATGGGGACACGTCTCCCGGGACAGCAGCAGTGCCTCGAGTATTCGCTTTGTGTGGTGGGTCGGTCAGAGACCGCGGCACCACCATTGGCCTCCCCTCCCAGCCCTGCTTCTCAGCACCAGCACCACCAGCAGCAGCACCAGCAGCACCAGCAGCACCGGTGGCACCGGCAGCAGCAGCAGCAGCAGCAGCAGCAGCAGCAGCAGCAGCAGCAGCAGCAGCAGCAGCAGCAGCAGCAGCAGCAGCAGCAGCAGCAGCAGCAGCAGCAGCAGCAGCAGCAGCAGCAGCAGCAGGCATGAGCATGTGGTCATGGACGTCAGGCCCACGGCCCACATCATAGAGTGATAGCCCAGCAGGGTTTGACCCACTGCCAGGAAACCGCACGTGTGCAGGCTGTGCTATGGGAGAGGTGCCTGCAGCAGCAGCAGCAGCAGCAGTCGACAGCACCACCCCACCAGCAGCAGGCGATAGCCCACCAGCAGCAGCTTGTGATATCCTACGACCAGGAGGAGGTGATAGGCCTGCCACTGGCTCCCAGTAACCTTGCATTGAACGCCCGGGTGACTGCCTTGAACCTGCTGGAACTGATGACGCTCCCAAGTCAGTCCACCCAGCAGCACCGCTCTGCACACCTCTCTGCACATCTCCCACGCCCTGCACGCTCCCTCGCGCCTCCTGCTCTTTCATCCTCGCCTGCTCCTGCGCCTCCTGCTCCTGCACAATACTGTCAACCATTTCTAATTCCCGATCCAGAAGCTGCTTTATCTCCTCCATACGCTCAGCCTCCTTTTGACTCGACTCAAAAGACATCCTCGCCTGCTCCTGCGCCTCCTGCTCCTGCACAATACTGTCAACCATCTCTAACTCCTGATCAAGAAGCCGCTTTATCTCGTCCATACGCTCTGCCTCCTTCTGACTCGACTCAAGAGACATCCTCGCCTGCTCCTGCGCCTCCTGTTCCTGCACAATACAGTTCACCATCTCTAACTCCTGATCCAGAAGATTCTTTATCTCGTCCATGCGCGCTGCCTCTGCCTTATCACGCGCTTTCTTCGCCGCCTCTGCTTCCGCGTCCTCCCCAGGGGCCTTCACCCGAAACGCGTGTGGGGCGAGGGGGTAGATGGAGAGTTCCTGGCTTGTGCGGCTGCCCCGGGTGCTCTGGGCGAGCGATTTGAGGAAGGATTGAAGGCGAGAGGCCACGGCGGAGGTTATATGGGGAAGACAAGTGCGGATCTGCGCAGGCGAGAGGGGTGTTGCAGTACCTGCGTCGACAGCGTGCGATACGAAGCCCTCGTGGACGCGCGCTAGTAACGCGTACGCCTTGGGCCGCGGAAGAGACGCGGACTCGTACGCGATAAGAGCGTACGTGAGCCTTGAAGCGGGGGGCATGGCGGAGGAGGAGGAGGAGGAGGGGGAGGGGGAGGGAGAGAAGGCAGAGGAGCGGTATCCGGGCGGGCTGTTGAGCTCGGCGGAGGGGAAAGGGAAGGCGGAGAAGAGGGCCATAATGCCCCCCTGGCCCTGCGCGGATGAGCGATGCAGGACGCGAGAGGTGTCGTGAGATGCAAGGAAAGATAACAGGTGGAGAGAAGAGAGAAGTGGAAGAAGGGGAAGGTGAGTGTCATGACTCATAACTCTCCCCCACATTCCTCCCTCCCCCCATTCTTCCCCCAACCCCCCCCTTTCTTCCTACTCTCCCAAGCTCACCCGGAATTTGGCGCATAAGCGAGGCTTACCGCGGAATATCTGCTGAGGTACGGGGGAATTTCTTGAGCGGAATCGCGCACGAGTGGCTCCCATTCCTGCTGCGACGAGTATGCGACGAGAATGCTGCCGTCGCAGATCACGCCGAGGAACAGCACCAACTGACGCTGTTGATCCTTACCCATTTGGAATCTAATATCTACGAGATATTATTTCTAAAAAAATATGAAGAAAGACGGAGAGATGGAAGGCGCAGGTTACTATTACAGCAAAAAATCCCTTATTAATCGGCAAAGCGGTTCGAAGGAGCTGCTCTCCTCCAGATGCAGACCCACAATTCGGGTGTGTTACGAAGGTAGTGAAAAAAATGGGGGTGTATAAGTCATCTTGGTTTTGCCGCTAAAAGGCGGGAATGCGCGAAACTTGAGATAGAAATGGTAGAAGCGGTCCTGGGCCGGGAGCAATGGCGTTGACATCGAGGCAGTGATGTCAAGATTTGTCTGGCAACGCAGCAGGCTCGGTCAATGCGGGAGAATGGGATGGAATGGAAGTGACATGGAAGAGGGGAGAAAACCATCTCAGGGGGGCAAACGGACGAAATGATTGACTGCGAAAGATTGCTGGGCGGACCTGGCAGGATTCCTCCAGCGGGGCGGGCAGGTACAGAATGGAGAAACCAAGGGTCCTGTGCCGTGCTGGCGAAGAACATTGGTTCTGGTTACTTTCTGTAACAGCTCGAGCTGCAGTAGAAACCTGCTTGCGATATCATTTCACCAAAGGTTATTTATCAGTATACCAAAGGTCGAGAATCATTTGCATGGAACCAAAGATGATAATACAGATGCTCATACGTATAGTTCACATCTGAATCTAACGCATGCCTATCTACATACCGGTAAGAGCGAGCTGATGTTGTGGTAAAACAGATATGATTGAATAAGTATGTCTACCAATACATATGTAGACAGTGTCGTGTACAGTGATTAATTTCACAGTGATCCCTTTCGATATCAGCACATCCCCTTTCATCCGCCTTCCCCTTTCATTGCGGAGCACTTCCTGCGGAGGCGAATGCCCCAGAGGCCCTGCGCTCCCCTCGCTTTCCCCTTCCGCTTTTCCCCCCTTCGTCTCCCCGCCTTCCCCAACCCCCTCCAAGCGTGCAGTGCGGATCAACGAGCCTGGAGGGGAGGGTAAAGCCCTAACGGCAGCACTATTTTCACCCTCTTGTCTCGTGACGCCCTCTTAGCTCCGTTGCTGCAGGCAGGCCTTCGAGCTCCGGCACCATGGTGGGTACCGTTTCTACTCCCAGTCCCCGCGAGTTCTTCGCGGCTAGAAGCGTTTATCCTTGTGTTTTGATATCGGGTCGCTGATTAGGTACCTTTTTTTCGCGTTATTCGTGTGGGTGTGTCTCGTTGTCTGCGTGGCCAAGGAAGCTTGTGCCTTGTCGTTGTGTTTTGAGGCCATGTCGTTCCCCCTCTCTCGTTGCTTACTATCGGATTGACACGAGACCTGTTACACGCGCGGTTGATGTACGGCTGGTAGGAATTTGCGTCGATCACACGCCAAGGCTAAGAATACGTCCTGGTCGATTCTTAGGCCGTGTTTCCACCTTTGATCGATTGCGGTTCGCCTGTCGACGACACGTTTCCGCCCCGTCTGACATGTTGTGCAGACGAAGTCGTTCCGCCGATATTTTAGGGTTTACGCATGACAGGTTGACCGCTGCCGTCAGTGCTTCAGCCCAGATCGACACGCCAGCCTGAAATAGACATCACTAGGTTTATTCAGTAACTTTGTTTTAGGACTAAACACCTAGTAGTACTGCATACAAGGCCGTCTGACTAGTTAGTAGCCCCCGTCTGAGCCTTTACTGGGTCGTTAGTAACCCGTAGTTTAGGCCTAGACTTTCGTACGGACCACTGCTTTCAGTGCACAATTCTACCAGTTTCGAAAGGTCCTCGCTCTTAGCTCTTCGCATTTGGCTTAGCATTTTTGACAGGCCGAGATTCAAGCCGTAGATTGCAGGTTAGACGCGGCGTTCTGGCCAGGACGATAACTACTGCTGTCGTTTTGTATCCGGGGGAATTGGCTGGAATTCGCACCTTGCTCTTTCCCGTCCCCTCCCTTCCCGTTCTCTCCCTGATCACGCTCACGCCCGGTTGCGGAATACACAGTTCAGAAGAAGAATAATAAATTATCCTGGCCCTCCGCCCCATCCCCCTATCCTCTCCCGTCTCCTCCCCTCCCGTCCCCTTCCTCTTCCCCCCGACTCGTTCCTCTTTCCCTTCCCCTCTCCCCGCTTCCCCCCTCCCCGCGCGCGCTCTGTGGTGCGCGCAGGTGCTGTCCAATGACATCGATCTGCTGCACCCGCCCGCGGAGTTGGAGAAGCGCAAGCACAAGATGAAGCGGCTGGTGCCCACGCCCAACAGCTTCTTCATGGTGAGGCGGAGCCCGCGGGTGTGGGGGAGCCCTGGCGGAGCCGTTACGGGGTTTTGGGGAGAGAAGGAATGGGGAACAAGGGCGAGTTCGGCTAGTGTGTAGAGAGTGCGTTTAAGTAAAGTTTAAAGTTTTTTTTCGCTGAAGGAGGTGCCACGAGGCAGGGGCTACTCTGGTGTGCTGAGTGGCTCGCGGCGGTAAGTGTGCACAGGGATGCTCCAGATACAGCACAGGCTGCTATTGAGATGGGAGTGATGTAGCTATTCGGACTTGGCGACGTGGCTACTCCTGGAGCTGGGCCGGGTTCCCCCGACATTATCACTTGTTACGGCTTGGTGACTATGGAGAACCAGCACGTTGGAGTTCAGATGTATCGCGAGAAATCTCAACATACACTTACAGGGGTGGGTTGTCTAGCAGCTCAGTCGTCTAGTAGCCGTGAGGTCTACTAGCCGAGAGGTCTAGTAGCCGAGAGGTATAGTAGCCGAGAGAATTAGTAGCCGAGAGAATTAGTAGCCGAGAGGCATAGTAACCGAGAGGTCTAGTAGCCGAGCTCCTCATGGTCTTTTCGTGAACGTCTGGCGTTGCTGTGAGTGCTGTCTAGATGGACCGATTGTCCTCCTCTCGCTTCTCACTCCCTAGTCCACTGCTGGTTCCTGCCAGCTTTCTTCCCTCTGTTGCCAGCATTTTGGCTACCCCCTCCTCTTGTCCATGAACCTGCTTTTCTCTTTCTCCGCCCCTCCCACCTCCCGCGCTCTCTCCCCCCCTCCTCCCCTCCCCCCCACCCCCCACATCCCCCCCTTCTCCATGGCAGGATGTCAAGTGCCAGGGATGTTTCAGCATGTACGTTCCTCGCATGTTCTCTCGTCTATCTTCTGTCCTCTTCGCCCTTCATCCCTGCGTCCTGTCTCTCTCTTTTACTCGCGCTCTCTAGTCATTCTGCACTGCTCTCGCGTTTCTGTTTTGGGGTTTTCTGGACCACTCCTGCCCTTCATCACTGATTCATGCAGGCTCGTCGTCTTTGTATTCCCTTCTTTCTCCATTTCACCCACTCTCTCAACCTCCCCTTTCCCCCTTCCCGACACCCTCCCTCCCGCCCTCTGTCCGCTTCTTCCCTCCCTCCGTCCCTCCCTGCACCATTCACTAAATCCCCCAACCATTACCCGTGCCTGCGTGCATGGTGCAGCACGACGGTGTTCAGCCACTCCCAGACAGTGGTGCTGTGCGGCAGCTGCTCCACTGTGCTGTGCCAGCCCACAGGGGGCAAGGCACGCCTCACAGAGGGTTGCTCCTTCCGCAAGAAGGGCGACTAAATGGTGAGTTTTTTCGGCCTCCCCTTTTGGACGTTGTTATTCCTTTACAGTGTTCGTTGTGTTGATGTGTGCGGCTACTGCTGCTGGCATTGATGAGTCTGCACTTTTCCGCTGTTGCGTTTGTTCTGTCAGATGGTTGGAAGTACAGCTTTTAAGCCAGGCAGCTGAAACGAAATCAGAAATGCTTATTGCTTGTTCGGCACGAATGCACCTCGTGGTCATGGAGCCATGTGTTGATGGGTTTTGTCGAAAGCACCCAGCATGGCAAGCCAATAGTGTTGGCGTTTGAGCTAGCCTAGGGGTTTTTGCCTGCCGATTTCTAGAAGTACCAACCAATGTCTTCATCTTGCTTGTATTGCATCATGCTGCCATAGTTAAAAGTTCTAAGAGCATGTGTGTTTAATGTTGTAGTGAACTAAAACAAATTTACGGTTTCCTCTGGAAGGTGCCTTTTTAAGCATAGTATTACCGAACACGTGTTCGGTTGTTCGTTTCAAGAGACGAGATCTGATGTCAAATCAGTTTCGCGCCTATCAGTTCCTTTTTGCTACCTCGCCATTGGCGTGTCAGACCCCTGTCGTGCAGGCCACAGACGGAAAGTGTCCACGGCGCAGCCGCAGGACTTCCCCAGAGACCACGGCGCGATAGTATCGATCTCCACTCCGCAAGAGTCCCTTTCCAGCGTTGCTCACGCCCCTCAGAGGCCCTTTCCCGCGCGAACCATGACAGGTTGCACCTTGGTGCGGGGATCAACTTTTCGTGGCGCATGCCGTGCGCCTCCCCGCATGAATCTGGCGCTGCTGAGCATACCATGTCCGTCAGGCTTTCGTTTCGGGTCACGGTACCATACCAGTGACTCCGGGTCACGGTACCTACGGCCGAGATGAGTCCAGCTCATCAGTACTGCAGTCGTAAAGAGACCCGAACGACACAGACCTAGAAATCTGACTCGAGGTTCCGAACGCGTCTTGAGGAACCCAAGAATGTCGAAGAATCCTAAATATATAAAAATAATCGCGCAACATACCCTTTAATGTCCTAATTGTGGGGACCTTGCCAGACGGAAGTTTTTGGACCACATGATAAACTATGACTATCCGCCATAAATATTTTGTTTCGTAAGTCAGCTAAACCATAACAGAGTGCCCTAACTCGTTGATAAATAACACATAATTTCGCAGTTTCCACCCAGAGCACCCGTATTTTTCATTCTGACCACACATCATTTTCCAGATCCCCAGCCGCCAGCCCATCTGTGGCTTTGCGCCTCCACTTCACGGTTAGAGTTGGGAAAGTGGTGCAAGCGGAAAACCTCCGCTTGCATCTTGACCTGACGTTGGTGTTCTTTTCTCACAATCAATTGCTACCTGCCTCCACCCTGCGTTGTCTTGCTCTCACCTCGCAACATCGCATCCTGTTCCATGGTTGCCCTCTGGTTCGCCCTTGTCTCTGTCACTCCCAGGGTTGTTCCCAGGCTCTTCCATCGTATTGCCAAATCTCCGCTGTTTATTTATTATTAAGTCAATTATTCTTCTAGGCATAAGTTATTCACCTGTGCGCTAGGTTGTACTAATTAAATCATGGGCGTGGACGTCGATGCCGCTCCCGCAGTGGAGCACGGCGTGCGGCGGGGGCTGGCCGCGCACGGCCGCAGCGTGAGCGCCAAGGAGGGCGTTATCTATCGATCGAACGCGCACGCCGCGTCCCTCCACCCTCGCTCGAGAGCCGGCGGCATGGCAGCAGCGCCGTCTGCGGAAAGCCAGGCGAAGGAGACTAAAGACGACGGGCAAGTGAAGCCCTATGGTGCGTGCGGAGGGGCTTCTCTGTCCCCTGGCGCCGATTCTTCCAAGGAGTGCTTCGACGGGAGCGGCGGCAAGGGCCTGCTCGCGACTGCTTACGACGAGCACAGCAAAACGATGCGCGACGGAGCTGGCGCACCAGGAGGCGACGGGGGAGCGCGCGGAGCCGTGCAGGCGGAAGGGATGGCTGATTTCCGCACGTGGCTCGAGGACCAGATTAGGTTTAGCGAGTCGCTATCCATGATGAGCGCGGCCATGGCCGGCTCGTCCTCTAAAACCGCTGGTTCAGTTCCGCGCACCCGCTCCGCCGCCGTCGTGTCCCTTGCCCGTCTCCCTTCGCTCCCGCTCTCCTCGCACGCCGCCGGGAGCACCGCCGCCGCAGCCGCATCGCCTGCGGCGGATGGAGCTTCTGCGTCCGATTCCGCGCTTCCCGTATCCGGTCCGCTACTGCCCCCCAACGCGGTTGTTCCGCTCACTCTTGGATCCGCCTCCGGCGCTTCTTCCGGCGGATCTGGCGGCGGGGGCATGCTGCTGAGCCGCTTTTCCCCGCTTCGCGCGCTCGCTCGGGTAGCGGCGCGGAGATCGCGCTGCTGCTTCTCCATGCACGTGCATGGCATCAGCGGCCTTCCGCCTGCGTTTAACCGTCCGCCCAGCGGCGCCGCAAAAAACGGCGGCGGCGGCGGGGGAGGCTGGGAGGCGGTGGTGACGTGGCAGCGGCGCGGAATGGCGGTGGGAACGAGCTTTGCGGAGGTGAACGAGGGGGTGGTGAAATTCGAGCAGATGCTGCAGTTATCTTGCACGCTTTACTTCTCCTCCGGTCCGTCCTCCACGCTGCGCTTTCAGGGCAAGCCGTCTACCGTGGTTGTCCGCGTGCTCGACCGCACGGGGGGCGGAGCCGGCGGAAGGAGCGCGGGCGCGGGCGCGGGGGGAGTGGCGGAGGGTCGGATCGGCAGCAGCTACGAGATCGGGCGGCATCTGGTGGATCTCTCGCGGCTCGTCCCGCAGTCGCTCGTGGAAACGGAGATTGGACCGCACACGCTCTCGTTCCCGCTCGACGGCCCCGCGAAAGGCGCCGTGTTGCTTGCTACGTTTGGGTACGAGTTGCAGATTAATCAGCACAGCGGCGGTGGCGGCAGCGGGAGGTACGGGGAGGCGCGGGTTGCACGCGCGGAAACCCGCGCGTTCCGCGCGTTCTCGCTCCCCAGCAGCGCGCGCACCTCCCCCAGTTCGAGCCCGTCGCGGTCGTCGGGGTGGGCGGGCGCCACGACCGCTACTTCGTCGTCTAGCGCAGCGTGGGAGGCGCGGAGCGGCGGAGGAGAGTGGGGGATGGAGGAGGGGCAGGGGGAGACCCCGGGAGTGGAAGAGGGGCCTGAGGCAACGTCGCTAGAGCGAGAGGGGGAAGTGGGGGTGGGGGCGGGAGAAGTCTACGCTGGCGGGGAAGGGGAAGTTGAAGCGGAGAGCGCAGTGGTTAAGGGTGGGGGCGATGAGGGCGGGGAGAGGGCGGAGGGCGGAGGGGAGGTAGAGTCTTTGGTGGTGAGAGAGGGGTGGGGTGCGACAGAGGATGAGAGAGCGGGTATTGAAGGGGAAGGCGTGGGGAGGGACAAGGGAGGCAAGGGCGGAGTGGGTGTGAGTGGTGGAGGCGAAGGGAGGGGTGTGAGTGAGGAAGGAGCTCTGGATGTTTCTGGTAGTGGTGGGTCTGGGAGGGACGCTGGGAATAATGAAGCACAGGATGATACTATAATGGATGTGATTGAACTGGAGGATCTTGTAGCGATTGAGTCGTCAGAGGGGGCTGAGTCACCGTTCACAGCACGGGCCCCAGCCCTTTCTTCCGCCGATACTGCTGCAGATTCCTCGCTCTCTGCTTCACATGCAGGGGTGACTAGTGCAGGGGCCGGGGGAGCGGAGGAGGAAGAGGGAGCTGGAGTTTTAGAGGAGGAGATGGAGGCAGTTAGTGATGAGTTCCTGGCTCTGCTTCTGGATGGGCAGCTTAGTCCAGAGAGGGAAGGCGACAAGCCAGGCCGCTCCAGCGGCAGCAGAAGCAGCAGCAGCCTAAAGGGCGCTGCCAGCAGTGGTGCTGTGAGTGGTGCTGCAGCTGCTGGTGGTGTGGCGGGAGGTGGTGGGCTTGTGCTTGCAAGCTCGACTCTCTCGCACAGTGGCATGCTCACAGTGGGGAACAATGGGCTGTGGCTGGATAAAATTCCGGAGGAAGAGGAGGAAGGGGAGGTTGATGGAGATGATGGGGAGTGAGGAGAAGGATGAGGAAGAATTGGGCTTGTGGTGTTGAAGGCATTTATGGGGTTTGTTTGAAGCCAGTGCCATTGGCTTCAAACAATTTAACCAACCGTTGGTCTGAGTGGTGTGTGGTCTGGTCATTGATTCTTCTGCAGCAATGGTGTTTGCTTGTTTAAAAGTCACCAAAAGGTGGCTTGCTCAGTGTGTCATCAAGGTTTGTATCTGATATATTTTGGTATATCTATTTGGTAGAACTAGTATTCAAGTTTGTAGGCTGTGAGTGCAATATTTTCTGTATTGTTATTTCTGGATTCTCAAATATGTCTGAGGTCCAATGTGCTCTTTCTTGAATGAAACAAGTACACTATCATAACATTCACGTGTTCTCTTGGATATTGTTGGATCTGGTCACATTCATTTCCCAATTTCGTTGGAGATGTTCGGCTCTGAAGCCCTTCGCGAAGATTCGATTCTGGAATGTAATTCGCAGAGACGGTCGTTGACGTGTTCGGCGGATGTTTTTTTCACTAGTGCTTTGTTCTGCCTCTCCCCCATCCCATTCATTCCACGGAACTCTCATGGCTTCCATCTCTCTTGCCTGTGCTACGCCCTTCTGCCGCTTGCCAGCGTCAGTTCCCTGTATCCCTTCTGCCATAACGGTCAAGCCTTCACGCGCTCCTGTTTCGATCACCTTTCGTGTCCAAAATAAGAAGCGTGTGAGCAAGTGTGCTTCTCGGCTCGTCTGCATGGCTGGCGCAGTGGAGGAGCGTTTGGGCATTAAGATCGAGCGCAACCCATCAGAGGCCCGTCTGTCGGAGCTTGGGATCCGTTCCTTGCCGACTTGGGGGTGCGAAGTGAGTGAGTTTCCCTGGACGTATAGCGGCACGGAGACATGCTATCTTATTCGCGGCAAAGTGAAGGTCACGCCAGCAGGCGAGACAGAAAGTGTGGAATTCGGGGCTGGGGACCTTGTCGTGTTCCCTGACGGCATGAGCTGCACATGGAAGGTCTCAGAGGCTGTGCACAAGCACTATCGCTTTGACTAGTAGTTAACGCTCGTGGGCCGTATGCCTCACTAATTGTTCGAGCTGACGGGTACCGTATGTATGTTATACCACTCAAAAAAACATAATTTGGCAGAAACACTTTATGGGCTCTTTGTGCTTGCTGGAACTTGGGACGAGGTCCACTTTCATGCAATGTCCTATTTGAAATTGGATTCGACAGATGACGTTATATAATGCATTTCGTAAAGCCCGCGACAGTGTCATGAGTCATCTAGTTGTTGTCCCATGAAAGAAACTGTGTTTTACGAAACAAGTCGGTAGTTCCCTTTCTTGTTGGAACCATAATTATGAGTGGACAACTCCATGGCAGTGAGTTCAGATACATGTAACTTCATTCGCTAGGCTATGCCTTTGCAACCGTAATAACTGACACCTCTGTATGGTAATGCAAGATACGGCTACACATGTAAAGCTGGTGCAACTTAGAAGCAATATACAACGTTACGCACGCTTGTTGGGCCGTACAAATGAGCCGAGTTGAGCCACGGAAAAGCCGCAACTGAAGCTCACTTTTGTGCTGGTACGTGCGGGCTGATGGTCGACTCGACGTCATATTTCGTCTTGACATATTCCCGAAGCGGTGAATGCTTGTACTCCTTGCCTTCTTTCTCTGAACACATCTCTCCGCCGTTATCCACCCTGGACGCCTTGTTCACACTGCCAGCCAGACAGGCGAGTTAAGCATGCTAGTTGAACGAGTAAGCCATAAGCCAAAAGCGTGAACTTTGATGGTGGAACTTACAAGACGTCGGGTTGGAAGAGGGCCCTGCTTCCACTGTACACCATGAAGGTCAGGCCTGCGCCCATGGCGGCAATGAGGGGATAGACCTGTAATGGTGACACAATGGGGTCAAACTATGTTGGATTGGAAGTAACCCGCCCAAAGATGCTATCGTGGAACACTTACATCAGGCTTCACCCACTGCTTCATGAATGACTTGGTAGCTGCCATTTTGACACTCTAATGGCTAAAGATGAAGTGAAACGTGGAAAAAGGCTTCAAGAAAGGCGAATGAGCGGGTGCTAGTTGTTGGAGGACGTTGGATATGGAGGACGCTGGAGTCGGAGATGGATGGTGAAGTGGATAGAGAGTCGAAATGGAGGATGGCAGTTCCGAGTTCACGAACTGTCGAGTTTGTAGCACACTTCCTGGCTTTGGTCGGATTTGGTCGGAATTGAAGAGCAGTGGAAGGCCTTGGGCCTCCTGCCCTCTGACGGGCAATTTGCCTGGAAGTAGTGGATGGGTACGTGGAATCCGTGATATCTGGGAATGCGTCAGCAGGCGCTCGTGCGTTGGCTCCCATTTTTCATTTACGATTGGCCCGTTTGGCATCAGAGCTGGATTCTCATAAAGTGTCGTCAATGGTGTACGACGTTCGCAACGAATTATAGGAGTGCGAAGGTTACCATATTCACCACCTCACATGACACTGCACCGTACCATACCACCTACTGTTCGAATGTCGGTTTGATGCTTGTCCAGCCGTTTGAAACAGTGCATCTTCTATAAGCATCTTTATAACTAACAATTACAGGTAACAGCTCTCAACATATTACCTACGGTACGGTATTTTGTTGTGCACGGTGGAAACCATTGGTTGCATCTCTCAATTTTCGTATTTTTCTTCCAGGTAAGTGGGTAGCCCCCTTTTTTCTTTCCCCTTTCATTCCATTAATGCCAACATACCTCCACCAATCTACATCCTGACAAAGCCATTAACTAGCGGTTTCAAGTGAGTGCATTGTGCACTCGTTCCAGCAGCCGTAGCACAGCCTGCAAAGGGACAGGCGAGTCACCCTCTTCCAAGGGATCAATGCACGATCGCAGTGCCTGCAGGGACCATGGCCCACCCACCCCACCCACCAAACCTGCCGGCTCCCTCTCATGTCCGACTGGAGGGCTTTGCACACCGCGATCCATGTCCTCTCTATCAATATCCGCGCCAACATCAACGTCAGCGTCAGCGTCAGCATCAGCATCTGCATCAGCAGCTGCGAAGGCAAGGGAGCGATATGCATGTGGCGCCTCCTCCTCGGCATCCATATCGCTCCGCCTACCTCCATCTGCCCAAGCGCTTCCTGCAGCAGGGGCCATCCCAGCAGAAGCCACAAAGGCGTCATTCAAGTGTGCAGCAGTACCTGCTTCCTCACTCAGCCCAGCAACGTTTGCACCTGAACCAGCACCACCAGCAGCACCAGCACCACCGTCAGCTGCAGCAGCGGCGCCGGCTGCTGCCTCAGCCAAGCCTCCACCGGCTCCCACCCACACTCTCTCCCGCGGGCCTTCTAGCAGGTCTAGCAGCGCAGACGACCGCCACTCCCCCGTGGCCTCCCCACCACTGCTCCCACTCCCACTCCCACTTCCACTCCCACTCCCGCTCCCGCTCCCGTTGCTGCTGCTGCCGCTGCCCGCAGCAGCAGCACGTGCCATCCTGGTGGTTTTCCTCCTCCTGCTGCTGCCAAGGCTGGCAGCAGAGGGGGGGAGGGAAGCTGCGTAGGCAGGGCCGAGGAGGGAGGAGGCGGCGGCGTCTGCAGAGGCGCCTGAGAGCACATGGTGCTGCTGGCGCGGGGAGAGGTGGAGGAACTGAGACAGCATGTCACCGTCTAGTACTCGCACCACATGCGGCTGGGGAGAGGGGAGGGAGCGGGGGTGAGGGGATGTGGGAGGGATTGGAAGATTTTCTTTAGGACCTTTTTAGACGACTTTTGGAACGACCGCTGAGGTGACTATTGAGACGGCTTTTGAGTCGACACAACAGTTGCACAGCACAGCACATGGGGCTGCAAGGGGCGAGTGGGAGGGATAGGGGGGCGGCATGGTGATGGCGGTGGAGGAGCGTCAGGAGAGGAAACTGAGGTGAGGTTGAGGGGAAAGACAAAAGGAAAGAGACGAATCTGGCATCCAGAAAAGAAGAAAGTGAGGCGAAGCCTTACTGGAGACCCTTTGGTGCGGAAGTGAGCGTGGTTGTTGCCTAGGAGGGGCGCTGTGAGTGGGTGCTCTGCCAAACGGCGCTCTATGAGCGACAGCAGGGCATAATCCGCCCTGAGTGGGGGGAGATGAGAGGGGCGAGCAGGAAAGAGAAGAAACGGGGAAGAGAGGAGAGAGAGGAGAGAGAGGGGAGAGAGGGACATAGAGATGGGCGACGGAGATAGATGATGCAATGGCACAGATAGGACTACAAAGACTGTGCAAGCGTGTAAGTATGCAAGGGAGGACGCAAAGAAACGAGGAAGCGTGGTGTGGTGGTGGCGTGGCACACGCACCTGGACAGTTGCAGCAACGTGACAACAGATCCCAGCAGAGTGGACACCACAAGGGACGAAGCACCCATGGACGAATCCTCGCCACCCACACCGCCATCCCTCCCTCTCCCTGCACCCATCCGCTTGCCACTGCCCATCCCCCTTCCTGCCTCTCCTGCCCCTCCTGCCTCCTCCCTCCCCACCAGAACCTCTCCCTGCTGCAGCTGCTGCTTTAGAGGGCGGTGGTCTGTGGATGCCAGGGGAGTGCGGTACGCCAGTGAACCCTGCAGCAGCACGACCAGCAGCAGCAGCAGCAGCACACTGACTTTGTGCTTGAAAAGTCTCACGAGAAAAAGCAGAACACTATAGTTGTGCGTGAGGATACGAACGAGTAACAGCAGCTTTGAGACGGCGAGCAATGGAATGAGTGTGGAGCTAAGCTGGGGTGCACAGGTGTGGAACAGGTAATTTCGTGCTTTCTTTCATGTTGCACACAGCAATGCCGCATAGAGCAGTATGAATAGATCAGCCGAGGGAAGGGTAAGCGCCCATGGATGGCACATGCATGCCCCTCTGTTCTGCTCGGAAGCATGCTCTGTTCTACGCACACAGGTTTAAGATGCATACATTTCAAACCTCTGTGCATCCAGTCACAAAGGCACCAAAGCAAGCAACGCCCATACAAGCTCCGAACATTCCTTTCCCCCTTCCTCTCCCCCTTCCTCGCCCTTTTTTCTACCGCTATCGCCCCCCCTGCCTCTCCCTTTCCTCCCCTCCCTCCCTTCCAACCCACGCACCTTCTTCACGCCCTGCACGCCTTCCCCCAGGTAAAACCACGCCCGCTCCTGCAGGTTCCGCTCTGGACTGCTGCCCGTGCACCCTGCATGTAAGCCTGTGGGGACCAGGACAAACGTGCACACAGAGAGGTACGGGTGGGAGAAAAATGGGCAGTTCAAGAGGTCTGGGCGCTCGGGCATGGCAGCACGTGACGCTGACCGGAAACTTTGAGATTGGCACACGCGAGGGTTGGACAAGACACATTGGGGCAGAGAAAATACTACTGGGGCGTTTCAGAACAAAACAGGAACGGAACAGGGTTCGTGAGGAACAAGGGGACAGGGGTTTCAAGTCGAGGCGAGGGGAGAGTAAGGAGGTATGGACCGAGGTCAGAGACGAGGGGTGGTTTTCCGAAACACTGCAACTTTCTATTGAGACGCCTCTATTGTGAAATGAGCATCTGGAAATGTGAGGCCGGGCAAGGGGAGATTGAGGAGGTACGGAACGGACCAAGGTCAGCGGCAGGGGGTGGTGGGGGCGAGGCGAGGAGGCAGAGGGAGCCGCGGCGGTCGCAGGCGAGAGCAGCGGCGGGGTGGGAGGAGAGCAGTAGGCATGCGGACGTGAGGCGGTGCGATGGGTCTGATTGTAGCAGCTCAAACCGTGCTGCTCCCTGCCAAGATGGGATGCAAGTACATGGAGACAGATAGCGGGTCCAGTTGGAATGAGTGGAAGCACATGGGGGAGGTGGAATACAGGGGATTTGGACAAGGGGTGAGTGCTGGGTTGCGATGGGTCTGACTGGTCGTAGCAGGTCAAAGTTCGCTGCTCCATGCTCCCTGCTATGGGCAGGACGGACTGGGAGGGAGTCATGTTTTGGCCACACCGGGAGAATCTAGGCGACTGGTGGGGGTTGAAGGGGTGGCAGGTCTGAGGAAAAAAAAGAGAGTGGAGAATGGAAACGTATGCGGCAGGTGCGTGTGGAGGAATGCAGGGAATATTTTTGAGTCGACTCAAAAGTATGCGGCAGGTGCATGCGGAGGAATGCAGGGAATATTTTTGAGTCGACTCAAAAGTATGCGGCAGGTGCGTGTGGAGGAATGCAGGGAATATTTTTGAGTCGACTCAAAAGTATGCGGCAGGTGTATGCGGAGGAATGCAGGGAATATTTTTGAGTCGACTCAAAAGTATGCGGCAGGTGCATGCGGAGGAATGCAGGGAATATTTTTGAGTCGACTCAAAAGTATGCGGCAGGTGCGTGTGGAGGAATGCAGGGAATTCGGACAAAAAGATAGTGTTGAGGGAGCTGCCTGGTCGGCGGGGCAACAGGTGGTGGTTGGAGGGGTGACAAGTCGGAACTAAAAACTACGGGACAACGGAAACGGGAGCTTAAACTAAGTGGCAGAGGAAGTGGGTAGCGTCTGGAAGGCACGAGCAACACATTATGGTACTCGCGAGTCGACTCGAGACTTACCAGTCACCTTGCGGCAAGCGAGAAGTGGACAACTCAAGAGAGACATGGGCAATGAGAAGCAGAGAGGGCAGTACCTCATGGAAGGCGTATAGCAGCACTCCATCGCGGGAATCAGCCACCAGAACATGGTGAGTGAGTGGGGCGGAAGCACACAGAGCGGCCAACAGAGCAGGCGCAGCGGCAGCAGCGGCGGCGGCAGAAGTGGCAGCGGCGGCGGCGGAGGAGGAGGGGGAGGAGGAGGGAAGGGGCGCGGAGGAGGGCGGGAGAGGGGTGTGTTGGGGTGCGGGCGGAGCAACGGAGAGGGAGCGGATGGCGTGGCGGGTTCTGATGGAGGCGACTCGTCGCAGATATGCCTTGGGGGAGAAGGAGAAGCACAGCAGCTGGGGGGACGGGCGGAAGGGGAGGGAGGACGGAGGGAGGACGGGGGGAAGACGGAGGGCACAGAGTGGGAGACCTTTTTAGGCTCTAATGGAGTGACAAAAGGTGGTGGTGTGACAGGGTTTAAAGGAGGCAGAAGGCAAGAGAGCGACGCCCTGTGGCTGGCATGCTCGCATGTTCAGCAAGTAGCCATGTTACAGGTAGATACGCTACGCACGCACGCATGCACCATGATGCCCGCACCGCAGCAACGAGCAGCAGGTGCTGTGTGCAAGAGGAGAGGGAAGGACGACAAGACAACAGAGAGTGTGATTCGATTGAGTCGACTCAAAGAACGTACCATGTTGCCCGCGGCAACGAGCAGGTACTTGTGCAGGAACGGCACGATGGCAGAGACTGGCCCGGGCATGGGCACACTCCGTAGCAGTACCACCTCCCGCCCTCCCACTGCCGCTCCTGCCGCTTCTCCTGCTGCAGCCACTGCCGCTGCCTGTTCTCTATCCCCCTCGCCAGCACCACCGCGAGAAGCATCAGCCTCGCTGCTGCCTACAGCCAGTCGCCCCTCCCCCTCCTCCTCCTCCTCCTCCTCCCCCCCCCCACTGTTCCTTCCCATCAATCCCATGCCGCCGGTCACCTGCCGGTCACCTGTCACCCCTCTGCTCTCACCAGATCCTGTCCCTTGCTCCTCTCCTCCCATCTCCCTCTCCCTCCCAATCCCACCAGCACCACCCTCCGCCATTCCCTCTCTACCCCCCTCAACTTCACCTGTCTCCTCTCCCCCCCGTCTCCCCACCTCTCCCGCGCCCCTCCCTCCCCCTGCAGTGCTGCCGCCTACTTCTGCTCCCCCTGCCTCCCTTACAACCGCCCCCCCTGCTCCCCCTGCTCCCCCGCTCTCTCCCCCTCCCCTCCGCTCAGCAGCAGCCACTGCCCGTCTCATCCGCTCCAGCACCCCACTCAGCCCCCCAAGCCTCTCCCCCGCCCCCCCTTCTTCCCCCCACCTTCCCCCCGTGCCGCTGCCACTGCCCCCGCGTGGCCCCCCGACCCCTGCTGCTGCAGCTGAGGCAACCGGCGGTGAGGAAGAGAGAGGCGTGGAGAGAGGAGGGAGGGGAGGGAGCGACGGACGAGAGGGTCGGGCAGGAGGAGCGGTGGAGGGAGGCTGGGGGCAGGGCTGGAGTCGCAGCATATACAGCGTGCCCCTGGGAGCGTAGGGGGAGGGGGAGGAAGAGGGAGGGCGGAGAGGGGGAGGAGGGGAGGGGAAAGCGATAGGAGGTTGAGGGTTGAAGTGGATTGAACGGAGAGAAGGGGGGGGGGGGGGAGGACAGGCGCGAGTGGGGAGAGGGGAACGAGGGGGATGAGCACAAGGGATGAGATGGGACAAATGTAGGGAAAGGGCAAGCGATGGGATAGAGGAAAGCACTGCTCTTGGAATGAGGAGAGGTGACGTGAGAGAAGAAGGGAAGCGATGGGGAGGAAGAAGTAGCGGAAGAGAAAGGAACAGAGGGAGGAGAGGGAAGGAGGCGGAAGCATGCAAAAGAAGAGACCAGCAAAGCGATCGTATGGCTGGAAAGGAACCCTTGAATCAGCTCAAAACGGAAGAGGGGGAGGGGGGGGGGGAGCGGGGAGAAGGGGAAGAACGGGGACTTGGGGCAGAACATGAGGTAAACGGCAAACGGCAAATGGCAAACGGCAAATGGCAAATGGCAAACGACAAATGGCAACCGGCAAACGGCAAACGGCAAACGGCAACACAGATATGCCCCCATTGAACACAGTTGCGCTTCACAGTCCAACTGGCTGGGGATGCACCATGCTAGATAACAGTGAAGCACGAGTGGCAGCATACCCGGTATCAGAGCCTTCAGTCTCCTCCGTCCCTAGCATCACAAACTCGTGCCTGCTGCTGCTGCTCCCATGCTCCCTGCGCCTCAGCCTCCCCCCCTGCTGCTGCTGCTGCTGCTGCTGCTGCTCCGCACCTGCCACCGCTTTCCCTTTCCCCTTCCCTCCATCCCTCCCCACCTCCCTTTCCCCATCCCTCACACCCTCCTCCTCATCCTGCTCCCCTTCCTTGCCATATCCCCTGCCTCCTGCCTGATACCCTGTGTGCTGCTGCAGGGGGGGAAGGGGAGAAAGGGCCATTCGAGAAGGCGTGTGGGCGTGGGGGAGAGGAGCGAGGGGGGAGGGTTCCTGCTGCTGGGAGTGGGAGGAGGAGGGTGCGTGGTGCAGTGGGGGTGGGACGCCAGAGGGTTGTTGCGGAGTGGAAGGTGGCGGGCTTTGGATTGGTGTCATTGGCTGCTGCTGCTGCTGCTGCCCTTGCTGCTGCTGCTCCTCATCCTGCTGCTCCTGCTGCTCCTGCTGCTCCTGCTGCTCTTGCTCTTGCTGCTGTTCGTGCTCTTGCTGCTGCTGTGCAGACGTTGCTGCTGCAGCATCCTGCGCATTCTCCTCCTCCTCCCCCATTTCCTCCTCCTCCACCACCACCTCTTGAACCTGCACTTCCTCCTCCCCCTCCCGTTCTCCTTCCTCTTCTCCCTCCTGCCGCCCCTCTCCATACCCACCGCCCCTCCCCCGCTGCCCCTCCAATTCCCCCTCCTCTCCCCTTTCCTCTCCTTCCTCCCCCCCACTCCCTTCCCCCAACCCCTCACTCTCCCTCCCCACCCGCTCCCTCCCTCCTCCCACTCCCCTCCCCCTTTCACCCAACCGTCCACCATACCCCTCAGGCCCACCCACCCACTGCACCCGATCCGTCCGTTTCAGCTCCGGAAACGCTTCCTCCTTCCCCTTCCCCTTCCCCACTCGCACCACACCCTTCCCCGCAACCCCACCCTTCCTGCCTCGCCCTCTCGGCCTTTGCGGCTGCCAGAGAGCCAGCGAGCGAGTACGGGACGACACAGGAAGCTCAAAGCTCGAAAGAATCGACCCAGATGATGGGTCTAGACACTGCAGTGACGGCCGGGAGGGGGCCGCCGGGGGGGTGGGTGGCGGGGAGGGTTGGTCGAGGAACGAGGAGAGACACGGGTGAGCGCGCGGGGGAGGGGCGGCGCAGGCGACGAGGAGTGTGTGGGAGGAGGGGTGGAGGAGGAGGCGTTGCGGCGTGGCGTGTAGCGGCATGCGGTGCATGTCCAAGCGACGAGCCCGAGCTAGCTCCACAATATGCAGTGACCTATCAGCCACGAATATGATCCCACTGGTGCAGCCGGCACAGGAGAGCGGCGCAGCGTGCGTGCATGCGGGGAAGGAGATGGAGGCGCAGAGCGGGCGCATGCTATGCGACGAGTGCACCAGCAGCCACGGGCGCTCACTCATTGCCACCACATCACACTGCAGGGATGGTTGCAGCGGCACGAGCACCACGGGGGAGAGCCCTAGCTGCCGGTCTGCTACCAGCTCTAGTTGCACCGCACGGGGGAATGAGGCAGCACGTGCGGGTGCGGGAGTGAGAGCACCTGCCGATGCCTGCAGCCCCTGTGGTTCCTTCCCTTGCGGCCATGCGAACCTGACAAGGGTGCCGTTGCGTAGCCCCACTGCCACATACGCCTGGTCGAATAGCAACAGACACGTGCTCTCCGGCACACTCCCTCCCATGCTGCCACCGCCGCCGCTGCCGCCCCTGCCGCTGGCGCTGCTGCGAGCGAGTGCGGGGAGGGGGAGGGCGCGCAGGGGCGCGAGGGCAATGAGGCGGAAGAGGTGGGTGGGGTCGAGGGATACGACTCGCACGGATGGCTCGTATGTGCCCAGGAGGGCCACACGCCCCACAAGACAAAGCCCACCTGCTGCTGCTGCTGCTGTGCCTGCTGCTGCTGTTGGTGGTTCACCGAACCCTGATTCTCCCTTTCCCTGTCCCTGTGCCTCTGCCTGTCCTAGTGCTACTTCATGCCCCTGTGCGAGTGGCAGTGGAGGAAAGGTATTGTCCGGGATATGGATACACGAGAGCTCGTACTGCAGCGAGTACCGACACACCTCCACCAGACACACCCGCGGGGGGGGAGATCTCTCAAAGGAAACCCAACCTGGTGCGCGCATGGGAGAGGCCTCCTGGGTGGACGGGGGCAGCAGGGAGCATGTGAGCATGACGAGCACAGGCGGGTTGCATGTGAGCGCCACTAGCACCACTCCGCTCGCCACCGCTGCCACTGCTATCTGCTGCCTGCTGCTGCCGCTGCCGCTGCTCCTGCTCCTGCTCCTGCTGCTACTGCTGCTGCTCCAGGCATTGGTGCTAGTGGTAGTAGTGGTGGTGGTGGAGGAGGGTGGGACCCAGACCAGCCCATCCTGCGACACCCCGCCTTCTCTCCTCCCATCGCCTCCACCCTCACACCCCCCATCCAACCCTATCTCCATCCCTTCACTTGCGCCCGCCTCCCCATCCTCCTCTCCTCCACCCTCCCCGCCCTCACTCCCCCGCATGAGAGCCTGGGGCACGCGGCACAGGCGCACCTGCCCAGGTGTTACCTGCACGAGGTACCCGTCTAAGATGCGACCTGCTGCTAGTGTGGGCGAGCAGAGATCCACAGGGACTTGATCGGATACGTCTCTGAAGCGACTACCCACGGCCAGCACACGCGACTGAGAGACAAACGACATGACGAAGAGCGAGTGGTGCTCGTCCCCTGCCCGCACCCGCACTGTCCACGTCCCTGTCACCCCATGGTACTCGGGAGCGGTTGATAATAACCGCTCCACGCTCACCCCGTTCCGCACCACACACACCGCCCCGCCCTCCCCCTCCCCGCACGCTGCAACTACCTGGTCTTGCTGCTGTCCCCCCAGGTCGGCCAGAGTGAAGTCTATTAGAGGAGCGATTCCGGGGATGGGGGAATGGAGGGTGAGGGAGATTGGCGGGGATGGGAGCGGGGAGGAGGAGGGGAGCGGGTTGGGAGGGAGGGTTGGGTGATGGGAGGGAAGAGGGGTGGGAGTAGAGGTGGGGTGGTTGGTGTTGAGTTTGCTGGGTGATGCGTCTCTATCGCATTCCATTAAGACCCATTGCTGCCTCCCTGGCCGTCTCTCGCTGCCCTCCCTCTGTTCCCCCTGCTGCTCCTCCCCCGTTTCTGTACCCGTTGCGGCAGCATCAACCCCACCAGAAGCAGCAGCAGCAGCAGCAGCAGCAGCAGCTGTGGTAAGGTCATGTGTGCACCGGTCTGCTTCCATTCCCTGCTGATACAGTCCCACCCCACACCCCCCCTCCCTCTCATCCACATCACCTGCTCCCACCTCCCTCTGCTCCCCACCCCTCTCCCCCTCCAACTCGCCCCCCTTCTTCTCCCCCCCCACCTGGAACACGCACCCTGACCCAGCCGCAGCAGCTGCAACCACCGTGTGTGAACCCGCCCATGCCACAGCACCCACTGCCACACCACTCGCAAGCACAGGTGACAGCCACACCTGTAAACACCCCTCTTCCCTCACCGTCCCCACTTCTCTGCCCTCTCCCCTCCCTCCCTCCCCACCCTCACGTCCTCCCCCTCTTCCTTCCTCTCCCCCCATCTCTGCTTCCCCCGCCCCCTCCGCCCTCTCCCCCTCCCCCTCCCCCTCCTGCTCGCGCGGGGGGGCGCACTGAAGAGACATGGGGGAGCAGGGGGACGGGGGGGAGGCGCGGGAGGTGGGCGGAAGGGGGGACGGGAGGAGGGGGCTACCGGGGGAGGTGGAGAGGGGGGAGGTGGGTGTGAGTGCGGGGGTGAGCGCGGAGGTGGTAGACCGAAAGGAGTCAGAGGCGGAAGACAAGGCAGGGGAGGAAGAGGAGGAGGAGGAGGCGGAAGAGGGTGTGTGGTGCTGAAGGGAGAGCACGTGGAGAGTGCCTTGGTCCGTGCAGAGGAGGAGCCTTTCCTCCCTTACTACACACCTCACACCACACCTCCCACGCTGCTTCCACCGCCGCTGCTCTCGCTGCTGCCGACCGTACTTCTCATCCTCCTGCCTCTCCTGCCTCTCCTGCCTCTCCTGCTCCCCCTGCTCCTCCATATGCTGCTTTCCTTGCGACTGTTCACGCCCCCCCCGTTCCTCTCGCCTCTCTTCTCCCTCTCCCGCCTCTCCTCCCTCTCCCCCCTCCCTCCAATCTCTCTCCTCGCCCCTCTCGCCCCCCTCACCTCCCCCACTCTCCATCATGACCACATCGGCCTCCCTCCACACAGCCCCTTCCGCTGGCCCGCTCTCATCACCACACCTTACTTTCCTCCTTCTGCTAACCCTAGATCTTGCCTTCCCTTTATGCCCATGCCCATGCCCATGCCCATGCCCATGCGTCATGTGGCACCATCTCTCTGGCGTTGCCTGCACCTCCCAGGTCCAACTGCTGATCAAAACCCCCTCCTCGCCTCCCCCTTCCTCCTCCAACAATCTCAATCCCAACGGTTCCTCCTCCTCCTTATCCTCTTCTTCCTCCTCATCCTCCTGCTCCTGCTCCTGCTCCTGCTCCTGCTCCACCTCCTCCTCCCCGTCCCACCCCCTCTCCCCATCATACTCCTGTTCCTCTTCTCCCTCCCGTTCGTTCTCTCCCCTCTCTTCTTCCATTTCCTGCTCCTCGCCTGTGCCCCCCTCCCCGTCCCTTTCTTCTTCTCCCTCTCCTTCTTCCTCCCCCTCCCCTCCTTCCTCCCCCTCCCCTCCTTCCTCCCCCTCCCCTTCTCTTCTCCCCACCCTCTCCTCTCCCTCACACTCGTGTCTATCCGCCCCCTCCCCATCCCCATCTGCACATCCCCCCACACCCCCCTCCCCATCATCACCCCCTCCCGCTCTCTGCGTCTCATCCCAACACCTCTCTCCCCATCCCACCCCACAACCACCACTCCCATAATCCCCCCTGCCATCACCACCACCCCGTGAATCCTCTTTTCTAAGAACCAAACTCCTCTTCCTCACATCGTCCCCTCCACACCGCTCCACATACCTCTCCACCTCGCTCCCACTCGCCCCTCCTTCCTTCCCAGTCCAACCCCCCGTAATCCTCCACCTGTCCCTCACCTCCCCCACTTGCCTATCCTCCATTCTTCCACCCGCTTCTCCCCCCACCGCGACCAGCCCAGCTACTGCCTTTCCAGTTACCACCTCCCCCTGGTACCCCTTCCCGCCATTCTCCTCCACATAACGCCGCCCCTGCACCAGAGCATGCCTGACTGCGTCCCGGGCAAGGCGTGCAAAGGGGGAAGGCGAGGGGACGGGGAGAGCGGTCGACAGGACAGGAGAACCGGAGGGCAGGCTGGGGGATTCTCGCGAGGCAGTGCAGCAATGGTGGGATTCACTTCCACCACCATCACCACTGCCGCCAATGCTGCTGCTGCTGCTGCTGCTGCTGCTGCTCCCACCAGTAATGCCACACTCCATGCTGCAACCCCAGGTGTCTCCCATAGTGTTTCCTCCCACACGCCTCTCCCACTGCTCCCTCCCTTCTCCCCTGCTCCCTGCGCCTGCCCACGCTCTTCCTCCTCCGTCCATACCCCCAGACGCATCATCACTCATCCCTCGCCTCTCGCCCCTGTCCTCTTCACTCCTCCCCTCTCCCTCCCTACTCCCGTCCTCCCCGAATCCTCCCCCACTTCTGCCACCGCCGCTTCGCGTTCCTCCTCCGCTCCCCCCCGTTCCCCCGTCCCCTCCCCCTCCCCCACCACCGCTGCCTCCTCCCCCTCCGCCCCCTCCTCCGCCCCCTCCTCCGCCCCCTCCTCCGCCCCCTCCTCCGTCACCTCTTTCCCCTCCTCCGTCCCCTCTTTCCCCTCCTCGCCCCCGTCCTCTCCTCCTCCTCTCCCTCCCCCTCTGCCACCCCCCAACTCTCTCCCCCTCACTCCTCACATCCCTTCCCAGCCCAACCACTGCTTCCACCACCATACTCACTCCCTCTCCCCTCTCCCCCTCCCTCACACCAACCACCACCACACTCCCCTCACGCAGCAGCAGAAGCGTGTTGGGGGTGCGCGGGGGAGTGACGAGATGCATGGGGCAGGGTCGGGCGGGGATGGAGAGAGAAGAGGCAGGGCGGAGGGAGGCGAGGGCAGGATCACAGCGGAGCAGAACAAGGTCAAAGGAAGAGGAACCCTTGCTGTGACGGAAAGGGGGATGGGGCACACAGGGGAGTGAAATGGTAGTTTGAGGTTTTGAGAGATGGTTTTGGGTTTAAGAGGAGGGAAGGGGGTGTGATGGGGAGGTGAGAGCAGGGTCGCAGCGGAGCAGAACGAGGTCAAAGGAAGAGGAGCCCTTGCTGGGGAGGGGGAAAAAAGGATGGGGCATGGGTGGGTGGATAGGGGGTTTAGGAATTTTGGTTCTGGGTTTTCATTTTTTAGAGTATGTGGGGAGGGAGGACAGGGATGGTGAAGGGACGGATGACGAAGGGGACGAGCATGAGCAAGAAATGTCCCGGTTGCAGGAGGGTTTGAGGTTGGGGTGTCGAAACCCGCATGGAGGTTCCCTACTGAGCAACTCAGCAATCCAAAGTGCCAGAGCACAGGGCACAGAGCACAGAGCACAGAGCACAGAGCACAGAGCATAATGTCCACTTCTCCCAGCGTTTACAAACCACGCACCTGTGCGAAAGCACTGCAAGGTACAAGGGACCGGACTCTTCTTTTCCCCCCACCACCACCTGCTGCTGCTGTGTCTGACGCTGGTGCTGCTGCGGCTGATGCCGCTGGTAAGTGCTTTGAGCAGGGAGCAAAGCAGGACTGGCATCCCCTGCTGCCGCTACTGCTGCAGCATGCATTGCAGAGGCGCAGGGAGACATGGGGACGTTGGCAGGTGGGGGGAGGTACAGCAGCGGCGGGGGTGGTGCAGAGGGGAGCGATGTGGGGACACGGAAGACAGGAGAGACGGCAGGAGGGGTTGTGCCTGGTGCTGTGCTGGCAATAGCAGCAGCAGCAACGGATGGAGCAACTGGAATGCCGGCAGTATCCCCTGCACCACCAGAAGCGGCGGCGGCAGGGGCGGGGCGGTGTGAAGCAGTGCGGAGTGGTGCGGAGGTGACAAAGGCGATGCTCCAAATGGTGCCGAGAGTAATGGTTGGGGGCTGGTTGCCGAGAAGATGAGAGAAGGGGGAGGAGGAGCGCGGTGGTGTGTGAGTGTGAGTGTGAGTGGAGCGGGGTGCTGCTGCGGGTATGGTGGCAGGGGAGGCGGGTAGAGAGGAGGCGGAGGCAGACGAGGGGAACACAATGGGCTGCAGGGGAGGGATAATAGGAGGAAGGGGAGGGCGGGGGGAGGGGGGAAGAAGGACCGAGGGGGCGAGAGAGGGACGAAGAATGGAGATTGGAGGGGGGGAGAGGGGTGAGTGGGGGTTGTGGGGGGGCACATGATATCAGTTTGAGGTAAGGCGGGAAGGGCAAGGAGGAGTAACAGGTCGGCAGGGGGCAAAGAAAGCACCTCCCACATGCAGCTTCGCACAACGGGACAGGACATGGTAACTAACGGCTCATTACAGAGGGCAACACAGGCAATCTCTCTACTATTGCCCCAGCCCAGCTACTGCCCCAGCTACTGCCCCTCTGCGTCCGTCCCACCTTAGCTATGAGCCGATCGCACGTGTGGGAGTGCAGCACGGGCAGCACTGCCACTCGCCCCTCCATTGCCGCCACTGCCACCGCCCTGCCTCTGCAGTCACGGGGGGCAGAGAGGAGTGGAGGAGGGGGGGAGCAAGGGGAAAGGGGGGGAAGGGGAGAAGAGACATAAAGGGCAGGGGGGCGATGATGTGGGGTTGGAATTTTGGGGGGTGATACCTTGGGAAGTTGATACTTGGGGGGTGAGACATACAGGACACGTTGGGGCGGAAAGGCAGACATGACCTCTGATACAGGAAGTCCTATGATCAATACATACAACATAGATATGCAATTGATACACATTGACCTTAGAACACCTCAAAAACAAAAATTTATACACTAGTACAACAAGCAATCAACACGGGGTATGGAGGGGCTGTGGCATCTCACAATGGGTGTACGGCCAGCAACCGCCCAAGCTCCCGAGGCGCAAAGGACTGCAGCGGCCGCGGCCTATCGGAAAGCGCCACGTGTCGCAGAGCAACGAATCTGGAGAATCAAGCGGGAAGAAGGGTTGCGAATGAATGCAGGTGAAACAAGCCAAATCAGAGTGCAACCGTCAGCAAGAACAAGCCAACACCTGATCAAAAGTGAGGATGGACATGACAGCTTGCCGGCACACCTAACCCACATGCAACCCCACACCAGCACTTGCTGTTCTCCCACCCCATCCTCCAACCCTCTGGCCCTTCCTCCTCCCACTCCCCATGCCAGTGGTCCCTCACTCGCGGCCTTCCCCCATCCGCGTCCTCGGCACCTGTTGAGATCAGGATCGAAAGCCGGGATGGAGAGCTTGCCAGCGCCTAACCCACTCACTGGCAACACCGGGGCCCCCTACCCCCCATGCGAGTACTCCCACTGCCCACCCCCCCCTCTCTCTCCCTCACGGCACCTGTTGAGATCGGGGTCGAAAGCCAGGATGGAGAGCTTGCCCGAGTCCGACAGCACTGCTAGCATGTCCCTCCCCGCGTACTGCGCACGGTGGGGGAGGGGAGGGCGGGGGAGAGGGGGGGCATGGGTAGGAGGCATGGAATGGACAGCTTGCCCAAGTCCGACAGCACTGCTAGCATCTCCCTCCCCACGTACTGTGCGCCGTGGGGGAGGGGGGTGCGGAGAGAAGGGGTGGCGCAGGGGGGGGCAGAGATGGGGAATGGGCCGGGGGGAGGGGGCCATGGGGGAGAAGGGGAAGTGGGGGAGGGAGAGGAGAATGGGGGCGTTTGGTTTGGACCGGTCTTTAAGCTGACTTGAAAAAAGGGCTCAACTCTAGATTCTTCCTGTGACGATATTTACCTTAGCGCCCGGACTTGTGCCTCCTGTCCCCCCTGCCGCGCCCCCCCTCAACTGCGCCAGTGGCCCCCCTACCCCCGGCGCCATCCCTCCCAGCGGGCGCGACGGGGAGAGCGCGCGGAACGGCGGAAGGTACGGCGACAGGGACACGGGGAGCGGGACGGCCGCGAGGGGGGGGGTGGGCGGCGGCGCGGCGGCGGCGCCGGCGCCAGCGGCGGGGTGCGGCGGCTGGTGCGACGGCGGAGGCGGGGGAAGGAGGTGCGGGTTGGGCGGGAGGGTCTGCAGCGCGATGATGGTTCCGAAGACGGGCTGCTCGCACACGGACGAGAGCGCACCGTCGGGTAAGACCTCCAATAGCTCCACACACGACTCCTGTCGGAGGTGAGACGCGCGGGGGAGGGAGAGGGAGAGGGAGACGGAAGGAGAGAGGGGGGGGGGGGGGGTGGGGGGAGGAGGGGGAGAGGGGAGAATTCTCAAGCCACCTGCACCATCGGGTAAGACCTCCAGTAGCTCCACACACGACTCCTGTAGGGGTGAGGCGCGCGCCCGGGGGGGAGGGAGGGAGGGACGGCGGAAAGGGAGAAGGGGGAAATTGAGAATTCTCAAAAGCCACCTGCAACGTCGGGGAAGACCTGCGGTAGCTCCAAGCAGGAGTCCTGTCGGGGGTGAGGCGCGCGCGGGGAGTGGGGGAGGGGGAGGGGGAAGTGAGTGTAGAAGGGAGGAAAGGGCGGAAAATGGGAAGGGGGATAGGGTAAGGGGGAAGTCGTAAAGGGTGGGTGGGTTTGGCGGAAGGTAAAGGGGGAAAGGGGAGGCGGTGATGCTGAGACGAGAAAAGCTGCACACGTGGCGGTGCTAGCGCAGCGCGACGAAGATGCGTGGGGGGAGGAGGTGTTCGGCTGGGAGGAAAACCCTGAACGTTGCGGAAACGAATCAGCGAAGCGGCGATGCGGGTTGAGAGGGCGAGGAGAGAGAGTCGGTTCTGTTCGAACGACGGAAAACAAGGGGAAGTTCAAAGGCCCACGCTGCTAAAGCCGTAATTCCGCAACGGTCTCCTTGCGACGCGTCTTCCCTCAAAGCGCAGACTCGTTGCCGTTGCCGTTGCGCTGCGGTGCGGTGCGCTACGCTTCTCCGCACGGCTGCTTCTCATCTCCCCCACGCACCTTCCCGAAGACGACATCGTACGACGATGCTGCGAGGAACCTTCCTGCCACGGCCTGCAACACCGCGCTGCTCCGAAGCGCCGTCTTCGCCAAGAAGAGCAGCGGAGGAGGCGGCGGCGGCGGCACGGCCGCGGACGACGGCGGTGGCTCGGGTTCAGGAACGGCCATCGCGAGACTAAGAGACTAAGGGAATAAGGTGAGCTAAGAAATAAGAGGAATTAAGTATTAAAGAGCTAAGGAGTTGAGACGGTAACGCGTCAGGCGATGGATCGCCGAAGGATTCTGCAACGGCAGGAACCGGTGACCGCAGTGTGCGGCGCTGATGCCGGAGAGCGGGGTAACGAGAAGCACGGGTTGTTACGTCTCACCGCGAATCACTTTTGAGTCGATTCCGAAGTTACCGCGTGTTAAAGCGACGGGCAACTTTTGGCAGTGTTGGGTTCAGAAGTTTTTTTTTTTTAACCAGGCTTGCCAGCGCGAAAGTGCTGGCTGGCGAAAACCAGGATTTCGTGCGGACACTTTCCATCCGCAGTAACAGTTCGCCAGGGTTCTGGGTTTTGGGTGGCAAATGTGCACCGTCGCTTTAACAGCGAGTCTGTTTCAAGCTGCGATGATCGCACGAGGAACGGCTCAAAAGCGAGCAGAAACGAGCAGAAACGATCCCACGAGTCCCACGAGACCCGTGAAAACGAATCCTCGCACTGAGTCGACGATTAATGCCCTGCCAGGTAGACTCCTCAGCACCCACACCCTCCTCGATCACGGATGGAAAGTCTCCGCAACTCCGCTCCGCTTACCTAGGATTCTGGGAGTCCCCTACTGGTCCCCTTCCCTGCTCACTGCTCATTCCACCACGACCTTCTCCTGGTGCGACGTCACGAGCACCAAACTCGTTTCGCGAAACGGCATAGAGGCCAGAATGGAATTGGTAGAGTGAAGCGAAAACTGTACCAGCGCATCGGGTTACACCTGCGAGGCAACACGAAGAACAATCAGCCGCACTCCGAGACGTGCCTCCCGTCTCGCTTGAGGCTCAATCGTGCTGTATACTCACGGGGAAGAACGCTATCGGAACGATACACTGTTATAGATTCTCGCGGATCTTTTTGCTTACCGTATTTGAAGAGATGTTTTTGTGCCACAGAACATGATGCTAAGAGCGGGGTGCATCATGCTGAAATTGCATGATTTCCCCTGATCGCGATGCTAGTACCGCAACCAGAGGCAATCGGGTGGGGTTGTGCATGCTCGGGGAACCCTACGATCCAGCGGCACCCTTCCATGATGCACCACCTGCAAATTTGCAGTCCCGACCCCCCACCAACCATGCGACTCGGTCAATGGGTCGCTTGTACAGTATTGTTTCGACCTTACGAATACCGTGGTAACAGCCCTGCAAATTTGCCGGGTCGCCAGGGGACTGAGTTGGCCAATGACAAAACACACCCCGTCTGGTGCAGTCGGAGTTCCAGCAACAGCCTACAAAGCCCAGAACACAAATTCATGAGACTCACTACTCGTAACACAACTCGCGCAGCCATGAATCGAAGCCAGCGATTAGCATTCCTAGCTCGTTCATTCCATGGAGTCCTTGGGGTGGTGTTTGGCCCCGTGATTTTGGCCATCGCGAGTGTACTTCCGCTGGTGCTGTTAGTCTTAACTAGAAGCTGGCTTCCGTGGCAGCCTGGAAGAGATAGACGCAATGTACAGGCACGGTGGCAACGTGTCATTCGCTCTATCCCTAACCAGGCCTTTCATGACCATTTCCGAGTTGACAGAAGAACGTTTAGATATTTAGTGCGCGACTATTCAAGACACCTTTCTCGTCAAGCCAAAGCGCGGCTCAGCCCTCAGTTGCGCGTGGCAATTGCATTAACACGCCTCGGACAAGGATGGAGCTATCGTTCCCTCGGTTTCCTCTTTGGGATACACCACACGGTAGCAATGCGTTGTTTCGACCATTTTGTCAAATACGCGTCTGGATCACTGACTAGTAGATGGGTTCGATGGCCAACACCAGACGATTTGGTCCGCATGGAGAAAGAGTTCCGCGATTTCAGTGGTATCCCAGGCGTGGTGGGTGCAGTAGACGGAACTCACATTCGGTGTCGTGGTTTTGGTATCCACCGGGACGATTGGAAGAATAGACACGGTGACTACTCAATAATCCTACAACTCATAGTTGACTCAAAGGGTACAATCTGGCACTTCCACGCTGGCTGGCCTGGGAGCGTCAATGACGCAAGAGTCTACGCTAGATCAGATGCTAATGAGAGGATTCAACAAGGAGGGATAGGAGACTACTGCCTAGTAGGAGATGCAGCTTACGGACTACGAAACCACACACTCCCCCCATTCCGAGCACACCCCATCGAAGGACTCAAACCCGAAGAACTAGTCTGGAACGAGCAACAATCTAGATGTCGGATGATCGTTGAGTGCGTCAACGGTCGCATAAAGGGAAAATGGAGGCTTCTAGATCGACGCATGGAGTGCACTCTAAGGAAATGCAGCGACGTGGTCAACTGCTGCGTCGCCATCCACAACTTGGAACTGGCTATTGGCCGCCGGACGCGGTTGGGGGATATGGACGCTCGTGACGAATGGTGGAAACGTGGACCAGCGGCAGAACTACCACATATCCGACCATCCGACCCTGGCTTCACTCCAGTCAGGCGGCGGGTTCGTCTGGCGAGTGGGCTTTACGTCTCCTGGCGGCTGGCTCATCCGGGTCGTCGCGCACCGCATCTCGGGTAATCTGCTCATAACGCTCGAGTCCCATCTCCATTGCACGCATCACTGCTGTTTCAATCCTCTCGCCAAGACGATCTGCAGCAGGGCCAAATCCTGCTTCACTCCACATGTCATCTCCCTCTGCCATTGAATCATCCACTGCAGACGGCGACAGCGACCCCCTCATGCCGCGGAAGGAACGAGAAGGACCAGAGCCAGACGGTGAGCGCATCTCACGCGTCGGCTGGCGCACACCGCGGGTTGGCGCACGAGGGCGGCTGCTAGTGTTTGAAGCCCCCACAACATGGGGGGCCGCTGCTCGGCCACGGGACACCGTAGCGGTTGGCTGGGTGGTGGACACAGTGGGCGCCGTAGGAGGCACGGTGGGCGCAGCAGTGGACGCAGTGGGCGGCAGGGGAGGCACGGTGGGCGCATCAATGTCCGGAGTGGGCAGCAGGGGAGGCACTGTGGACGCAGCAGTGGACACAGTCGGCGGCAGGGGAGGCACGGTAGGCGCAGCATTTGACACGGTGGGCGGCAGGGTAGGCACGGTGGGCGCAGCAGTGGACACGGTGGGAGGCAGGGGAGGCATGGTGGGCGCAGGAGTGGACACAGTGGGCTGCAAGGGAGGCACGGTGGGCGCAGCAGTGGCCGGAGTGGGCAGCAGGGGGGGCACTGTGGATGCAGCAGTGGACACAGCGGGCGGCAGGGGAGGCATGGTGGGCGAAGCAGTGGATGTAGTCGGCGCAGGAGTTGACACGCTAGGCGTCATAGAAGCAGCAGGTGTAAGACCCGGGGTTGAACTTGGTGCCCCTGCTAGTGTATGTCAAAGAATAAGAGAGTTTAGGGAAGAATGTATGGTATATTCGTAGATGACGGGTTCTGATTGCTTAGAAGTGATAAACCTCTCTCATATACATATTGCCCACGATACGGAAAGAGCCATAATACGACCAAATATGAATCAAACAGGACACGTACCAGTATAAGATGTGCCACGGGCGTCGGATTCACCTTCCGCAGCAATGCTCGACGTTGTGTGTCGAGGTCGGGCAGTCTCCCTCGTAGCAAACACAGCATCCAAGATTGGATACCAGGGGTATGCAGCTGCTTGCCGCTCAGCACCCGACGTCCCTTTGATATCGTCGATTTTCTTCCACTGAGCCTTCATCCGCTGCAACTTCGACCTGAGCGCTTGTTTACCATGGCGGAATGTGGGGTCGCGACGGCGACACTCCTTCCATAACTATGTGTTGTAATTCTGTCCCTGACGGCTTTTCAAGCGCGTAACCATACTGTCCAGGTCACGTCGCACTTCAGCAGCAAGCATGGTCTCTTCGGGCTCCCACGCCGTGTCACGGTCTACAGTGTCGGATTCGCGTGACACGCCATCACGACCGCCCCTTCGTGATGAAGTCCGGGCTACTGAAGTAGGAGCTACAAAATCGGCCTCCGGGTCTTGGTTGTCGAGTTCTCCCAGGTTGTCGTCATTTTAGTTGAGCGGAGCCTGGGGATCCGGGAAGGCAGCAAGAAGCGCATCAATGTCTGTAATTGATCCCAGATTACGACGTGCGGGCCTCACAGGGGGCGCACCGGCCGGCATAACGGGAACGGACACGCTAGGTGCGGTGGCACGGCTTCCATGGGCTTCTCCGGGACGGCTCGTAGATAATGTGTTATCATTCACCGAGGCGATCGGTCCCGCCTCAAATGTAGCCGGAATGACGGAGGTTGGGGCAACGTTGAGGTCGATGCCGCCAGCAGCAGAGAGTTGACTACCGGGGTATACCCCCGTCACACCCACATATGGAGGAAGGCTACGCAAGATCCAGTTATAGGGCTCTGGCGAACCATCATCAGTGTCGTTAGATGCCCAGCTACTACTGTCTGCCATGGTTGGATGAATCGGTGTCTTTGCTAGCAGGGCGGAGTGAGGTTTAAATACCTCGTGTTTGGACAGGACGTTGGAATCATCCGCCCCGCATAATGTTGCTTACCGTGTCGCGGTCCCGTCCATGCGAGCCGTGAAAATCTTCACGTCAACACGATTCGCCACAGCAACGATGGCGGTCCGCGGATGCTCGTGTCAACCTTAGGCATTATAAGAGGTGGCAGCACGCACGTCTTTAGTTCGCCAATGCGCACGGAGACCATAGAGCGCGTCCTCCGCCGTAAAGTGTTTCTGGTTGTGTGCGGCTTGACACTACAACGGCTGCATATTCTATACTCCGATTTGAGAACAACCTATCTTGCGCCTCTAGCTTGTGTCTTGTATGCGTTTTGATCTTATGGTCCAACGTGTATGAATATCATTGCGCAGCCATATGAAGTCAGCACTGCGTCATCTTGCGGAGCGAGAATTGTGCGCGTCGCGATTCGCCATTGTAGTGGAATCTGTGTTCCAGTAAACATGTCTAAACATTCTGTACTAGTGCGCGGGTCTACATGTTGCACGGCCTCCTTTGTTGCCTCGAACCGCTTGCATGAAACGTGAAACCAGTTCCTAGCTCGCGTTGCGGCCATCCAACTCAAGCGTGAAACTCATATTGCATAGGAATCATGGTGGCTATTCCAGGTTGGCGTCGAGCTGTTCCGAATGACCGTCGAATAATAGGCCCCAATAATCCCTAGGCTTGTCGAACAGAAAGAACCGTGCTGCAGAATACTTTTTTTTGCAAACTCAGCAGGTTGGGGTGGGGAGTGACGGGGACTTGCTCAGGAACCCTGTTTGTGAGTCGAGCACGTACCCTATGTTGTGTTGACATGTGGCACCATCGAGATGAAGGCCACCTCGTTTTCGTCACCAGATTCGAGTCGGCCATTTACTTGTGTCGATGTGGCATTGTGCTTGCTTGCACTTTGAACGTCGCAGCGCTAGTGATTGTGGTGGCGTCGCCTCAGAATGACAATGTGGAGGCATGTTACTCAAGGTGAATGTATAGGCAGCGCGATATGGCGACGTGGCTGTGTTTAACAATCCCAGGGGTTGTTTAGACATGTCAATGTTCGTTTGTGTTGTGATGTGAGCGTTAAGTATTTAGGTCAATGCAGTCCATCTATCTAAACGTTGTGTCAGTTACGTTGTTTCCACTACCGTCGTCAAATATTTCGTGTCGAAACTGAGCGACGGAAAAAACCATCGCACGCACGGATCGGTGTGCACGCGGTGCACAATGACACTTGATCGCGGTGGATCTCTGGGCAACAGATCCTGCCTGATCGAAGGTGTTTTCGGTGGTAGGTGACCTGCATTTGTGGAGATCCGCCCGGGTCGTGGTGCAGCATGGCTACAGTGATACTGTACACTGACGACAAAACACTGTATTCAGGATCGCTTGGGATCGCGATCCTGGAAAACAGCATGATGCACCCCGCTCTAATACTCCATCTGCCATACTGCACAGGATCTCTTTTTGTAAAAGATGCCATTTTAGAAAGAAAAAAAATGCATGTTTGATGGTAAAACCGCACTGACTCAGCTTCCCAGCACCCAACGTGTCGTGCGTTTTCTAAGTTCTTCATATTACCATTAGTTGTCAGTAAACAATACATCGTTTGAACAAGCCATCTACAGATTATTACACATCAGCAAAAAAAAGCTTCCACTCCAATGATTGCCATGGAGTAGAATAGAAACCCACCTGTTTCATCCACTCATGTTCTCCCACCCTTCCTCCGCCCCGTCTCCTCCACCACTCTCAACCTACTCCTTTCTCCAAGGCCCAAAGCCGCTTCCCTGGGTCCCACACCCCGATCCCCTCCCATCCTTGCTCTCTTGCTTGCGCGTCTCACCTCCTCCTCCTCCGCCACCTCAGCAGCTGACTTGGCTGCCTCGTCAGCGTCCTCCTCCTCCTCATTCCCCACACCCTCCTCCCACGCCACGTCATACCGCTCCCCTCGCTTTTCACACAGATTATGGAGCACGCAGCACGCACCCACAATCTCCGGCAATTCCTCCACTTTTGTCTCCGCACGCTTACTTAAAAGTTTCCATCTGCTTCGCAGCCGGCGCACTGCATTGCGCGCCACTGCCACTGCCCTTTCAACGCCTTGGTTATATTGCAGCTGACCGCCAGGCAACATGCTCTCCCTCCCCAACCTCTCTAATATAGTCAGCCGTTTACCACCACCATCACCACCACCACTGCCAGCACCACCGCCACCACCGCCACTACTGCCACAACCACCACTCTTGTCAGCAACATCATTCCCCTCGAATTCCCCTTCCACGAACTCACTTCTCCCTATTCCCCCACTCCCACCCCTCCCCACTCCCCTACCCCTGCCTCTGCCTGTCCCTAAATCCCCTCTCACGGAACCCCCCCCACTCCCACCCTCCCCATCCAGTGCCGCAGCACCCACTCTCTCCATCTCCACCCTCCTCTCCCTCTCGCCCGCCCACCAGCTCCTACTCTCCTCGCGAATCACCCTTCTTGCATGCAGAGGTGGCCGGCCCCGTTTCCTCGGCCGTGTCTCACCCACTCGCCCGTGCCCCGCGTCATCTCGCATGCCATCTAGCGCCCTCTGTAGCTGCTCCATGCTGTCGGGTATGGGAATGCTGCCTTTGCGCCGCACGAGCAACTCTGTAGGTAGATCTGCTAGGTTCACGGACGAATGCGGTGCTGCTGCCTCACCAGCGAGAGCAGCTGTGCTTTGGTTGCGTGCGGCTGCCGCGGCAGTTTGGCTCAAAGTATTTTCTGAAAGGTTTCGGCTCCTGGCATTGCCTGCAGCTGCGGCTGCTGCTGCGGCGGCGGCTGCTGCTGCAGCAGCAGCTGAGACCCCTCGTCCTCGCCCACGCCCTCGCCCTCTTCCCCCTGGCCCACCTGAAGCACTCGCAATGGCTGCAGCAGCGGCGGCAGCAGCTGCCGATGGGGAGGATATCAGCGCTATTGCTGCCGCTGTTGCTGACGCTGCTGTTGCTCCCACAGCTGCTGCTGCTGCTGCATCTTCTGTGGGGACCGACCGTGGCAGGTGTGACGCATGTAAAGCTGTATTAGCAGCAGCTAGAGCAGCAGCGGCCGTGGTGGGAGGGGGAAGACGAGGAGCAGAGGCCGTGCGAGTGTGGGCAATGCTGGAGAGACCTCTATCTGGGAAAGGAGTGAGCAGCCATCGGAGCAGAGGGAAGGAGTGCCAGCCCACAAGAAAGAACCCCCGAGGAACTATCCCCTCCCCACCACTGCTGCTCTTCCCCTCCGCCTCCCCCCTCCTCCTCCCCTTCCCCTCCTCATCCCCCCCAAATCCCCCCTGCCTGTGCCTCTCCTCGTCCTTGCTCACCCGCTGGTACAACTGAGACTGCAAAAGCACGTCACTGTCAGTCAGCGACCCAGGCCCAGCAGACACGTCTAGAATCAGCCCATCTGCTCCCACAGCCACTTGCACCGCCACGGAATAAACCATCTTCTGCCGCCGCGCCGACAGCCGCCGATTCTCATACTCGCGCATGCTCTCGCCCGTGCGAGGCGTGTTCATGGCGATCTGCGTCGTGTGTAGCGCCGCCACACACCCCCCTGTAAGCCCACACACCTCCTCAAACCTCCCTGCTGCGGCTGCACGGTCAGCAGGCGACGACGGCATGTGGATGTGCGTTCTAAGGAGGGCTTGACAGATGGTGGCGCAGGTCTCATGGTGGATTCTCGAGCACATGGCACCGCTTAGACCGAACCTTCTAGAGACTAAGTACAGCGGCTCGGCGGAAGCCAGGCGCCAGAGGCACACGGCGAGGCGCATTCGGAGGGGGATTTTGGGCGCGGTGGAGGGGAGATGCACGCCTTCTATGGGGAGAAGGCATGAGAATAGGTGGTCGAATGTGGCAGGGGACATGCGGAAGTGGTGGTGGAAGCGGTGGGGGGGGTATGCGGGGTCGAAGCATTCGTCGTACCAGAGCCGTGGCTCGGGGGCAGGTGGCGGGAAAGAGGGCGCGCGGGGCTTGCGCGAGGGGGGAGGGTCGGGGGAAGGGGAGAGGAGAGGGGAGCGAGGCGAGGCGGGGGGTAGAGGGGAGTGGGGGAATGGGGAGGTTGGGGAGAAATGTGCCTGGGGAGGGGAGGAGGGCGCACAGGAGGGAGGGACGGTTGGAGGGTGGGGGAAACAGCAGATTAGAACCAAGGAAACGAAGGATACGAAGGATACGAAGGATAAAATGGATACGAAGGATTAGGACGGGGGAAAGGCCTGCCGTTGCTGCTGCAGAGCTGCGCCTAGGCATGTACCTGCTGACTGTTGCTCTTGACAGCGACCCTCTGTGTGCGTCCGGGCGTGCCCCCGCGACTCACGGGCTGCTGTGCTGCAGCAAGCGACAAGGCGAACGAAGCGAATGAAATCCTGGATCCCTGTTGTGTGTGAAACCGTGCATGACGGGGAGGGGAGAGACCAGGTCGTGAGGGGGATTGGAGGAGCGAGCAGGGAGGCGAGGCGCGGGTGCAAATTCGAACAGAGCCGAGAAGAACCAAAACGACGAACGTGAACAGGCCTTACGGCAGCCAGCTATTGTCCTTGCTCTCCCTCCCCCCTTGTCTCCTACAGCACATCGCCCATCGTTCAACGCCTAACGGCAAACGCTTGACGCCCGACGCTCCGCCCACCTCGCCATAAGCCGCTGCGCCACTCGCCACGGCTCGCGCGGCCATTCGCGCGCGCCGAATGCGCTGCTCCTCGTCCTCCTGCGCGCGCTCGTGGCTGCGCGCCTCCCACTCCATCGCCTCCCTCACCTCGCGCTTCCGCCGCTCGTGCTCGTTCCGCCACTCCCATTGCGCCACGCGCAACCGCTCCCGCCACCGGCGGTACTGCTCGCGGTCTAGCGCGTCTTGCGCCAGCAGCGACAGCAGCAGGTGTGCCTCCTTAGGGAGCGCGGCGGTGGGGACGGGGAAGGGGAAGGACGGCGATTGTAACGCGGCTATGGCTGCTTCGGCTGACGACGCGAGTTCTGCAGAGTCTGTAGGGGACGGAATGTCTTGGATTGGACAAAGCTTGTTCAGTAACGAATCGTCCACTATCGGGTCATCCTCGGGAAAATCATCGTCCGCGAAAGAATCATCGGCAAGGGCACCGTCCTCTATAGGAACATCCGTTACAGCGTCACCGGTTACAGGCCCATCGAATAACCCCAGCTTGGAAATATCCGAAATTATTTCAACACCGTCAGCAATGGCATCGTCCAGTAGCGGAGCATTATCGACGAGGTCAGTGGTAAGCGCGGCATCCGTTACTGGACCATCCGTTACAAGCTCGGTTTCCGTTTGTTGCCTGCGATCATCTTCTTCCAATTCGATTTTCAATGCAGCATCCTCCGGCCCCTCCCTTTCTCGTGCCGCTGCTCCCGCTTCACACGATTCTCCAGCCGATCCCTTGACTTCGCCAAACTCCTCGCCATCGTTCCCTGTCACCCGCTCTTCGCGTTTCGCCTCCTCCGCCGTTTGTCCCGACCCATGGTCGCCCCAATTCCTCTGCGATTCCTCACCGAGTTCCGCTCCGCCCTTCGTCTCGTCTCGCCGATCGTTAACCCCGCATTGACTCGCCGCGCCGTCGTCGTTTTCCGCTCTCTGACTGCGCGCATCGCCCTCCGGCGCGCGGTCAACGTTCGCATCCCCACCGGCTGCGCCGCCCGCGGAAGCTGCAGCTGCGGCTGCGGGGCTCGGGGGAACTTCACCGTCGTTGGCGTCTTCCGCGGAAGACGGTCCATTCTGCAAAGCGGCGGTTGCGCGTTCCGGCTCACCTAATGCCCTCTCTCCAATCGCGGGCTCCGCGAGACGCGCGACGCCCACTTCGGTAACACTATCGAAATCGTCGAACGCGTCAGAGACAGGTGCTGATGGGGAGGAGGGCTCTAAATGGGCCAAATCAGTTTCGAATTGGGAAGTACGAGGTTGACAAGCGAAAGAAGCAGGAATGTCAGTGATGTCTGCTGCAGCAGTGGTGCTGGGATTAGCCGTACCATCTTTCTCAGAATCAGGACTCTTGGGTGCGGGCGGGCTTGCGGATGCCATTACAGTACTAATTACTGGTGGGAGGTAGGGGGCAGAGGTGGGGATAAATCACGGAGAGGGGGTTGGAGAAGAAAAGGTGTGAAGAATGGGAGTCCTGACGGCGGGAAGAATTAGTGGGGCGAACGAGACCGCACCCAACGAAACCCCGCCCGACGAAACCCCAGAACTCCCAACCCCAGGTCCTGGGTCCCGAGTCCCGACACCCGACACACAAAAGCGGGGGTGTTACGATTCCAAACCAGCAGGACCCAGTGCAGGATGTGAGCAAATCGGACGTTCGAATGTTTGAATATTGTTCACGAACGAGAGTTTTGGGTTGGAGTTTGGTGGGTTCCTCGCCTCCCCGAAGAAAAACACTTCCCGCTTTGCCCCTTTCTATCTGAGATGAGCTGCAAACCACGCTAGCGGAATGCACCTGATAACCCGCGAAATGGCAGACATAAGGGATAACCGACAGCGGGCCAGTGTCATGCCACAACACAGGTGACCCTCGGGTTATTGCGTGCAAGAATCCAACCACCCTCCACACAAGTTTGACCTGTTGGGATTTTGGTGAGTTCTGGCTATCTGGACGGATTCCTCGGCAGGATGATGTGCGAGGGAATTTTGTTCCTACGATTATCTTGAACGCTTCGATTCTTCTTGTCATTCTACAGTGAATCGTTTCGTCATGAGTCACTATACCTCACGCGCAACATTCACAATAAAAAAATCCAACAAATCACTTTGTTTGGTTCTCTGTGTACATTGCTTGTTGTAATTCCAAGAACAAGTGAACATTTCTCACTTATAGCATAGCACCTTACATTATACTACCAATCTATACACATGCTGAAAGGAAGCAATTATGCCAATACAAAAAAAAAGGAATACGATTACGTTTGAGCAGAATATGCAGGAATAAGTCGAAGGCGCTTCAAAGATGGTTCAGAGCCATCAGCGTCCATCATGCACTCATCAGCACTATCTGCAAGGGATTGCATCCACGGGTCCAAGCTTCTGCCAAATGCACCGTCGCAACCGTAGCCTGAGCCTTCAGCAGGAGCAGAAGCATCCAACAAGTCCGGTGACTGTAACAGGTCTGCAAGCAGCTCTTGCATCTGTTTCATGTCAGCAGACTCAGTGCCCCCTCCACTCGCACTCCTTTCCAACGCCGGTTCCCCTGCTTCTTTATCCACAAACACTTCGTCATCCAGTGATGGGATGCCACTGCCGATTCCACAACCGCTGCTTGCGACGACATCCCCTGATTGGTCCTGCATTGATTTCAAAAGCTCGTCCCATGAAACGCCGGGAAGTGAGACTTCACAGCCTTCAGCAGCCGATGGGTCATTCTCACAAGCAGCGTCTGCAGTTTGCTCCACTGCCTTGACACTTTCATCTCTGGTCTCCACCGGGGTGGCTAACTCCGCAATGCTCTCCAGGCGTGGAAACATGGGAGGAATAGATGGGGAATCCTTCGCGGAGGGCGACGACGGCGAAACAAGCGGAGGGACAGGGGCGGAAGGCGACAACTGCCTCGCAGCAGAAGCAGCAGGAGAGACGGTCGAGTGGGGAGCTTGTGCACCTGCGGAGGAGGAGACGGCGGAAGCAGCAAGCAATATCACTGCCACAGCAGCAGAGGCAGAAGCACAGGCAGCAGCGCTGCTGTCCAAAGAATTCGCTCCGGCGTTCCAACCGTCGTCTTTAACAGAGCCATTGCCGCCATCGTTCGCCCGAAGCGCATCCATATTAGTCCACGCGGCGTCAGCAGGCGGCGGCGCCACGCGCAGATTATTCCCATCGCCGCAACCTCTCGGTTTCTCGTCGTTCGCAGCAGCAACGGCCCCAGAGGCATCTCCGCTGCCGCCGCCGCTGTTAGTCATGGCAAGGACGACGTTTTCAACGAGGAGGTCCATAGTGAGCGCGTTTAGCGCCGCCAGCTGCTCCCGCTGCTCCTTCTGCTGCTCCTGCGACTCGGGTCGCGCCACCAGCAGCGACTGGAGATACTGCAGGAGCTGCACTGCCGGCGGCTGACGAACCGCCGGCTCGCTGCCGCTGGTACCGCGGTTGCGGCTGCGCGGGGAGACGGAAGCGCCGCGCTCTTGGCGGAGGGAGCGGGGAGAGTTGGACAGGGCGTTAGGAGCCGGGTTGTCGCAACTGCCTGTCGCGGGTATCTCCAGCGATAGCGGCGCTCGTGGCCGCTTCTTAGAAGCAGGACGGGGCTTAGGAAGAGCGGCGCGGTCCGACGCGGCGTTGGACGCGGTGCCGCTTTGTGGGGTGCTGCGCCTGCCACTTCTCTCCCCGGCCGCGGTGGCAGGGGTCGCTTCGCCGTTGTTCATTGCGGAGGTGTTCGTGTCCTCGTTTCGGCAGGAGTCCTGCAGACTGTCGCTGCTCTCCCTGCTGCTCACCCCCGTGTTGTTGCATTGCCGCAACACGTTCGAATCCGAGCCCCGTAGCGCCGGGAAAGCCACCGCATTGCGCGCATCGAGCGACGTTGAACGGCTACTGGAAGCAGCAGCGGCGGCCGCGCGTCGCGAAACAGTCGTCGCGGCGGTTCTGTCGCCGGAAGGCCGAGGTGCCTTGGAAGGGCGAGAGCTAGGGGGCGGCATCATTGCCCTTTGCGACGGATCCTTGGACCTGCTGCTCGTAGTCCCCGACGCAGCGGCTGCTATGGCTGCTGCGAGCGTGGGGAATGCGGTCGGTGCAGGAATGAGAGCAGAACGCTGAGTCTCGGAAAGGAGAGGATCCTTTGGGGAAGTTGCCGGCGCGTCGTTAAGCCTCTGTTCGTTTCTGTTGACGGGGGACGAATGGATGGACTCTTGCTGAGCCACTAATCGCTTGAGGTGCCGCAGCAGCCGCGTTGCGTGTTTATCCATTCTGTGTTCTCGATGAGGCGATGGAAAATATGCAAACGCGTCGAGTCTCAGGGGATCTTGAAACTCAAGAACGATGGACTCACCCTCACAACGAAATGTGTTGACAGAAACAGATTGAAGGCACGAAAGGGCAAACGATCGTCGTTCCACAGCAACAACTCTATTTGAAGCGGACTCGATTGTGCTTCTGCGTGGGAGTCAGGAAACTGGCCAGCCAACAGCACGGCAAGTGCGGACCACGCGGAGGGGCTGGATTGGGCCGACTTGCCCTGAAACTGGTTTCGTTTGCTGCCTGAATTTCGCTTCACACTCCTTCCCCACCCCAACCTCCCTTGGTCAGGGAAGATACTTTCCGTGGCTGAGAGTGAAGCAGGGAAAAACCTGGAAGCACAGAAAAGAAACTGTGGTCCAAACCTGGCAGCACCCCTTGCCACAGCGAAGAAAGATGCAGAACGTGCCTTGCATTTGTCCGAAAAGACACCTCCACCATCGGTACCGTAGAATACAAAAGGGTATGGTCAGGTGCAGAAACTCTATGTTGATTCTGGTTCGGCACGGACATGCCGACGTCGCCCCTCTCTCATTCGCTGGTGCCTTTCCGAAACGACGCTGTCGTCAGGAACGCGTTCCATCCATCCTTCCAATCCCCTGCCCCTATCCCTCCGTTTGACCTTCTTTCGGAAATCCTACGAGGTTTGCCCTAGAACGCTCCTGACAGTGCCGCAACGAATCTGACAAGGCACTTCAGTCTCTCCGAGTCTGGCACTCTGTTTGACTGACACCATGGAAAAACTGGCGCCAATTGTTCGTCAAATGTGTTGTGTGGTGTGAGCAGCATCTTGCCTGCCTGCCAGGACTTCTGTCGGCGGCACAACAAACTTCACTTTCCGTCAGGGCTGTCGCTAGCAGGGCGTTTGCGCTGCTGGACCTTGAATTCCAGGGCTGGGTTGCCCTTGAAATCTGAAATTGATGGGATGCAAAACTTCTGGACCTGATTCCTTACAGGGCTAATTTAGGGCTAAGGCCTTGTGTGTAGGGGAAGATTTTAGGCGAGCCCTGGAACAAAATCTTTCGAGCCCCCACCCCTTCCCCCCCCCAACTCCTCCAGCCCCCCTTCCCCCTCGTTTCCATCCTGGTTGCATCCAACCTGGCAAAATTGGAGTTGCGTGGTTAGGAAAAAAAATCAACTCAACCTAGAACTTGTGCTTGCGCCAATCACAGCTTCGCTCCCTTGGGAATGGGTAGAAGTGCACAAAATCTTCAATGCTGTTAAGGGTCGGAAGCTAGCTAAGCGTGCGTAGTGAAATGACGCTAACTATTTTTTTGTTATGTAGTGTTTGCTTTTTGTAGTACTTGCGTAGTGTGATGTAAGCTTTGTAGTTGAAATGAGGCTACAGAAATTTCCTCGCCAAACCTGATTTTAAGGGAGGAATTTTTTCCAGCCCTGAAGCCTAAAGGGCAGAAATTCGCTCCGACCCTGATTTGTCCGGGGGGGCCAAAACCAAACGACAGGCCTGCTTTCCGTCAACGATGTGCATTGCACTCTTGCAGTGTACAGTACAGCGCCAAACAGGCACTGTTTTTTGTAACGGTTGTGTGGTTGTTTCCGTTCCTGCAGCCTGCACCACCACCACACCACAGTTGGGCCGTTGGCGGTCTGCTCTGCAGGCCGTAACATGTAACTTGTCGGTTTACAGACTGCAAAAAATGGTCAAGTGAACAGTCAACGCTGACTGCCAACGAAGCTCCTCCAGCCAGCCTGTGCCAGTGAAGGAAGGCTGTTTGCGAAGATCTTGGTTGGGGGTCAGTGTCCTGGAAGAACATACACTACCAGTGGTGTAAACGGCTTTCTCAAACGTCATAATGAGTTTATTTACAACCAGTTTAAACATGAGATAACTCTCTCCACAACCTCCTACTTGCCAGCTAACCATTCCTTGAAAATGGATTGCATGGGATGGCGGTTGCGAGGGTTTCCAACATTTACAGTGGGAATAATCTGCTTAGGGTGACAAAGGGAGACAAAGTCCTGTAGTTCTGTAAAGCTGCTGTGCTCACTGTAAGGCACACCTGCAAAATGGGATGAAGGGAGAGGGAGACAGCATGGAAAGGCTTGTGGAGTGGAGTTGAGCAGGTGGATGGATGGTTGTAAGCACTGGTTCCGGGCTAGCTAATCATCGAACAGGGTATGATCAAAGCTTGTTCGATTGGTACAAGGCAAATGATAAAACATCAGAAACAACATGAGCGAATACCGTAGAGTGAAGCGTTGCGGTAGTGTTGGGGCTGAATGTTGTGCAGACCTGAGGCTAAGCGCTGGGAGAAGGTCCAGCCTGGCACAAGACATGCACACGCAATACTGCCACACTTCAGCCCCGGATGCAATGCGGTAGGGAACACAACTGGAGGCCCGTGTATGAGGCAAGGTAATGAAGTCCTGTCATGGCATGGCATCGTATGGTATGGCATAATATGGGATGGTATGGGATGCGATAGTACCTGTTGGTCGAAAGCCGATAACCCGAGTGAACCCTCTCTGGTTGGACACATACTCATGCAGGCGCTGCATAAACAGCAAGATGGGGGAACAGAACATGCCGTGTTTAGGGGAAATAAGGGGAAATAAGAAGGGAAACAAAATACTGCAAAACTGGAAAATGAACTATCTACTAGCGGCATGGAGACGCAGTCATGACACAGGTGTGATCTGATGATCCCACACCCACCTCACATCCAACTCCCTCACTCCACTTCCTACACCCCCCACTGCCAATCCCCTCTCCTTCCCCCGCACTCCTTTCCCTCTCTCCTCCTCCCATCTCCGTCACTTCACCATTCCCAACATCCCATGCCATCCCGAGCACGCCAAGGTGGCACCTGAGCGCGCAGCTGCCCCAGTGGCAGCACGTGCACTGGAGAGCAGGCAGCGTCACGGGTGAGGCGAGAGGAGAGTGCGGGCCACTGCAGCGCGTGCAGCAGGCGGTGGTGCCGCGGCAGACAGAAGATGCTCTCCTGGGGATTGGAATCGAAAAGAAGGGGGGGTGGGCAGAGGGGGGAAAGAAGGGGGGGAGAAGGGGGCATAAAGGGGGGAAGAAGGGGGCATAAAGGGGGGAAGAAGGGGGCATAAAGGGGGGAAGAAGGGGGCATAAAGGGGGGACGAAGGGGGGGAAACAGGGGAAGAAGGCGAGGGTTGTGTATTGTATAAGAAAGGAACACGAGGGATGGAGGCAAGGGAAGGATGGAGGCAAGGAACGGAGGCGAGAGAAAAAAGCAACGAATGGGGGCAAGGGAGGGGAGGGGTACCTGCAGAGCCTGGGCTATAGCGAGAAAGAGGCGCTCCTTGCCTATGCTGTATGCCCCCACCACGAACAGCACCCTGCCCCCTGCCCGCCTCTCCGCCTTGTCTGCTGCCACTGCCACCGCCACAGCATAGTCTATCACCTGCTGCTGATCCGGGAAGCTGTGGGGGCAGAGCAGGGCAGAGGGAGGGTGACAACGGGGTGCGAATTGTGTCATGGCACATTGAGTGAGGGATAGAGCACTGTCGGATAGGCAAAGGGGGTCCGAGCCCATGTGTGTCTCGAAATATGCACACACATGACAAATCACAAATTACGAGTCATGTGTATCCTATGCAGTGTGAGCGGTGACAGGTGGATGTGAACTTGAAAGAAAAGAGGTTGCATTGAGGGCGCTCACATGTGGCATGGGCCACAAAAAGAGGAGACGGGAAATGTTTTTTTTTTTTTTAAGACGACGCAAGAAGAGGAGATAATGGACGAGACGAGGAATGTAGGGAGGAGGGTGAGGGGACGGTACGTGTAGCGCGGGTGGCAGTACGTGGTGTCGAGGTACAGGCGGTCCACAGCTGCAGCAGGCAGGTGGCGGTACGTGCGCATGGCGTGAGACGCACGGAAGTCCCCCGTGTGGAGAATGGTGGCGGAGAGGAGCGCGCGAGGAGGGATGGCGGAGGGTGTGGGGACGAGTGTGTCATAGGAGGGTGTGTGGGGTTGGAGAGTGGAGTAGGGTGGAGGTTGGTGTGTGGTTGGGAGAGGAGGCCTGGGAAGGGAAGCATGAGGAGAGGCGGAGGCAGCAGTGAGAGGTTCATGTTGCTGCTGGTGCTGGTGGTACGTGCACGCCTGTTGCTGCTGGTGCAGCGGTGGTGGTGGCAGAGGCGGTGCAGAGGAGAGGGAGCGAGGCAGGGGAGGAGGCGAGTTGGTGCGGATGAGGATGAGTGCGGAGCCAGGGCAGTGGTTGGCGGGCAGCAGCGTGACTGCATGGCCGTGTAGATACACCGTGGTGGTGAAGGTGAGCGGGATTAGCAGACTGCCATCACCGTCATATCACATGCACGCACGCACCACACACACAATGACACACTCACATGCATGTGCACACACACACGCACACCCCCCCCCTCCCCCCCCCTCCCCCACACACACACAAACACACAAACACACAATATTTAGACACGCAACACCAGAATGTGTGAGATGGCACAATTAAGTATGCCCTTCTCCTACCATGCAATCTCATCATCCCAACTCCCACTCCTCCTTTCTCCCATGCCCTCTCCATCTCTCCTCCCTCCTGCCACCCACTCCTCCCTTCTGCCCATGCCCCCTCCACCTCTCCTTCCATACCCACTCCACCCCTCGACCCAGCTTTGCCAGCCACCCACCCGCGGCACCACGCACCTCTGGTGGACCCCCAGGCACATGTGGGCGAGGCGAGCAGTGATGGGCGTGCACACGATGGGGCCGCCCTGCCAGCGCTTGGACAGCCCGCGGTAGTGGTCGCTGTGGAAGTGCGAGAGGAAGTACAGCTGCACGCCCGCCACTGGGCCATATGAAAAGGCGTCCACTGCAAAGGGCGTTCCTGCGGGGAGAATGGGGGACGGAGGAGGAGAACAAAAGAGGAAAGGAAATAGAGGGGGGTGGTGGGGAAGGGGGTTTGAGTGGAGTCACAAAAGAGAACGAAAGGCATTGACCGCAAAGGGGGTTGAGTCGATGGATGGTAGGGCAGCTGTACTAGGAGTTATGTGTGTGAGACAAGCATGCATGCATGCACCAACGCCGCAATGACGGGTAGCTGTGGGTAGCAATGGGTGCGGTGGATAGCGGTGGGTAGCGAAGGCACGAACCAGGAATCTTCTTGTAGAAGGGGCATGGGCGCGGAGTTTGAGAGGACCAGTGGGAGGAAGGGCGAGAGCGCGAGGATGCAGCAGCGGTGGGTGCAGCAGGAGCAGGTGCCATCAAGCTCTTCTGCCCATCCCCTACAGGAGTGACTTCATCATCAGCACCATCAGCATCCTCCTCTGCTTCCCTTGCCTGCTCTGCCCCATCCGCAAACCCATTCACTACACCCATCCTCTCGCCCACTTTGTCAGTCCCACCCGGACTCTCACTCTCATTCTCACGAAGCTCCTCTCCCCACCAATCCCTCCCTCCTCCTCTCCCCTTTCCCCGTGCCGCCCTCCCCTTCCTGCCCTGCTTCCCCTCCTCCTCCTGCACCACCATGGGCCCTCTGCCGCCAAAGAAGGCGGAAATGCCGCGCTGCCGCAGCATGCGGCTGCTGCTGCTGGCACTATCCATGCTCACCACACTATCCACTCTCACCACCTTCCCACTCGCCCCATCACTTGCCATCCCACTCACCATCCCACTAGCCTTCCCAATAACCTCCCCACTTGCTTTCCATCGCCCGACTCCCTCGCTCCCTTCTCCCCCCTCCACCCCTGCACCCATCCCACTCCCTCTTCTCCCCACACTACCTGCACCCGTCTCACTCCCTCCTCCTTTCACCCCACGAGCAGCCCTGCCCCAGAGGCGTGCTAGAGAGGCCGTTGCTGTGCCCGGGGGCAGGAGCGTGGCAGCAGTGCGAACGCGGACGGTGGCAGAGGTGGCAGACCAGTCAGAGTACCCTAGCAGACCCAACTCGCACACTGCATGCTCCGCCTCTGCTTCATCCCTCGCCTCTGCTTCATCCCTCGCCTCTGCTTCATCCGCTTTCGACTTCTCCACTTCCCCCACCACACCGCCCTTCATCCCCTCCCACCGCTCTCTATCCTTGATTTCCTCCGACTCCTCCTCTCCCACTCCCTCCTCTCCCCCTCCACCCTCCACCTTCTCCCCTCCATCCTCCCACCATCCCCACCCATCTACATCCGTCATCCCACGCACCACTCTCACCCCGCTCATGCCCCTCCTCAACCCTTCACTCCCCTCTCCTTCACCCTCTCCCCCCATGCTCACTCTCCCACCCTCTCCCCCTTCCACACCCCCCCCTTCCCCCTTCACCAACAACCCCTCCCTGACCGCACTCCCCCACTCTCCCTCCCCTTTCACCCCAACCTCATCCCCTCGCACTTCCCCTTCCCCCCCACATGTATCCCCCGTCCCCGTGTCAAGAAAAATGTTCTGGGAGCAACCAACCTCCGCCGCCCCCGCACCTCCCGCCTCGCCTTCTATGCCCTTCGACTTTACAGCCTCTGCCTTTAAAGACATCTCTACAGAGAGTCTCGCCCTGACGCGCCTCGTCGTCATCGGATTCATCTCCGCTGGATCGTCCTCCTCCCCCCCCCTTCCCCGCAGCATGCCTCCGCCATAGCCATCCGCACAAAGTTCCTCCCCCAATTCCCTACCCGCGCCTGCCTGTGTGCAACCTCTCCCCGCGCAATCTGCCTCCTTCCGGGCTCCCCTGCCCAGTTCCGCGTATTCTCCCCGCAGATCCCTTCCCGCGAGCTCTCCCCGTCTCGTCTCGCAGGAAAATTCGAGTTTTTTTAAGCTAACTTCCGCCACCCCGGTTCCGCATTCCGCCTTGGCGAGCGCAAGACAAGGATCCGCGGGGGGCTGCGCGGCGGGGGAAGGCAACGGGCGGAAGAATTGCAGGAGCGACCGGTTGCGCAGCGACGTGCTTGGAGACGTCTTAACGCGTGGCGAAGAATTAGTGCGTTGCTGCTGCTGCTGCTTCCCAGCTGCGCGAGAAGGGTTAGGAGCCATGCGCGGATGACGTCACGACTGGTGACGAGCGGATCTCGTCGAACCGCTTTTTTGTGGATTTGGAAAACTGGACACGCGAGGTTTTAGAGACGACGACGGGTGCCCTCTAATGCTATGCCGGCCGGCGAGAAGAGCTGGAATGACTGGGAGATTGTGCTTCTGAGCCTGCAAAAGAGGTTCCAACGCGCGTTTCGAGCTCAGGATATACTAATAAGGTGTAGTTGGACGTTCGCTCACGGATTCACCCTAAAAAACTATGTTTCACCCACTAGGCGTCACACTGACTCCAAATGTTGGATTGATGCTCTTCTTGGTGGCCGAGCCGAATCACTCTGCTCCTGTTGCTGGGTCGTACACGCTACACGTGATTTCATAATAATTATAAAATGATATTACTTACACAGTCAGCTGGAAGCTGGTGTATACTTTTTGGATCATGCTTCCCAGCAAATTCACGCACATTTCCCGAAGGATCCATGCCCACGTGGACACAAAAGGACCGAGGGGCGTTCTGGTCATTCAATCAATCCGCGCCAAGTGGACTAGGAACTCGTGGCCCTCACCCACCATGTTCCTCCTCCGGGCCGCACTCTACCCTCCTGCAAAACAAAAGCATCCCCCCCAATCAACCCCGCCCCCCCGGGTGTTTCCTTCCGACGCTCCGCGCCAAGCAGCAGCCCCCACCGCTCACGCCCGGGAATGGCAGTCAGCCTCGCGCTTCCCCCCACCCTTCCCCCTTACCACAGCCCTTCAAATTTCGATCACCCTCCCGCCACTTCACTTCCTCTATCTTATCTTACGAAGTCCTCAGTGAACCGCCTCTTGCGCGAGCAGTCGACACTCCTACCCATCCGCCTTCTTTCCAATTTCCAGACTAGGCGGGCCTTCTGCCGTCTCCTCGCCAGTCGCCATGGCTGCTCAGCTGACGCGTTGCGTCGTGCCCGCAGCGTCGACGCGCATGGGCTCCGCAAAGGCCGCCGCCGCTGTCGCCGCCGTCTGGCAAACATCCCGCGCATCCGCGCATATTCTTCCGACTTCCGCGTCCGCGTCAAGCGCGCTATCCTCGCTTTCCCCCGCCACCTCCTCCTCCCCCTCCCCTCCTTTCTCCTCCGCAATCGCCCTCTCCCCTTCCGCCTCCGCCTTCCGCCGCGCCGCGCTGCAACCACTTAAGCCTTCCGCGATCCGGCCAACCGAGGCCGGCCACATGGCGGCGCGCGCGGAATTGCAGAGCATGGAGGAGCTGCCGGAGAATCTGCAGAAGATTGTGCGGAGCTTCCAGATGGTGCCCGATCCGCGCGCGCGGTACCAGCAGCTGCTCTACTACGCGGCGAAGCTCAAGCCGCTACCCAAGCAGTTCCAGACGCCGGAGAACAAGGTCAAGGGATGCGTGTCGCAGGTGCGTGCGTGGGCGCGTGCGTGAATGTCCGCATTCACCGCTCGGTGGCCCACCGTTCGAGCGCTCTTCACAACACGTGCATCGTTCCTACAATCGTCGCGCTTCTTCTTCGTCCCCTCTTCTCCTCTCACCTCATCTCTTCCCCACCCCCCTCCCCTCCCCCTCCCCCTTTTTTCGCCCCTCTTACCCTTGCCTCTCCCGTTTCTTCCGCCATCCCTTCTGCCGGCGCTACCCCTCCCCCCATTGCCCCCCGCACCGCGCGTGCGCGCAGGTGTGGGTGCTGCCGACGCTGGGCGAGGACGGGCGGGTGAGCTTCCAGGCGGAGAGCGACTCGCAGCTCACCAAGGGGCTCGCCGCGCTGCTCGTCGAGGGGCTTAGCGGCGCCACGCCGCAGCAGGTACGCGCGGCGCGGGGGAGGGCGGTCGGAGGAAGGTATAGGAGGCGGAGGGGGATGGGGCATAGAGGAATGGGACCTATAAGGGGAACGCAGAAGTGAGGGGAGAGGAGGAGGTGGGGGAGAGGGCGGGGGGCAAGTGGAAGGGTGTATTGGCAAATTCCGTGGGAATGTGTGATGGCAAAGATGTGTGACAGCTCTAACGTCTCGCCACACAAAAGAACGCGCACACTCACACAAGCTGCATTCTCCCTTGTGTATCCGCCCGCCGCCTCCCTCCTCCGCTTCCCTCCCCCCACAACCCCCCCCCCCTTTGTCGGCCGCGCGCGCGGCAGATCGTGGCGTTGAAGCCGGACTTCATTCAGATGCTGGGGCTGAAGCAGAGCCTGACGCCGTCGCGCAACAACGGGTTCCTCAACATGCTGCTGCTCATGCAGCGCCGCACGCTGCAGCTCTACGCGGAACGCGAGTCCGCCACCTCCGCCTCCTCCGCCTCCGCGCCCGCAGAGCCCGCGCAGTCCGCAGAAGCAACCGCTGTTGGAAGTGCTGCTGCTGCAGCCGCGGCAGCAGGCACAGCGGCGGGTGCTGCGGCTGCAGGTGGGGGGAACGGGGCGAGCGCCACGGGGGGAGACAGCGGGGAAGGGGAAGGGGGGGAAGCGGAGGCACCGATTGATCCCCAGCGGCCTTTGTTCTCCGCCATGACTGCCAAGGTGCGTGGTTATGGTGCATGAAGGAGAGGCATGGTTGTGACGCATGCATGTCAGGCATGGGTGTGAGGGTGTGTGTGTGAGACATGCATGTTGAGGCATGTGGGTGTTGTGAACATTAGTGAATGTGGGGGTGGAGGTACATGAACCCAAGAGGCTCACGTGCACCTTATTGTTCCCTGCTGCTCATGTGGCCGTGGCATGCTGACATGTGGTGGGCGTCTGGTGGGCGTGTGTGGTTCCAGATAAGCAAGGCATTGACGCCCACGGCATTGGAGGTGGAGGACGTGTCTCACCAGCATGCAGGTCACTCGGGGAATCCCTCGGGCAAGGGAGAAACGCACTTCAAGTCAGTACTGCCCCTCGCTCCCCTGCCACACCCATCGCTATTGTCATTATTGTCTCCTTTCACCTCATTTCCCCACATCTTTACCCCCCCCCCCCCCCCCCCTCCCCCCGCTTGAATCGGCTCCTATCTGTGACGACTCCCTTTTTTCCGGCCTGTCCCTGTTCCACCTTCTTCACGCCTTGTGCCATTCTACAACCCCACAATGCTACCATTCGCCCACCCCACACAATCAAAACGCCCTCCACCCGCTTCCCTCACAGTGCCCCGCCCACTTTCCTCCATGCCACGTTTCCTCTCCCAACTCTCTCCCCTGCCTCGCGAGGTGCAGTGTGCGGGTGGTGTCATCAGCATTCGAGGGAGTGCCGACCATTAGGCGGCACCGGCTCATCTATGGCCTCTTGGAGGAGGAGTTCAAGCAGGGCCTGCACGCGCTCTCCCTTGTCACCAGAACGCCCGCGGAAGAGGAACGCCTTACCGTGCGCTCCTGAGCTCCCAACAACCTGCACGCGCGGCGCGTCTCCTCGTCAGTACAGCACCTGCTGAGGAGGACTCTCTCTCTCTCTCTCTGTGTCTCTGTGCGCTCCTGAGCCCTGAGCGCGGTAGAGGAAGCTGCTTGCGATGACTGACGATGCTGGAATACGCAGGATTTTTTCCTGCTGTTGTAATGCACGTGTGCAGTGCAGTGAGCTTCTGCCATTAATATCACTTACGGTATCATCTCTCCTCCACGTGTTCTACCTAGGCTCTGCTACACTGGTTCCAGACATACAATGTTGAATCAAATGCATAGAATCATGGCTGTGATGACCCACAGTTCGATACCAGTATGTCAAATTTGATGTTTCTCTTCAGAATCAGTGTAATGGTTATACTGGCACTCAGTGCCTTGCCTTCCACTGTTCCCATTAAAGCAGGGTGCCCAACTGTACTATTTATCATGCTAAAATGAACTCTTTACAATCATACGCTTCATCTCCATCAAAAGCACAAGCACCCTACAACTGTGGTCAGCCAACCTCACCCTGGCCAGCACCACCACCACCAGCACCAGCACCACCCCCAGCTGCTTAAGCAGCCTTCTCCATCTTGAGCGACCCAGCAGCCTGTCCACGCAGCCGCCCAGTGCGCCGGGCAGCAATAAGACCCACCTTCTGCCCGGCCGGCGCGTCGCGGCGCACAGTGGACGCGTGACCAATGTGCTGATGGTTACCACCACCATGGGGATGCTCCACGGGGTTCATGGCCACACCACGCACCTTAGGCCACGAGTTACGCTTCACACGGTACTTGTGGTACGCGTTACCCGCCTTGAGCATCGGCTTCTCAGTGCGACCACCGCCCGCCACCTGCCCCACCATGCCACGGCAAGACGACGGGATCACCTTCTTGGAGCCCGACGGGAGCTTCACGCGCGTGGTGCCGTTATCCGGGTTGTGCGACACGACGATCGCATAGTCCCCGGATGCGCGCGCGATGGCGCCGCGGTCGCCCACGTGCTGCTCGAGGTTGCAGCAGACGGTTCCCTCGGGCATGGCGCGCACGGGCAGCACGTTGCCGATGCTGAGCGTGGCCTTCTTGCCGCAGTACACGAACTGCCCCGTGTACATGCCCTCTGCCGCCACCATCAGCTCCTTCTGGTGCTTGAACCGGAACGGGTGCCGGAACTGCACCTGTTGCGCGGATAGGGACCGAGAGAGGATGGCGCGGGGGGGGATGGGAGAGGGGAGGGCCGAGGGGGGTAGGATGAGGGGGATGAAAGTTGTGGAGCGGGGACGAGGGGAGGAGGAAAGGAGGGGAAGAGGGGGATAAAGGGGAGTGTGGGAGTGCCGGGGGGAGGGGAGCGGGGATGGTGTTGGTGGAACTGTCCTCAGGAAGCACAGCCAACTCTTCATGTGGTATTAAGTTCTCAACTGTTGTGCGCAGATTCGATCCCCGGCACAAAGCCCTCCCACGGATGCATGTTCCTGCTTGCAGTTGGCTCGCGTGCCCATAATACTCATTCCGCTAAACTCTCGCAGGATCACTACTGCCACCAGTAGAAACCTGCGAGGCGATGGGCTCGAGGCAATCGAGACGCCACTCGTCGCCACTCGTCACAGAGGCTCCATGGAGAGTGCATCCAGGACCATGCCATGCCATGCCATCTTGCCATCC